ATTTCTGCTTGCGTTGGTCGCATCGAGACTTTGCGATCTACAACTGGACCTGAGATGGAGCTACAACTTGCTGAGTTGGAGCAACAACTACTTGGATGCTTCAAAACTTTTGAGGACAACGGCCTCAACTTTACGAGCGTAGACAGACTTTTGGAAGTGACACAACAGTTTGCAGGCGTGGATGAAAATTTCAGAGTACAAGACTGTGCTCATCAGGAATTTCTTCTGACAGGAGATGAACCTGAAGTGGAAGCATGCATACCTGATGACATGCCTGAGGAATACAATGCGATGGAGATTGCTCCCCCTTTCGAGCAAAATTCTCCAGAACATATGGCTCAGTGGATGATTGGACGCTTGACCAAGCGTTTGGCTGAATACGTGGAAGCTGGAAATACCCAGAAGGTGAAGATCTATGTGGAACGTCGGCAGATCATGGTCTCAGTGATCCAAACTTGCCGAGAAGATCCAGTACAAAGACCCAATGCTTTGTACATGATGAATAGCATTTTGGATATCAGCGATGATGAGTCAGAAGCTTGCAATAGCAATACAACAGGGTCATCCACTGTGCATAGCCCTTCGGTGTGAGAAAGGAAGCCAGGTTTGCAGATGACAATAGAAGGAACAGAAAAGAGAAGCAGAAAGTGTTTTGCCACGGGTTAACGAGATCCCAACGAAAGTGGCAAATAGGCTTTAGGTAGCAACGTTTCAAGTTTCACGAAGTTTGGTCATTTGAGCTAAAGGCTCATATGCTCAAGGTGGGGTATCTAAATTTGTCAGAGCACTCTAGCCCCTGTTTGCTAGTTGAAAACTACTCAAACCAGTTTGAAAACCAAACACTTCAGTTTGCACCATGTAACACACATGGTGGACAGTTTACATGTCGAGGCTTTGGTTCGCAGGAAAAATAGATAAATTCAGATTGATGGCAAAGTTCGACTTCAGAACTTCAGCCAAACTTTGAGGCGGGGTGTCAAACATGTTTAGCATGACCACCCTGCTGCATGGATGACACGCACAAATCAAACTGTCATGAGACACAATACCTGTTTCCCGGCAATCACAGTGGCTCGAGAAGCCTTTGGAAAAGGTGCAACTCTGCTGTGCTCCGCAACTTAGCATATCCAAATGCACCGAAAATATCAATGTATGACAGATTAGGACAAAACCTGACTGGTCACCATGTCTCCTTGGGCGATGTATTTTCAACGGGGCCGGACCATGGTACCAAGTGCTGCCAAGAGGGATTAAATGTCATTCGTCCCGCTTCTTTACATTATCATGGCTGCATGGTCAATGTTGAAACGTATCATTTCAAACACATCACGTTCCAACACGGCATACAACGCAGCCGTTTTGTAGACAAAAGATCTTCGGATCTTTTATGTGATTTTTTGTGTTGGTTGTCTTGTCTTGGCATCCAGAGGCACACTGGCGTGTATATCCATGCGCCCATTCATGCATGGATATCTGACGAACAGTCTCCTTCCTCACTTTAGTCAAAGAGTGTAACTAGACACTAACCGTATGTATGCAACGCATGCTCGGAAGGGAAGTGTGATGAAAAATTTGTTTGGAATTTCTTTGAACCGAGCACGAACGTTGTGACTTGTTGATGCCGTTCAAAACTTTGGTTTTTGGTGCAAATAGTTCAACGTTTTTTTTCCTTCTGATGGGAAGACCTTAATAGTGCCTTCAAGGATCCTGTGTTATGCGCAATCACAGCCAATTCATGCAAGATATTGTCTTGGCATTTGCTCATTGAATGGGGTGCAATGGATGTATGTCGTGTATGTACGTCGTGTATGTACGTCGTGTACCTGAACCGTGGAAACGTGCTATGTCTGAGCTCAAGGAAATTCAAATCGTGTCTCATGAACATGTCACATGTAGGGCAACTGGAACCATGTTGATATCCGGTGGAGATTCGCAGTAATTTCGAGCTGTGCAAAGCAATTCGCAGTAACTTCATCGAGTAATTCGACTGGCAACTCGTTGTGTTCTGGACATTTCTGGACCGGCCTCCCAGCGGAGCTCCAGGACACATGTCTGAGGCGTAGAGGGGCTACCATGGATTAAAAAACATGGTCTATGTATATCAATGGTGAAACTGTTGATGATAACATCTACATTTGAAACACTTGTGATTACCCTTCACATTTTTTTTTCAGAAACATTTGATTATTTGTTGAACCACTTGCTTCGATAGTCATGGCATAGCATGTACTGAGTATACATAGCATAGTATGTCAGAGTCCATGGATGCTTGGGTATGCTTAAATGCCAGGCCGAGAGCGACGTCCAAGCGGTGTTTGCCTATGGCACCTTGCGTCGAGAGCTGAGTGTTCCTCCTCGCGTCGCAAAAACTTCGGCCTTCGGCCTTCGGCGCTGCGACGGCGACGCTCAGGGGGTGACCACAGCGAGAAGGGCGACGCTTGGGGAGTCATCACCACCACAGGCGCGAAGCGGCGCCACTGGGTTCACCCGGCAGCGCTGACTCATTGCTTTTTGTGAGGTGCTGCATGGATACGCGCGTCAGTGCCTGGCTTCCGCCTGTATCAAGAGGAGACCATGAACGAATTGATATATCATGATTATCATTATGTTGGATTTCTCAACATGTTTGGCATTTTTGAACACTGAGAGATCTGCTCCAAGCTGCTTCCCTGGAGGATGTTGCAACCTATCCCTTTGCTCTCCACACGGAGAAGCCGGAGGAGATTTTGCAACTGACGAGTCTTGTTTTCCACGCCAAAGAGCCATTTGCTCATCCATTTGCTGGGATGTCACATGAGTCTGTCATGATCGGTTCCATCACGTGGGATTCGAGGGTGGATCATTCCCAATTGTGGTCGAACGCTTGCAGTACTTGCAATCTGAGAGTCGAATTCTGGTGCCTGTTAGCTTTGCCGCAGGATATTTTGCATGGCAGAGCTGACATGCTTGAGAGATCTTGCGAGGGCAAAGTGCATCAAAGTGCGCTTCTCTTTTGGATCTTTTGGTTCTTGATCATTCTTGATCTGGTGTCAGGCACGCTCTTGATCTGGTCCCACAAGGATGCCAGGCGGTGAAGATTCGAAGCGATTGGAACACGGTCCCAACACGGTCCACGGTCGGTTAGGCAAGCGATCGACAGATGCGATTCGATCGAGGGCTTTGACCCACGGAGACCTGATGATGGGTTGTACCGCAGGACTCCCAGGCTGCATGGATGCTTTGAAGATTTTGAAGAGAGATGTGATTTCAGAGTCTTGAAATCAGAAGATTAAGATAGATTAAGTCTCTAAGTAAATGCTGGATGGCCGGACATTGCTACACATGTCTTGAAACATCTTGAAAACCTAGGTCGTGCGACGGTTGAGGTGCCTGCTGCCTGCTTGCAAGTCACGACCACGCGTTCATAATCGCATCATGTATATAGCAGCATTGGTTAGAATTGGTTGCAATGCAAATCCAGAAACTTCAGCGTAGATGCATTCGTTGAAGCATTCATGGGAGGTATACATGGCATTGTGCCTTCGATAAAAAGTAGTCTGTGAAATGCTGTGGATGCCGAATTGGTGTCGATTTTGCCAAGGTTGGGATGGAAGAATTGCTGAAAGCAAGCAAGGACAAACCTTGGCTGGAGGAGCTCCTGATTGGCAGTGCTCTTCCTCAGGACCCCACATCCGGACACTGTCAGATACCCAACATTTTCCTCTGCCCATCGAGGTGCTGAAAAGACGGCGGCAACAACTTCAGTTAAGTTGAGGCTTCCTTTCAAGATTCTGCAAACGAAGTTTCAACTATCATCAACTATCACAGTCACGAATCATGAGTCGGTTACTAGTTTGATCTTCTTTCACAACGCAGCAAACTTGTCGACCTTCTTGTGACGGCCCAAAAGCCACGGTGTCAAGTTGACCTTGCCAGGGCTTTCGTTTACCACCAGCCCATGGATGGACGGGAAAAGGAGGTGGTTTATTTTCCAAGTGCCTCGGTGAGCTTCGCAGTCTAAGCACATCGAACCATTTGCATTCATTTGCCGTCAACCGTGTATCACATGATTTTCATTAAGTTTTTGCATGATTTTTATTGATTTTATTGATCCATCATTCGCGCCCTACACTCTGTTTTGACGTATTTGAACCTGCAAACAGTCTCCGAGTCTCGTTGAGAAGTGTTTCACGTATTTTCAGTGAATTCACTCAGCGTATTGACTTCAGGTGGTGACTGGATCAGGTCAAGAGACAAAAAACCGCACGTCTGAGCCGTGCTGTACAAAGTGAAGAGCTGCATTGTTTGGATCCCTGTGGCCCAAAGAGTGGTGCCACTGGCGAAAAAAAAGGGTCGAGAAACGATGAGAAACGCGGAGAACATCGAAGCCAAAGGCACAGGAATTGCAGATCCACACGGTTGATTGTGTTTTCAAGAGCTGGCGGCTTTGCGATCTGCTCACAGCTTGAAAATAGATGCCACAAACAGAACATAGAACAGATCTCGACATTGAGGCGTGCGCTGACCAAACGACATCCCATCGTTTGAACCAAACGACTCTGACGCTTGCTCTACCGACTTCTCCCCTGAGCTCCGTCCCACGGTGCACATCCGTGAATCATCCGTGCACCGTGCTGGGAATCGTAAGTTCTTTCGTAAGTTATCGTACTGTTCTTTCTATGTTCTTTCACATCTTATCGTTTCTTCACGTTTTTCATATTTTCATATCAATTCACATCTTTCGTTCTGATGGCGCCAGCTGAGCTTGAGACCTATGAGCCTTGTCATCAATGTGGTGAAATATGCCCCAATTGAGGTTCCTAAAATGGATTGGCAGATATTTCCGGGATATGCTTAGACTTAATTAATTAAGATCGCTAGGCACGTCCAATTGAGGACAATTTTGGTTTAGAATGTTCCCTCAATTGCGAAGGAAAGGTTCCAATCGGTGTGGACAAGAGAGAAATTCATGCCAGATTTTTGTTCATTTTTTCACAGCTCAATGCCATCCAGATACCGAGGCCTTCAATGCAGTCGCAGACTCAAGGGCTTAGTTTGCAGCGAAATTCCTAGCGATTCCAGTATCATTGATATCATGATCTGAGGGGTGACCTCAGATATCCTCAGATCGTCCAGATCGTTTCAGGACATCAGCCAGTTGATGTCATTGATCATCAATGCTTTCTACACGAACAAAGAGATCTTTCTCAGAGAACTGCTCCTTGGCAGCAAACGTTTAACGGAAAACGGAAGTCGACACCCTTGAGGGCCGGAAGTTCCTGACTGCAATCCTGATTACAATGTGGAAGTGCAGCCCTGCTGGTTCTTGCGTTCTGCCAGCGCAGGATTTCGAATGCATCAGATGCGTTGGACAAGATTCAGTTTCAGGCCAAAACGTTGAAGTTCAGAAGCATCCAGAAGAATCCAGAAGCGAATTCGAACATTTATAGCTGAGGCTTTTATAATCTTTTAATCTTTTAATTTATAAATGTTTGCCACTCTAAATGATCCACTTTTACTCCTCTCTGGGAGCAGACCTCGGTGTACAGATCTCAAGTCGCACGCGAGTCGTTGCAGGCGGCACAAGATCCTTCCAAGCTCGAAGCGGAACCCAACCTCTGCATCAAGGCCAGTCACTTGAAATATCACAGATTAAACCTTTTGAATAGAATAATACCATATAAATAGATAGATAAATAGATAGATAAATAGATAGATAAATAGATAAATGAATAAATATACATATATATATACACATAATACACGATACATACACATATAATATATATATATATATATATATTCATATTGTATATATGTATAATATAATACAATATGATATACACACACGCACACAATCTTATACTTTCGATTTCTTCAACACATTTTCTGAGTTTGGGTCAGTTGCAGATGTCAGCGTCAATGCACAGGTGACCCCTGATAAAGATGCTCCTGGCCCAGCATCGTTGGCCTTGCTTCTGATTCCTTCTGATGTGCAAAAATCACCGAAAATCTGGGAAACTGAGAGATTTTCCTGAGATTTACATGTAAAAAAACCTCTTTCTGGTGAAGCTGAGGCAGGGAGTGTCACTGTGGAGGACACCGGAATTGGCATGACCAGAGAGGACGCGAGTCATCGAGTCATTGGACCTGAACGGTGTCACGGTGGAACAACGGTGTTTTGCCGTTTTGCCGACTTGCCGAAACGTGACAGGAGATGATTAATCATTTAGGCACCATTGCCAAATCTGGCACCAAAGCTTTCATGGAGGTTTGGCAATTTGGGCATTGATGGGCATTTGGGCTTTTGAAGTGAAGCCACCGATGAAGTCAGTGAAATTCAGTGCTTTTCCGTGCAGCTGCGATTGAATCTATCGTACTGTTGAGCCGTTGAACCTGGCACAGGCGGTGTCTTCTGGAGCCGACATGTCAATGATAGGCCAGCTGACAAATGAATACATATGAATACAAGGCACTTAAAGGGAATCCAAGGAGCATGCAATGCATTTCATTGCACTTTCATTGTACTGCACTGTTTGGATCTGTGTGGTTTGGGAACGCCAGACAACTCTAACCCGTGCCGTACAGAAGTGCTGTTGGTGCACCTGGTGCACCTTGAGATGAGGTCAGTTTGGGGTAGGCTTCTACAGCCTGCGTCTTGAGCATCGAAGCAGTGCCTGCGTAGTGTGTGAAGCCATGACATGCCATGACATGCCATGACATGCCATAACCCACGGCGAAGGAGAATTATCATAATTTCACTGTTCAGCCCTTGCTTGAGGCTCATACCTTGTGTCAGAGAAAGTTCGCGTGGTTTCAAAAAGCAATGATGATGAGCAGTACATTTGGGAATCTACAGCTGGAGGCCGGAGATTTTACAGCAGCTGACATGGTACAGGACTTGACCTAGCCCTGGCCATGGAAGGTACCTTCCTGGTTTGGAAGGCACAGTTGGATTGTGGCACCTTGCTTTGATATCCACATCACACTTTTGCATCTTTTTGCTATCTCCGCAGTATGTCGTATGTATTGTTTGACCACTGATGAGAGGATACCACTTTTGAGCATGGAGTTCTCAAACGAGGAACAAAGGCGAGGACCGGTTGCCCCGGTTGCCCCGGTTGCCGTCTCGTCTGTCTCTTCGACTTGTCTGTGGAGGTGATTTGTTACCTCAAGGATGACCAGGCAGAGTTTCTGGAGAGCGATCGCCTGAAGGCTTCGTGGTTTCGTGATTTCGTGGCCATTCGCTTCCTTTGGCAATTTGGGTTTTTCCATGTTTTTCCTCACTGGCAGGAGCTGATCATGAAACACTCGGCCTTCGTCGGCTTTCCCATCGACTTGCGAATGGAGCATCGTCAGGTGGCAGAGTTGGCAGAGTTGACTATATCATGTGATGCACGTGCCAAAGAATGGAAAGATATGGAAAGATATGGAAAGCATTGTGTCACATTTGACCCTTTCATTACACCAAAAAATGCAAACAGAGGTGTTCCACATGGAACTCGACGCAAGTTCTCTTGTTCCATGGTCAGATTGGTCAGGAGGAAGAGATTGAGGTCAAGGAGGAAGCCGAGGCACCTGAGAAGAGGAGGAAAGTCTGCACCTGAGTGTGTTTTTTTGGAGTTGATGAGAGCTAACAGGAACATCACAAACATCATTTTCAAATATGTTCAACACCGACCATGACTAACATATTTGAAAATCACAAAATCACAAGCACAGCACAGGTCACTGTAAGCTATTCCTGGGCCCAAGCCCTAGATGTAGCGCATGTGACCGGAAGGGCCGTTTCCGGGTACCGGGGGTTGGGAATCTGCGTTTCATCTCCGTTTCTCCCAAGGAGCTCATCAACAAGAACAAACCCTTGTGGCTGCGACCAGCAGAGGGTGTGACACATGAGGAGTATGCCGAGCTGTACAAATTTTTGTCTGCAGATTGGGAGGACTGTGCTGTGAATGTGCAGCTACGATGAGTGAACCGTGCAATGTCCTAACTCTTTCCTCAGCCTCATGTCGAATTGGCCTCGCAAATTGGATGATTCGACAGTAATATACAGTAATTGCATTTATTACATATTATTTCATTTTTGAGCAGCCGGGCTTACCCCATAATCTTGGTTCGCTCTGAACAGGATCACTTGGCTGTAAAGCATGTCATGCAGAGTGGCCAGGCAGGATTGAAAGTCTCTCACTTGGTCACAGTTTTTTTTCCCTGCTGCTCCAGGTAGACTTCAAAGCTCTTCTTTTTTGTCCCAGGAGTGCTCCCAAGGACAGGAAAGGAGATTGTGCCGATTGGGTTCATTCAATGACTCATTCGAGTCAGAGATTTAGTTGACTCCTGCCCAGGACATGTTCGACATGGGGAAGATGTCTCAGAGATTTAGCATTAGACTCTACGTCCGAAGGCCACACCGGCTGCAGTTGGTAGAAACATGCAGAAACTAAGCGAAATCTTTGTGCCACCTGCCCTTTGGTCACTCTGGTCTTGGCTTTGTCGGTTTAAGCATGCATTGGTTCAGCGGCTTGGGTGGAGCGTAGCCGCTATAGCCTAGCTGACGATTTTCAGGGTCTTCATCAAAGAGTTCAATGACCTGATCCCGAAGTGGATGGGCTTCGTGAAGGGAATCGTTGATAGCGATGATATGCCCTTGAATATCAGCAGAGAAGCTTGGCTCTTGACAGATTCAGATGGGTCATCGAATCATCGAGCACGCCAATCCACCTTTTGGTGTGGTGAAAATTGAGGAGATGCTGCAGCAGAATGCCATCCTGAGTCATGGCTGCATAATACTGATGCTAATAATGCTAGTAATTAATAATGATAATCAACAATACAAAAAAGTAACAATAATTTGATAATTATATATATATTATATATAATATATATATATAGAGAGAGAGAGCGAGAGACAGAGGAAAAACAATGCGAAGATGCAGGGCAAAACAGCTTCAGAGCACTTCTGTATGTTCCCAGCTCATTCTCCATATTCTCCAGAGAATCAAAAGATGTCAAGAAGCCACAACTGCCACAACTTCTTGATGCTAAGGAAACACATCAAGACCGGCCTCCAGAAGAACATCTTCAGCATGTTCCAAGAATTGTCTCAGGCGCTGAGATGGCACAGGTTTTGACGTTTTGACCGCAGCAGGTGCTTTTGATGTCAGGACAGAGAGCGGTTCAAGAGCTTCCAGGAGGCTTTCTCCCAGTGCCTCAAGCTGGGGGTCTACGAGGACTCTGCATTCTATTGTTGGTTTACCTTTTTTTCAATCATTTTTCCACCTTAGCTGCGTAGCTACTTGTAGCTGCGTAGCTGGAGTCATATCTCTTTGGGTCAGGCTCTTAGCTGTGATCCTGGATGATTTGGATCCAGTGATCCAGGATCATGCCAACCGGGAGCAAATCATTCCTCTGCTTCGATACCATTCCTCGAAGTCTGGGGAGGCGGAACAGCTGCTGCAGCGATGGTCGTCGCTCAGTTGGTTGAAATCAGCTGAGGATATGGTTGGGCTGGATGAGTATATCAGCCGGATGAAGCCAGGCGGGGTGTTCTTGCACAGTACATCCTAGATATATTTAGATTCTCATGATTCTCTCTAATTAAACTTTAATATATTCAATATTATTCAATAGGATATATCAGATTAATATGATATATATATATATATTCCATAGTTGAATGCCCAAATTGTGAGTCTTGTCCTGGATCAGGCCAACGTCACATTCTGTACATCACAGGAAGGACCAAGCGGGACGCAGCACGCTCTCCTTACATTGAGGCGCAGCTGCATCAGATGCTGTGATGAAACGAAGGACGTCATGCATCATGAGACACCTTATTATGGCGTATGCGTCAAGACAGGTTGTCCGACTTTTGTGGTGCCTGCAGACTGTCGAAGAATTGTCATCATAAAAGCAAACTACAACAAATTGTCATCATATATCTTATATATATACACATATATATATATATTGTATAGATGTTAGATACCAATTTTATTCTTTTTCAGAAGTTTTCTGAACGCAGTCTGACAAGTAGTACTCGTATTGTACGGTTGATGTTGCGGTACCGTCGCAGGGGCTGAAGCGCGATGGCTTCGAGGTGCTCTACATGACGGATCCCGTGGACGAGTACGCCGTGCAATTCCTCAAGGACGAAGGGTTGTGGAAAGGTTACAGGAACCATTAGTATATGTTAGTATATATGTTAGTATATGTTAGTATATGTTAGTATATGTTAGTATATGTTAGTATATGTTAGTATATGTTAGTATATGTTAGTATATGTTAGTATATGTTAGTATATGTTAGTAAGCCCGAAAAAAAGGTAAAGAAATGACTTCCCATTGTTTTGGTGACTGTTAACTTTTTTGATTTTTTTTGTCTAATTTGAAGGTTGCTCTACATACAATTGAGATGCCAAAGCAAAAGAGGGCTTGGTATAGATGCTGCTCAGGGGAGCATGTGCTGTAGACCTCTAGAAAACATAGACACCCAATTGGTGGTTTGTAGCTTCCACTTTCAACCATGCAGCTTCCGGGCTTGTGAGGAGTATCGGGGATACGAAGTGCTCAGTTGTAACTTTCTCAGAACAGTTCGCTGTGCGATAACCACATGCCAATCTGCTGCATGAGCATTTCCTAATTCGACTGTCTTCATTGCAATCAAAAGGCATGAGTATGGATGCTGCTCGACTTTTAGATCATCGTTCTGAGAGTGACCTCAAGGCAAGGAATTTTCAGATGTCTCTTTGAACAAGTTGTGGTGAATGTCATAAAATGAATTGAAGGCGCTCAGGAGCATGACAGGATGCGGGAAGTCTGGCATCCGAAAGTCCAGAGTTGTGTCCTGACCTGAAAGCCCCTGAAAGGCAGAACTTGAGCCTTTGAGGAGACGAGTTGCCGAGATGTTGGCCGCTACGCCACTTGGCGCCATTTTTTTATCCATTTGGTTCGTTCATTTGGCGCCATATGGCTGGCCATGGCTGGCCATGGCTGTTTTCAAAGGTGACTGATGTGACTGCCAGACTGCCACAAGTGAAAGGCAGCATATGGCAGCATTGCCATTGGGCCAAGGCCAAGTCTCAGTGTCCCAGTTGCTTTGGCATCTGGGATCCCAGCAGACTGCTGCGCACGCTTCGGGACGTCAGACCAGGACTGCTGACTGGTGCTTTGGGGTGCTGCACAGCGACATCGTTGGAACCATTGGAACCGTTGGGACCTGGACTCTGTGCAGGGCCAAATTTTGGAGCTCAACTTCAAGCATAGCTTGCTGAAGGAGGGCGAAGCAAATCTCTGGGCTATTGGATCAAGTTAGATGCGGTCATTTGCAATGCATGGCAGCAGAACGGTTTTGCAAAAGATCAAACAGTTGTGAACATGTCGCTTCTCAACTTGCATTCAAGTTGTTTTCCTTTAGAATCCTTTAGATGTTGGCTTTTATCTCTTCCTAAAACATCCATCTAACGTGTGAAGGAGCTTGGCAAACACACCTCTTTCGGAGAGGCGCAGCGAAAGCCAAAGTCCTTTTTTTCAGCAGGTTTTCTGAAAAAAATTGGGCAGGTTGCTCGACAACCCCTTGACCAGCAACTTGCCACCGATCTGTCCAGGCCTGTCATGGCATCAGACTTTAGATCCGATGGTTTGTCCAGCAATAGGAGATACAGGATACCCCAATCCGCCCCGTTTTTCGAATGTGATTTTATTGGGGAAATGATCATCATGATTTTGCAGTGGTCCCGTGATTTTTAGGTATCAGGCACTTGGATATATATAATAATATTATATATATATACATAATCAAGACATATCAAAACCCAATCAACCCATCCAAAGCCCTTGGCACCGGAACCCGGTGCCCCTTTAAGTCGCAGGTTGCTCTATGACTTGGCTGGTCTCGATGGCTCTGATGATGCCAAGTGGTCGGCTGCCTGTGAGAAATGCCAGGACGAGACTTCAGGAACCTGAAAAAACGTTTCTTGGAAGTGACAAGGTTTCAAAAGGTCTTTAGAGAGGACTAAACCTCGATAGTTCCTGAATCTCAATGGTTATCAAGGTCGATAAGGTCGTCAGGAAATCGATTCAAAGTTCTGATCTCATGATTTCATAGGATTTCATAGAATTTCTAGTATCTCCAAATGTGGCATTGCGGCATGCCCGTTATAAAAAAAACTCGTCGCCAGGACATCGTGCAGGCCCTGAACTTGGGCGAAAGCGAGGCCTCTGAGGAGCTTCCGGCTCTTGGAGCTCAGATCTCGGCAGAGGTTAGGAACTCAGAATCACTCGGAATATATTTCATAATATATATATATACTATATATATAATGGGAATATCAAATTCTCAAAGATTAACATAGATTTGCATAGATTAAATATAAGATAGATAAACATATATAATACATGACAACATAATCAGAATATACCTATATATATATAGATATACATATATATATAGATATGTATACACAAGAATATCTATGCATGCTACAGTGATGCCTTAAATGGAATTGACATGGAGCAAGTGACCTGCGGAATCTTTCCATGACATAGCTTCGGCTTCGAAAGATCTTGTAAAATCTTGTAAATCCGATCTCATGGGTCCTTTCGGCAGGGTTCTTCAGGGTGGTGGAAGAGCACAGGAAAGTCGGAGATGGAAAGAGATATCATGGAGTAGGACTTGGAGAAAAGCTGACTCGTTTGTCTAAGAGAATCTGACTACAGACTGCCCGCATTTGGATTCATCAGAAGTCTTGGAAGAATAAAAGTCGAGATAGTTTTGTCTAGAGACGTGTTTTCAAGTGTTTTCAAGCAACTAACATATTTGAACTTGCTTTGAGCTTGCCTTGAGCTTGCCGTAGGCCGATGCCAACAAGGTGGAGTTGAGTCCTGCCAAGGCGCGCCTTCTGTGCGGACCTCGATGAATGCGCCGACCCCGATGCTCCGTGTCGCAGGCCGTGGACGAAGCGCTGCTGTCCTGCGGTCGATGCGTCCGAGTCGCCCGTCCAGATCGCGCCAGAAGAGCCATGATCAGCTTCGTGGACGAGGTGACATAGAGATACGATGAGATACCTGATGATAATTGATGATAATTGATGATACATGTAGATGATTGTAGATACCAGAGATGCCATAGCCACTTCGTCTTGTGGATGTCCTGTGGATGTGTTATTCATTGTTATTCCGTGTTTCTGTTTTTTTCACCTTTTTCTTCCTTTATTTTTCACAGGATGCGAAGACAGTTGATGTGCTCTACCCACAGCCCAGCTCCAAGCAGGAGAATCGTTTTTGTCACACTTGCTACATATAAAAAACGAACACGACGCGTGTCCAACTTTTGCCTTCATTTAAAGTCATTTAAAGTCCCAACATGACTTTTTGAGCTCATTGCAGCCATATCAAATCTGATTGGTCTAGCAAGAGTGTGCCGAGGTCTCAAAAACATGACATGGAGTCTTTTAAAACTGGAAGCTTTCAGTGGTTTAGGATGGTATTTGGATGGCCAGGAGGAGGAAGAAGAGGGGGTTCCTATCAAATACATTCAAGCACTGGAGGCGGCCACAGTTGGTGCAGCATGGTGCAGCATGGTGCAGCATGGTGCAGCATGGTGGCCAAATCACTTGAGTTTTTTGACCTCAATCTCTCTGTTGGCTGAGGACTTTGAGCTATCTGTGGGACAAGCAGAGGATTCTTGAACTGTGATTTCGCGTTGAGTCCTTGCCGTTTTCGTTTCGGCTGACATCTTTATACATCTTTGATGAGGACAGTGTCTTCAAGTTTGGAAGTGCTGCGAAGGAAAAGGGAAATCAGCTCCTTGGTCGAGTGCATCATCTGCAAATTTGTGCTGATTTGGCAGGTGAAATCACCAGCTGAGGCTCTTCAAAATGAAGGACTTTGAGGCAGCTGCAGAGCTGTATAGCTCAGGCATTTCAAAATTTGCCTCGCGAAGTATCCAAAGGGGTGACGAGGTGCTGGTGAAGCTTGGATAAAAAGGGTCAAGAGCTGCATGGCCGAAATTGAAAGTCGTGTCATATCAGATCTGGAGGTGCTTAGACTTCTTGCCTGACATCCAATTCGAGTCATTTCAGATGAGTTGTCCATCCAAACTGCACAATTTTTGCCGTGCCAAGGAGACAAGATGACTCCGAGAAGGCAGATGAGACTCTGAGAGTGGAGCACCTTCAAGCTGAGATTGGATTGTGAGAAGCGAAGAGATCAGTTTCCACAGATGAAAAAATTAGGAGCTTTAGAAGAATCAATGAAGCATTGTAAATCATGGAGCCAAGGATGTTTGAATCTGATTGTTTCACACTGACAAGAGAATTTTCTGCATTCGGTCAGGCGAAGGCTTGCCTGACACGGAGTACAGTCTCTTGACACACAAATCTTTTTTCCAGGTTGTCCTTTGGAGTATGGTTCAAAACCAGGACCAGACTAGTGATTTTAATTCTGAGATTCCAACTGAACAGGGCCATTGAGTCCATTGTTTTTTAGTGTTCAGGCGGACCTTTGGACTTGGAGAGACATTCGGATCTCACACGTGTTCATGTCTACTGCATTCTACTGCATTCCGCCTTGTAGATCTGAGGTTCTATCTCTCGATGTAGAGGGCCTTTGCGAGTTGTCAAATGGTCTAGAAGTGCCGGCCAAGGACTGAAGAACTTCCCCAGCATTGCAAGCTTTTGAACAGTCTGGCTGACTGTCTTGCTGACTGTCTGGCTATGTTTGGCTGATGTGTTTGATGTTTGATAGAGCGTCAGTGTACACATAAAGCGAGCCGCTTTGCAGTGTTGTAACACACCAAGAGCAGAAACCGAGGCAAGTGAGCTATTGCCAATTTGTCAAGAGCTACTGCCTCTACACACATCTTTGTACATGTACTTCGCCAGCAATGATGAATGATCTCAAATATCTCAAGGCAATTCTTTTCATCAATCTCAGTGAATTTCAGTGGATTTCAATACTTTAACACGTCATAGAACCTCTGAGACTTGTTGAAACGCCTGTTGCCTGTTGTTTTCCTCAAGGCTCAAGTTCTGCTGTTTGTTTTCCGATGTTTTGTGTGCGCGGCGCCATTTTCACCGACTCAGGAACCGTGCACGTTGCCAGCAGAATCTTGGTCCCTTCGCTCAGACTTCGACAATTTTCGACAGGTCAAGCCATAGTGATCTATCGAAGCACCAACAGACTTGAGCCTATTGGGTCTATTGTGTCATCTCATCAAAAGAACAGTACAAGTTAGCGGATGTTTCTTGTTAGATTTTCTTCAAAGATTTTCGGATAGGATTTTCTTGTTGAATTTCTTTTGTTATATCATGTTATATGTTTTTCATATGTCAGTTTCGATGGTTCAGATGGTTCAGGTCGGCACAAAGAGGCGTCCCAGGACCTCACTGCAGTGCTGGGTCTCTGGAGTGCTGCTGTCTGCCGCTCAGTTCACAGATGTTTCGTTGTGATATCATTCGATTGTAAAACGCATCTGGAACAGATGTATGATATATAATGATATATATATATAATGGTATATCTAATGATATAACTATATATTTATAATATACATAATGTATACATAATGTATACATGAGATATGTCCATGTAAGCTTTCAGTATTTTACAGATGTATTTTCGGATGTAGTTCATTTGCAGCCCAAGGACAAGAGACTCTTGCAGGCTGATCCTGAGATGAAGGAAGCAGAGGAGAAAGGCCGTCTGAGTCATCCATGAGTCATGCGGCAAAAAATCAGCACCTTGTGATGAAATGCTGATCATCAATCGTCATCAATTGGGGGCTGTAGGACTGTAGGAATTGTATGGAATTGTCTTCATATTTCCTGTGATGCTGGGGCTGTGTTAGCCTGGAAAGGCCTCTACACAGCCGAATACCTGCGAAGTAGGTCCAGGTGGGTGACAGGGGAAAGGATGGGATGCAGAAATGGATGGGATGCAGGTAAATCTCGAGTGATGACATGACATGGCATGGACCAATTTTAGAAGGAACCATTTTGCAGATCTCAAACTTTTCAAAATTGAGGCTTGCTCGAGGTCTTGCACGTGCTGCTGCGCAGGATTGATCCTTTGTTACTCGAGTCACAATTGAAAGCGCGGAGTGGTGAGCACTTTGAAGATATACACAGTGCACGACGTATTGTTTCACCATCTTTCACCCATAATTATCCTATATATATATGTTATCATCATGAGCGTCTTAAAGTTTGGTCCAGAGACAACTGGATGAGTCGTTACGGCAAGTTTTGACTTTTAATGAGATCCTCAGGATGTGAAAGATGCACTTGCTCGCAGTCCACCAGCAGCAACTGCCACTTGGCCAAAATCGTTGGTGGATTCGGTGTTTCTTTGCAGGTGGCATCCTCAAACTTCACCACGTCTTTTGTTGCGATGTCGTGTTTTCCCCACAAGGTCAAGCAGCTAAAACAGCTGAAGACAGAGGTGAGAACCTGAGAAAAATGAGTGATGAGGTTTACCCTCCAGTAAATTAACATAGACCCTGAAAATCACCACTTTTTAATGGAAACTAGTCTTCCAACCCCTATTTGCCAGGGTCGTCATGTTAATTTACTGGTTGGTAAATGTTGTCATTTCCCATGATTTCGCATAATGATCACCTTGGGGCGCTGAAGGTGCAAGCAGCTCAAGAGAAGCAGCGACAGATCAATGGGCCTTTGGCCAAGGAGCTGGCGAAGCTGGTGATTTCTCTGAGAGGCGGACCCCAAATCTCCTAATCTCCTGAAATCAGAAGATTGTGCAGCTGAAGCAGGAGATTTTTGGATGATTTTTGGATGATTCGATGATGATTCGATATGATTCGATGAGTCATTTGCATGAGACCGTATCTCAAGATTCGGTGAAAGACATCATATACTCGCCCCACTCGCCCCAAGCATGGCTTAGATGCTTGGAAAAGACGGAAAAGAGTCATGCTACGACTGAGACAGCTGCATTCCAGATGCGTCAACCAAGAGGATTCCTGAATCTTGGCTGGTTTTGAAGCCATTCTCTCAACTGCCAATTTGACATTTTGAACAATATTTGGTTGGTAGATGATGTGGATGTGGAGGGTGCCACAAGTCATGGCCAGAAACTTCGATTGTGCCGAAAGTCCAGTAACGTTTTGATGTCTGTGACTTGGTCCGGAAGGGCAATGGATAGAAATGGCAGAATAGCATAGCAACATAGCAACACTGATACCAAAACCTCGGGAGATCGTTTGGGGGAAAGTTTGGGCCGTCAGCGCAAAAGTATTTGGTTCTTTTGGACAAGTCTCGCAATGTGACGTGAAGATACATGAAGAACCATTGAGATGACTGAAATATGAAATCAACAAGAAAAATGGAGAAACCGGGAGCACCAAAAAACTGAAAGGCCTGCAAAACATGCTGGGTTTCCCATGGCGCTTCCATGGCACCCCCCTTCCGGCAGCTGCTGTTCTATGTCGCAGCGGCGAACGCTCAGGTCTCCAATGCCATGCCTTTTTTCAGGTTTCAGTGGTGACTACTTGGTGACTACTTGTGGCTGCAGGCTGAATCTTTCCGCCTTCAACTGCAAAGGCAAAGGCAGGAACAGTTGCTTCAGTGGGGACACTAAAGCCACGTGCGTTCCTGTTTTTCTTGACGGACTTCCAGGCTTGTCAATGCGAGCCCAGCAAAGACATGGTCACTCACTCAAGGCATCCAACTTGACGCACATATTTTCACACATTTTTTGCTGGATGGGTGGTCACACTTGCTATAGACTTTGGACTTTGCCTAGCCAGGTTCCGGTTGGGGAAACAGCTGGCCATGGCAAGTTCCATGGCTCCCGCATGTGCAGCGGAAGGTGAGGTGTTGTGAGGTTTCGGCTGGTGATCACTGGAGATCAACATGCTGCGCCGCGCAGGCAGATGTCAAATTGCAGAGCGCGCGGCTGAAGGACAAGCAAAGCTGTTGGGTTTGGTTTCAAACCATTTCAAGTTCAAAGCTCTTTTTACTTTCCAAGATCTCGTATCTGATCTTACAAACATCATTTGAATTTGAACATCTTTGAAATCAAAGATCTTCCAGGCATCTTCCAGGTTTCTGCAGTTTCCCCTTTCACAGCTTGCCTGTTGCTCCGACTGTGTCAAGCTTCAGATGCCGATGGCCAGGACCTTCAGGACTTGCAGTACATTGGAAAGATGTTGTATGTGACTCAGCGACTTCAACATACTGTAACCGTAACCACCATCTTCAACCAGCCCCAAAATATGTTCGCAAGCCAAAGTGTTCGACAGGATTGGTTCACACTCACAACACTTTCGCATGATGTGGGGAGCTTAGCCAAGTCAGTTGAGAGAGTTGAGAGGCATCCAAAACAGACTCAGTTGACACATGACCGAAATCTCAAGCTGAAATCTCAAGCTTCATATTTCTCTGTCTGAGATTTGATACGGGCTCCTCCGCCGGCATCTCAGAGCTGTACGCGCTCTGTGCTATTCTGTGCCGCGTTTCGACATCTCAACCAACATATTTTTCGCGACAGGATCTTTGGGTGTCCTCTGAGAAGTTTTCTCCTTCCGTGTCGGACACATGGCTGCTTGGCGGCGAAAGATCCGTCTTTTGTCTCAGACATATTGGATTTTGGTGGTTGTAAAATGCTATAAAGTCTTAGCTCGTTGAATGCGGGCAGCCAATTCGGTGTTAGGCACCCGTGTGTGAGAAATGGAAGGAATCTTTGTGATGCAGTTCGAAGTCGACAGATCAGCTTGGAACCAAGGCAGCTCCTCACGACGAAGCCAGTTCAGGCCCTAGCGACAAGCAGATACAGCAGACGATCGTGATCTTTTCGATCTCAAGTGTCAAAAGGGGACTGTTTTTGGTGCCATGGGATTCTCCCCTTGGGTGTTGCTCTCGCTGGGTATCATCTTGGGGCAATTGACATCTCTGCTCACAATCCTCTTGGTCATTGGTGGATTGGTAGCTGGTGGTGGGGCAATCCGAGACTTCCTCAGTGGCGTCATTCGAGATACTCTGTTGGATTTTTGGGGTACTAGTTCCACTACCCCTCCTTTCACTACCTCTCTTGGCGGTTTGTCATTTTGGGGTGCCAGCGATTCATTACCTGAGTTGACCGGAGGTTGGAAAGCGTTGAGCGTTGGTGTGTTAGTGGTGTGCGGCCTGATTTGCCTGTGTGTCAGTGGGATCACCATTGTATCAGTAGCTGGCCGCATTCACAGGGACCCATCAGGCATTGAAGATCTTAGTCCTTCCAACTCTCCTTTGCCAATTGCCGTTGCTGCTAGAAATCAGTTGGCAGAGCTTCGTCTTCGTCGACATGGCTCTGGAAGGCAAATTCGCTCTCTTGGAGTATAATGTTGGTGGGCCTCAAGTGATTCATGAACGTTGGGTGGTTTCTCATGTTACGGATGAGGAATATGCAGTCGTGACCCCGGATGAAGATATTTACACAGAGCAATTGTCCATTTTGAATGATGATTTGAGATCCATTATAGGGTTAGACCCGGGCCTGGTCGGTTGCCCCTGGGCATCGTGGCTGCCAACGTGTACACCTTGCCTGCCTGGAATGCAGCTGACAAAGCACGACTCCAAGCAGCAGCAGAGGCGGAGGCCGCTGCTGAGAAGGCGAGGCGTGGCATAGGAGCCGCTGGGGACGCTGCCGCACCTGCACCAGGGGCTGCGCCGGTGGCTCCGGCTGTACCAGTTGCAAGTGTTGAGGCTGAGGCGCCAGGTGCCCGCGGTCTGGCAATGGGGGCGTATGTGTGGGTAGCCGCAGAAAGCCAAGGAAATGCCAAGTTTGGTGAAGTCCTTCCTGGTGTTGTTGCCGCGGTTGTCCCGAATGCCAAGGCCGTCCACACTCTGCCTGATGGATCTCAAGTTTTCTGTCAATGCATCAGCCTCCTTGAGATGGAGGAATTCAACGCAAAGCTCTCAACAATGGATGCTCGAGTGAACAAGGTGAAGCCAGGTGAAGCTGAATGCTTTGGGCTCTCCAGAGAGACCCCTAGCTGAGGTTGTAGCAGAGGCAATCGAGTACAAGGTTTCTTGGACATTGTCGGGCCCTCGCACTGCCAGATGGTGTTTGAACTACCTTGTGATAGAGGGCTTAGGGTTCGAAGCACATCATGAGAGATTCCGGCAGTTGTGCAAGCTTGACGTGACCACGTGGGGTGTCATGGAACATTTTCAATTGTCATCAGTTGTCCATGATTCTTCGCCAGCTCATCCAGGTTGACATGGTGAATGGGTTCAATTGTCTGGGGATCGAGTTGATTTTTCGAAGGCTTCAAACAATTGAGTATGCCCACTCTGAAAAGGCTCGTGAGATGGAGAGCAAGGCAGTGGGTGGCAAGTTGACACTGGAAGAGCAGTTTACATTTTGATCAATGGTCCGGCAGGCAGGCACACTCATGGTTGCCCCCTCGTTGCTGGAACATGTCAAGAGCGAAGTCGAGAAGGATGTGCTTTTACAGAAGAATCTCCGGAAGGCGAGAGAGGAGCGCGACTTGGCGCGAAAGGCAAAAGGCAAGAAGGGGGAAGACCCCTAGACCGCAGGGTGGTGGAGTCTCGCGGGCCAGAGTCTTCACCGATACCCATGGCCCATGTTCCTATGCATGGTGGTTGTACAGTGGCGCGTGATGTGTTTCCTCTACCTTCATTTTATGGTGGTGTTCATTTGGACAAGGGTGCAGTTTGTCGTAAAGTCCTTCGGCGTCTTCAGAAACAAGACCAGGTTTTTCTATGGTTGAGGAATGTGTCATGTCGCTGAATGCCATGTTTTCTGGGAAGCCTTTTTCGACTGCACAGCACAGTGGTGTGGTTTCGTCCGCCCAGCAGGCAGTCTTTGACAACATTTTGATTTCTGTGCAAGCTTTGGGACCCCCTGTTGGTCCCTCCGGCCCAGAGGCGCTGCGGCAGCTTCGGGCCTTTGACGGCTATGTGGAGGACCAGAACCCTAGCGCAGTCAGAGCTTACGACCCGTCTTTGCTCTCGATCCCTTCACATGGTAACAATGCTGTGCCTTTGGAGGACCTTCTTGGGCCGGACGGGGGAATGGTGGTGAGCGAGTTTTGTCGCTCGAAACTTCTGCATGCGGATGAAGCCCGAAGAAGATTGGGTGCATGCGGGGTTGCTCATGTTTACAGTGATCCTCAACTCAGGGAGCCAAAGAAGTATCATGCTTTAATTCAGAGGCTTTTGGACTGCGGGCTAGTCGAGCTGACGGAGACCCGACCGACTGAATTTGTGGAATGCTTTTTTGTGGCCAAAAAAGACGGTCGGTTAAGGATGGTGGTGGATTGTCGCCGAGCAAATCAATGCTTTGAGTCTTCCGAGCATGTGGCCCTTTGCACTGCCGAAAGCCTGAGACAGAGAAGTTGGAACCTGGCGCCAAGCTTTTTGTCAGTTCAGCTGACCTGAAGGATGCCTTCTATCATTTTGAGCTCCCGGCGCAGCTGCGGACTTTCTTTGGGATGCGGTCTGTGAGCTCTGATTTTCTGAAGCTTCCGGATGGTCATTTTGCAGAAGGTCGACATTGTAGGCTGTATCCACAGTTGTGTGTGCTGCCAATGGGGTGGACACATGCCTTGCGGCGGTGTCAGACCATCCATCAGAAGATTGTGCAGGATGCCGGTGCCTCTCGCGACCTCTGCTTGGAAGATAAGGCAGCCTGTCCCACGGGAGGCCTCCTGCACATTGAGTATGTTGACAACTATGTGGTCCTTGGGTCCTCTAAGGCAGCTGTGCAAGACCTTGCGCAAGCGGGCGTGACGGCTCTTCGAAGTAAGGGCCTTGTCTCGTCCATGAGGAAGAGAGCCCTGAGGGAGACATCAAAGTCCTTGGACGGCAGTTCTCTGGAACTGACTTTCGACCTCTGCCTCATCGGGTTTGGCGAATCCGTCATGCCATTGACCATATCCTGAAGACTGGTAGAATTACTGGTGTACAGCTTGAAAAGGTATTAGGGCATGCATGTTTTGTCAACCTGGGTAGGCGTGAGGCAATGTCTGTTTTCGGGGAATGCTATACCATTACAATAAACTTTATAGACTCTGGAAATCTGTTCGTCGAGAACTATACATCTAACCGGTATTCTTCCTTTGATTTGGCGGGACTTGGCACAACCGTGGTCTACAACAGTCACCGCCATTGATGCTTCAGTTCGGGGTCTTGGAGTTACAACATCCGAGTTCAATCCATCAGAAGTACAGCATTCGGGGAGGTATTCTGAAAGATGGCGGTTTTCTCACAGCGGCACTCAAGAACCCCCGTGCAAGCACAATGGGGGCAGCCATCTCCTGTGACTCTGACGAGGCCAGGGCTTTGCTGTGGGCGGCAGACTGCGGCTCTCAGCAGGGGGGGACTGCCGCCAAAGTGGTGGGGGAGAAAGCTAAACGTGAAACAATTGATCCAATTGGTTTTGATACAGTGCAAAGAACTTGGACAATTGTAGGACGCAACAAGTGGAATCGTCGTGAGAGCATTCCTGTTTTAGAGGGTCGTGCAGTGGTTCATGGTGCAAAGCATTTGTTGAGAAACGTTGGCAACTTCAATAAGAAGCACCTCATCCTTTCAGATTCACTTACAGCAGTTTGTGCATTGGACAAGGGACGGGGAAGAGCTTTCAAGATGCGAAGAGTCACCCAGCAAGTTGGAGCATTGTGTCTGGTGGCAAATGTTGGGATGCATTATCATTGGTTGCCCAGTGAATGGAACCCCGCTGATGCTCCGTCTCGAGGTTCCCTTATTGCATCCCTGCACTCTCGGCATGCCATGGTGTTTCACAAGTTCGTGCCACTCCCACGGACGCAGAAGTCAACCAGTGTCAAGAAGCAATGCAAGAAACAGTCCACTGCTCCTCTGAAGGGCACCGTCAAGAGTGCAGCAGAGAAGAAATTGGAAAGGGCGGCCTTGATGGAGGAGTTTGGGACTCTCAGCATGGCTTCAGTCAGTCCGAGATGCCGGGCGACCTACATGGAGTGCCTGGCCAGAATGGCGAGGTCGACAGGGATCAATCTGGATGGCTAAAACACTGCAGCAGAGGTCGACAAGGCCCTGTGCCTGATGTTGGATCAGATGTTTTTAGAAGGCGAAGATCTTTCAAAGGCGCAGTACATGATGGCGGCAGTGCTTTTCAAATGGCCGCAGTTTCAGTTTCCCAAGCAGATGTTGCCCCCAGTGTCGACGCAAAGCCTTCAAGGTTGGCGGAAGTTGGAGCCGCCCCGGTCCAGGCTGCCTCTCCGATGGGAGGCTGTTTGTTTGATGGCCGAGCACATGATGGGGCACGACATGGTGGAGGAAGCGTTGATGATGCTCCTGGCGTTTGTGATGTATCTCAGGCCAGGTGAGGTCTGCAAGCTTCGCTGCCAGGACTTGGTTCCGCCAGTCGGGCAGGGTCGGCGAGAAGCAAGCAAGTGGTCCTTGGTCCTGCATCCGCAAGAAGAGTTGGTGCCCAGCAAGACGGCAGAATTCGAGGAGACTCTTCTCTTCGATCTTCCATACACCAAGTTTGTGGCCATCAGTGTTCATCAGTGGAGACGGACAAGCAGCAGACCAGGCCATCAGTTGATTTTCAGCAAGACGGCATCGCAGCTCAGAGAGGCCATGGTGTCAGTGGCTCAGAAGTATGCACTGCAACCCCTCGGCGACCCGCACCCATACAGGTCGCGGCACGGAGGAGCCAGCAGGGACTTTGCCACAGGGGACCGAAAGCAACCAGACAATACAACGCCGGGGTCGTTGGAAGACAGCCGCATCAACAAGGAGGTACGAGAAGGGGGGACGCCTGGGGCAACTCATGCGAAGCTTGTCTCAAAAGGTGCGAGACGCGGCCTACAAGGCTGCGGCAAGAATAGAAAAAACGGCCCAATGCCGGCGTTGAGTGTTGGCAAATCTCTGGCGTTCCTGGAGGTGTTCTCTGGTACAGGCCGATTGGGCTCAGCAGCGAGTCAAGAGACAGGCTGGCCAACCCTTCTGTGGGATATCCGTTTGCACCTCACAACAGGCGTAAGATTGCTGAATGGATCAGATGTGGTTACGTTTTGGGTTTTCATTTGGGCACACCCTGTGAAAGCTTTTCACGGGCCCGGGATGTGCCTCCTGGCCCACCCCTTATTCGGAGCAACAGCCAACCACTGGGCTTACCCAATCTGAAGCCCCGTGACCAGCTCAAGGTTCAGTGTGGCAATCTTTTTATGAGGTTCTCTGCATTTTTACTTTCACTTGCTTGTCGTTTTTGCATTCCAGCAACACTCGAGAATCCGCAGTGGCCTCGCCTTTGGTTGTGCCCTGCAATTCTGGCCATTTTGCGACGTAGACAAGTTTCGCTTGTGATGACCACTTTTTGCGCTTGGGGCTCTCCATTTAGAAAGGCGACTTCTTTTCTTAGCGTGTATGTTGATTTGTGGCGACTTCAAGATCATAAATGCACTTCTTCACGTCGTGGGGTTTGTGAATATTCTCAAGCCAAGCACGTCCCGATTCAAGGTCAAAACAGTCAAGGTCAGTGGTGGACAAAAATAGCTGAGCCTTACCCACCTCGGCTTTGCTCTGCTATTGCAAAAAGTTTTTTCGATTGGGATGTGCAACAAGTGGCAAACCGTTTTCAGATTTTCCTGGCACCGAAAAACGGTCGGCAGTAACCAGAGGGCAAGCAAATATGGGGGCCACGGCATTCCGTTACTGAAGTGTTGCAAATATGGGTGGCTCCGCAGTGCCTGTGAAACAGGCAGGATGTTCGAGTCAGTCAGCTGGACAAAACGGTGGCAGCGGAATGAATCATTGGTGTTCTTGAATGTAATTGAGCAATGTAGACCATGAGTCATGGCCGGATCGTGATCTTTTCGATCTCAAGCGTCACCCAATCCTGCATGTCCCACCCATGACACTTGGGTGGCTCCGCAGTGCCTGTGAAACAGGCAGGATGTTCGAGTCAGTCAGCTGGACAAAACGTTGGCAGCGGAATGAATCATAGATGTGGCAAGTTGGAACATGTTTGAAGATCGGAATGCATGGGATTGTATAGGCATGTCTGTTGGAAGTTGGGTTGCAGTTCAATCTTTGAGGTGGAGTTGATCTACGGACAAGGATTGGTTCAAGGAATTCTCGGTCAAGGCCTTGGTTCAATGGGAACTCCAGGATCCTAAATTGGAGGTACTGTACCACATAAGGCCATATTTTGGGGGGATATCCCCTTACATAGGCCTTATATAGGCCTTATATATGGTAGGTACTTCCAATTTAGGATCCTGGAATTCCCATTGATTGGTGAGAGACACGTCGCCATCGCTCTCCGCGCAGCGGGGCGCAGCACGCGGCACTCCGAGGCTCCGATGAGTCGTGCGTCCTGGCAGAGCCTGAGCCACTTTGTGTTCGACAGGAGACGGCTTCCAACAGGATCTGCCCCACGTCCCCACGTTTGCCCCACAAAAATAGGCATTGAAATGGCCAAATTTGGTATTGAAAATATTGAGACATATTGAGACATGTGAACCAAAGACTTCATGAAATGGCCAAATGAACAAATGAATCCAACCTCCATTTGGCATTGAGTAAACATTAAATCATTAAACTATATTAAACTCATTGAATTCATTGAGTTGAGAAATGAGAACATCTTGGTGCTTTGGATTCCAGGAGTTGCTGGTGGCAACAACAGTGAAGGATTTGAGCTTGGGAACTTTTGATGGTCTCCTCGGACTGGGACTACCTGGTATTTCACATGCGCGTCAGGACGGGTTCAACGGGAACAAAGTCGGATTCAGCAACTAATCGGATTCAGAAACAAATGTCTTCGGATTCAGAAACTAGTTCTTTCGGATTCAGAAGCTAATGAAAACGGATTCAGAAACTAATTATTCAGAAGCAAATGATTCGTCAATGCGAAACAAATGAGAAAGTACATCCATGAGTCATGTCTTAATCCAGCCCTCAGCTGACACATCAACATTGCAACCATATCTGGCAAATGCATGCATACTTTTATCAACTTACAAAACAAACTTGCCATGCCCTCTGGAACATACGTTCATGTTTACAAGAAGAGAATTCAAAATTGCCACCCCCTCTGGCAAATACATGCATATTCTTGCTAACTAGCAAAACATAATTGCCGCCCCTATGAACAACATGTCTCTTTTTCCACCAGAACAATTCGAAATTGCCACCCTCTGACAAATACATGCATCCCCCCCTGAACAACAGGTTCCCTTTTCTACACAACACTTCAAAATTGCCACCCCCTCTGGCAAATACATGCATATTCTTGCTAACTAGCAAAACATAATTGCCGCCCCTATGAACAACATGTCTCTTTTTCCACCAGAACAATTCGAAATTGCCACCCTCTGACAAATACATGCATCCCCCCCTGAACAACAGGTTCCCTTTTCTACACAACACTTCAAAATTGCCACCTCCTCTGGCAAATACATGCGTATCCTTGTTAACAAAGAAAACAACAAATCCACCCCTCTGAAAGACACGTTTCTTTGTCCACCAAAACAACTCAAAATTGCCACCTCCTCTGGCGAATACATGCATAGTCTTGTCAACGAACAAAACAAACTTGCGACCACCTCTGAAAAACACGTTTCTTTGTCCACCAAAACAGTTCAAAATTGCCACCCCCTCTGGAAAATACATGCATATTCTTGCTAACTAGCAAAACATAATTGCCACCCCTCTGAAAACAGGTTCCTTTTTCCAGAATCCTTCAAAATTGCCACCCGCCAGCCTCTCTGGCAAATACATGCATATTCTTGTTACAGACTTGCAGCCCCTCTGAACAACAGGTTCCTTTTTCTACAGAACACTTCAAAAATGCCACCTCCTCTGGCAAATACGTGCGTAGTCTTGTCAACGAACAAAACAAATTTGCGACTCCCTCTGGACCACAATGTCATGATTAGAAGGCAATTCAAAACTGCCACCGCCTTTGGCAAACACATGCATGTCCTTGTTAACAAAGAAGCACATTTGCCACCCCTCTGAACAACCCGTTTCTTGACCACCAGAATAATTCAAAATTGCTACCCCCTCTGGCAAATACATGCATATTCTTGCTAACTAGCAAAGCAATAATTGCCACCCCCTGAAAAACAGGTTCCTTTTTCCAACAGAACAAGGCTTTGCCACCCCCTCTGGCAGATACATGCATGGTCTTGGTAACTAACAAAACATACTTGCGACCTCCTCTGGACCTGGCATGTGAGCCCACGTCAAGATTCAGATTAAGGCGCTTCACAATGCATCTGTATTAGTTGTCGAAAATAAGTTTCCGAATACAACCGCGACCCTCCACGGGACCACGGCAAGCCTTGAAAAAGGTGTGAAGAGAATGATACGCAAGTCCAAACAAAATCTAAAAAATCACATTCATGTCACATTCATACTACGTATGGATTGTGTACAAATCACATTCATGTCACATTCATACTACGTATGGATTGTGTACAAATCACATTCATGTCACATTCATACTACGTATGGATTGTGTACAAATCACATTCATGTCACATTCATACTACGTATGGATTGTGTACAAATCACATTCATGTCACATTCATACTACGTATGGATTGTGTACAAATCACATTCATGTCACATTCATACTACGTATGGATTGTGTACAAACCACATTCATGTCACATTCATACTACGTATGGATTGTGTACAAATCACATTCATGTCACATTCATACTACGTATGGATTGTGTACAAATCACATTCATGTCACATTCATACTACGTATGGATTGTGTACAAATCACATTCATGTCACATTCATACTACGTATGGATTGTGTACAAATCACATTCATGTCACATTCATACTACGTATGGATTGTGTACAAATCACATTCATGTCACATTCATACTACGTATGGATTGTGTACATGGACATGAAGGTGAAACTTTCCTGTTGGCACTGCTTAGCACCTGCAGGATTTTCTGCAGTCGCTGATGAAAGCGGGATACGGCAACGGCCACCTTTGCTTTTCCTTCTCGCCCTCATCTCGGCTTTGTCTTCTTTTGAATACTATCGAGTCATTAGTTGAGTCATTAGTAAATTATTCTGCTTTGTTTTCATTGCGCCATCATGGCGAAGCATTTTTTAGGTGCATTTTTAGATGCCATCAGAGCCTTGCAGACCATATGCCTTCTCTTGTGAGGCTGCGCGGTGAGGCACAACCTTGACGTCAACAAAGACCTACATCATTACAGTACGTACCATACAGTACCTCCTCATGCAGTTTTTGCACTAGTGTCCCTGGCTGTTGGCTATTCAAGTTGGTTTCACTGTGTCAAATACGTCAATAGGAAGCAGAATCTTTCGCCCTCTTCGGCACTTGCTCGGAAGTGCTTCGACAGGGCCTCAGATCGAGCACGGTGCCACGAGATGCCACGAGATGCCACGACATGCCGCGACCAGCTCAGGTCAAGCGTCCGAAGAAACAGGTTTTCCACAACAAGCTGCTGCTCACCTTTGGGTTCAGCTTGCACCTGAGCATTCCTTCATTATGAGCAAAAATCTAAGAAAACAAACACAAAGGGTACAGAGTAGAAACTCAGTAGTGCACTTGGTGATGCGTTTTGCGAGATTCCTAAGGCATTTCTTTGGTATGCAGCCGGGTCTGTTCCTCACGACAGCTTGGTGTTGCAGCATCGCACTTGTTGAGCGCTGGTCGTCTGCCAGGTTGGTGGTTGGTTTCAGCGGCGATTTCCTCAAATGGGACGCGTGTGTGGCAGGCACCGCGGCCCTGACGGCCCTAACACCATTCGATGGATTTGCTCTGTGAAACTCACCCCCAGCAATTCCCAGCGCTTTTTTTTTCTTTATCAAAGCAGCTGCAAATCTATTGGTGAATACTGAATACATAAAATCGATTCGGTGATGTGTTGAAGACCGCAGCTGTTTGTACCATCTGTTTCAACCGTCTAGTGAGTCTAGCTGTCTATGTTTGCCTCGTGATGCCTGTTCTCATGTTTGTTGTCATCATTTGCTTCATGGGTGTTGTCCAGGGACCTGACATCCTTTCAATCAGCTTGTGCGGATCTCATTGTCAATTGTGATGCGTGTCCAGTCTCAAGTCTCAAGTGTCGAGTCAAGTGTCCAGATTCCATCTGGCAGTGGTGTGGCCGGAGTGACCGGTGTGACCAGAGTTCCTCAAGTTCCTGGATTCAACTTGAAGCCAAGCATGCAAAGCGCGCAGCAAAGGTGTGAAATCAGTGCCATGATGCTCTTCTTCGTCCTCTACCAGCAGCGCAGACTCTTTGATCTCCCGTGGCGGCCACGGTCGATGGGTCGCTGCGCCTTAGCTTCAAAATGCTTCAAACGTAGCTGATGGGTCGTTACGTCGTATTCTCACTTGAAGCTGGCCCTGGACAGGTCGCAGGTGTCTTTGGCAAACTTGCCACATCCTCTGGGATTTCTTGCAGGACGATTCATTGATTTGGTGGGAAGGTTTTTTATAGTCTGCGACAGTGTCTGCGACAGTCTGCATCGCAACTTTCGCAACATTCGCAGGGCATCTTCCTGATCTTTCTCTTGACCTGCGCCTTTTTGATTCTTGTGACGGTTGCTGTCCACACATTTCAATCAGAGGCGCCATCGATCACCGGACTCCTGCTGCTGTCCAGAGTCGTGTCGAAGATGTCGCAGGTCACTGCGGCTCTAGACACAGGCACATCATTCATTGCACGGCACCAAGCGTTTCGAACCATCTGGAGTTTACCATTTACCATAGTTTATGTACATGTGTTTATATCATATAATTATTCGAGGTATATCAAGTTTATGGTTATAGTCTATGTTTTTTTTTTACATATGCAATCATTCACATATACTTTGCATATATATATATATATCACAGCCTATACATCGTAGTACTCGTAGTCGCTCGCGTCGCAATTCTGAGGTCATCCCTCCAGATGACTTCCAGCAGGTCGCAGCAGCCATGTTTGGCGCGCGTCGCTGGGCGTTCTGATCGATGGGGAGCTTATGGGCAGAGTTTCCTTCATAAATTCTCCACTTACTAAATGATCTAGATATGATCCAGATATGATCCTCCATATTGAGATTTCATGGGAAAATCATGGGAAAAATCCATGAAATTTGATGGTTTCCTGTAGATTTTCCCGTAGACCAATGTATTGAGATCCTGATGGTGATTAAGATGGTGATTGATCCAGGAGCAAAGTAGGAATATCTTGGGAAAAAAGGGGGCAACGAAAGAAGACATCGCAGAACAGATGATGCAATGTGTTTCCGTGTGTCCAGACATGGAGCACAGCGGCTCTTATCTATTCGCTGCTACCATACCAGTTTACTAATAGCAAGTTCCAGGGAGTCTGTCCATGCCGTCTGTCATCGAAACAATTGGTCCTTTACGTCAGGCTTCACATTTCTTTCTTATCTTTCTTTGCTCCTGTTCCATCCTCCGTTTTCCTTTCCCAAGTTTCTGAGGGCTCAAAGACAGCTGCGTGGTGGACAAGACCGAATTGCCTAAAACTCAGCTCTGCAACTCTGCAGCCCTGGCGATCCGGGCCCGAATTGAGGCTCTGTGCGTGTGGCATCGCTGAGGAGGCTCGCTCCAAATCTGGGCCAACTGGTTATACCCTCTGGTAAACTAACAGTTTGCTATTGAAAATTGCCATTTATAGTGGATTTTCTCATTAAAAATGGTGATTTTCCATAGTTATGTTAGTATACCAGAGGGTAACGGGCATGGCATTGTTCACCGATGTTGCAGGCAAATCCATTGGACATCCGCATGGATGGCGTTCTCTTCCGTGATGGACCCGTTGTGCAAATGGGGAGCCATCATTTTCCAGTGCAGCGCTTTTGGAATGGAATGGAAGGATCAACCGCTTGAACTCTGCAAATCAAGGAAGAATACGAAAGATCTTACGAAAGATATATCTTGGTGCCCAACTAATAACAATTTCACACGATATTACACGATATTACAACATATTACTACGCATCATGCATCGTGCAACGGGGCCTACTATAGGTCTGCATCCCCGTGAGACATTTGAGATCAAGGACTCCGTGACCTGTGGCAAAATCCCAAGGGATGAAAAAAACAGCCCGAAGATTTCATCAATCAAGGACTATAATTCGACAATGAATTCAACATGATGATTTCATAATATATATATATATATCATAATATATCATAATACTACAGATTCTTTTAGATAATCAAATTGGATAATTGTTTTACTGGGGATACACTCTGTCAGTTGATACAATTCCAAGTGAGGATAAAATCTGCAGGAGGACGTGTAAGTCTTTGAAATCACGTTGGAGTGCAGTGGACACATGACAGACATCATATGGCCAAAGAAAAAACTTCTTGTCACCAGAAAACGAATAGAACATGTATAGAACATGTATATAGGCTAAACGTATATAGTATATACACTTCTTGAAACTATTGAGCTTCATTGAGTTTCACCTCTTTGTTCACACAAGCTTTACTCCCTGCCACCCTCCCAATTTGTTGCCAGGCACAAGTCGTCTTAAATGGAGATCAGCAGGCGAAAAAGGGAACCGCTCCAGACATCTCCAGTGATTTCCCACATTTTTTTCTTTCAAACCCTGGCAATACATGAGCTATGGTCAATACTCATGGTTAATAACCATTAATAGGGGCTAGTCATCCAATGGTTCATAGGGATTTATAACAACCATGATAAGGATCCTTATTATGGATGGGATGACCATCAACCATATAGTGAGTATTGACCATGGCTCACATAAGCTTTACTTCCAAGTTTGAGGCAATCAGATTTGACACTGAGCATGACCAAAAAAAATGTGCAGGCATGTCGAAGTGGCTTTGCCACACAGGCGAGCGCAACTTTTTTCTGTCGATCAGTTCATCGCCAGACATTCGACGCATTCGACGTCAGGCGGTTCCCTTTTGGATTCTGGGAGATCCTTTCCTCAGGCTGCTGCGTTCGCTTGCAGTCACACAGCAATGCTTGGTAGAAGTTTGGCAGCGAGACGAATCCACGTTGCCTGTAGTCAGGCAAGCAGTGGTTGCACATGACTTGCGTGGCAACGTGACCGTCTTCCCACGTCAGGCTTGGAAAGCCAGCTTGAGCATAGGATGGCTGGACGCGAGTCGGACTTGACACAAACCCTCGAAATATCCATTCTGCGCATTTCTGCGCTGCTTGGATGGCAGGTCAAGCTGGATGATGACATTGTTCTGGCAGCAGTACCCTCAGGCTGACCATGGGAATAACATATAATTTATATAATACATGGATGACTAAGGGTAGACTCTGAATCTGAGATGCGATGCACTCTTTTTGAACATCGGATGCCATCTGTGTGTCCTGCGAATTTTCGGCTCAAGAGTATCCTGCGCCATGGGCCATGGACCATAGGCATGACAAGCCATGCGGGTGCTTCAGGAAGTCCCTCGAGACAAGGGATGTGCCATCCAACACATTCCTTGTGATGGAAGTCACGGGCCAGGAGCGATGAACTGACAGAGTCACGCGTGGTTAACAAGATGAAGCAAGATGAAAGAAGACACATTTGACATCCGTTAAAGATTTACACATTTGAATACAATTTACACATTTGTAATAATTTACGATGATAGATTTACACACTTATGATGGGTTTCTAGCATTGGCCTTCATTGCCCCCTGAGGTCTTCGGATTTTGTTTTATGGCGACAGTCTGACCGCGGGCGCTCCCAGCATGATTTCCTATGCCGAGGAATTCTGCAGGTCGTTGACCGCCAAAGGATGCCACGTGGAGGGGACGCTGTGTGGCCTCTGTGCAGCCACGGCACGGCAGATGCTGGAGATTGCGGAGGAAGCTGTCGTGTTGGATTCATTGCAAAGTCGTTGGGGCTCAGGGATTAGCTGTTTGGCGGGGAAGAGGAAGGATAGGAAGGCAGATCTGGTTCTAATTATGGCAGGGACAAATGATCTGCCATGGGAAGATGGGAAGCGGATTTTTGAGTCAATACAGGGCTTGCATACAGCTTGCCATAGTTTGGGGATCCCAACCATTGCCCTCGGCATCCCGGACAGTGGCGGGCGCTCAGTGAAGAGGTATGGAATGCTGCCTGAAAACCGGCGCAAAGTAAATTCTTTGCTGTCCTCCTGGGTCAAAGAATCACATCAAATCAGAGACACGTCCACCTCGAGCCACACCTCGGACACAGGCATTGATCTCCTGGGATTCCTGGGCACTTATCCAATGGGACCTGAAACCTTCGTGAATTCCGTAGCTCTCATGCCATTTGGTCCACGCAGTCGATCGGAGGGATATTGGGAAAGTGATGGCACCCACTTCACAGCCAGTGGTGCGAAGACTTTGGGCCACAGACTTGCTGAACTTTTGCGACCGATGATTCACAGGTCGTTCCGATTCGTTCCTGAATGAATATGTTTATTTAAGGACTATTTTGGTATAATTCAGGGTATGAGTCGTACAAGTTGAGTCATGTTAGGTACTGTTGGACTATCTTTGAATTGAGTTTGAGATGATTTCGGTTCATGTCGGAGTACCATAGCCCATCCCTTGAGAGGTTCCAAGCCAATTGTGCTGTTGCAAACACTAGTGAGCTTGCGGCTGGCGGAGAAATTCCCTCCCTCAGTTCTTTCTTGGAAGCCTTTGATTTGGAGGCCCGGCTGTTCGACTCGATCGTTTTGCTCAGCGAATTGCACTTGGATGCCTTGTACACCTTTGTTCTTCTTTCCTCGAGCTGCATCAAGCCTGTAGGAAATGCATGAACGCAAGAATGTACTTGGTGCCCGTGAAACCTCTTACCATCATCCATCACCACCAAACCAGAATATCATGAAAGCCTTTATGCTGGGGCACAGAGGTTTGCATTGCTGGTAGTTGCGATTCTGCTTCACACTGGAGGCGGACGAGGAGCAGCCAAAGGAGCCAAAGGAGCTACCTACACCTTGCCGAGATTGGGAATTGCCTGCCGTCCAAACCCTTCAGTCGTATTTCAGAAGTTCCCGAGACGAAAAACAGGGCGTCCTCTGGATTGCGATCCTTCAGATTGTCCTTAGACAGCTCTGCGAGTTGTCAACCTTGCTTTCTGCTGACATCTGAAAACTTTGTGTTCACCTGTTCATCCTGTTCATGCTCCAAAGTGGACCCTAGACATGAAAATTGGTTGGCTATGGCTGGTCCCCTGCAGAGCTAAATGGCAATTCCAGCAGTTCTAAGGCGAGGACGTTTTCTAAGCTGTCGTGGATACCGCCGTTCTCCAGCGTACTTCTTCTGCGTCTTTGCAGCACCAGATCTTTGAGAAATATGTCCATAGAGCCATAGAGATACGATATCATCATTGATAATCAAAGCTAGATGCATGGATCAATGAGCAATTTGATGGAAGAATAAACAGTAGACACATGTGTGACACAACAAGAATACTAGTACAACTTTACAGTACAACTAATAGAAATCTCCCAGCCTGTATAGTGGCACACCTATGCGCCCAGCCAAGGTCTGCCATTTGCTGCAGACGATCGCGTCCATTTCGCACAGGTGCCCAGCCACACCACATGAAGTGCACTGTGGGATACTCTGGGCATAGACAAATATCATGATATATCTTTGTATACGTATATAATATAATATATTATTATTATTACTTATTATTATATAAATATATACAGTATAAAAGCTGTATGTATAATATATAATAATATATATATATCTATTGTTATATTTTATATTAAATAATATATTTAGAATTATATTATATATAATATAATATAATATAATATATATATATATTTAGAATTATATTATATATATATTATTATATATATTATATATTATATATTATATATTATATATTATATATTATACATGATATATTTTACAATATACATTATATATTCTACATTATGTATTATATAGTGTTTATTATATACAATATATTCTATATTATATTATTATATATTATATATTATATTATTATATTATATATTATATTATTATATATTATATATGATATATGATATATTATATGTTATATTATTATATATTATATATTATATTTTTATATTATACATTTTACATTCTATATTATATATTATATAGTATATTATATATACAATATATGATATATGATATATAATATTACATATTCTATATTCTATATTCTATATGCTATATTATTTATTTTATATTATATATTATACATTTTTTTATTATTTATTATTTATTATATATTATATAATTCTATATATTATATTATATATATCAATATATTATACAAATAATATATATATATATTATATTATATATTATATATTATATATTATATATTATATATTATTTATTATATATATATTATTTTTTTTTATATATTATATATTATATATTATACACTATACATCACATATTATACACTATATATCTTATATTAATATATTATACAAATAATATAATATATCATATACTATATGTTATATATTATACAATGTTGATTTGTTTATTGACTTGTTTCATTCATGTGATGGTGGCAGTGGCAGGGGAAGCTGCTGAGAGACCATTGCTTTCTGCTTGAGAGAAAACAGCGAGAGGTGATTTGCACCTGATATATGAATCATGACTATCATAATATGTAATATATCATTTATATCATTTATATATCATTTATCATGACTCATCATCATGGACCTGTGTCATGCTGTGTCATGCTGTGTCAAAGGAAATTGCCATTCTCCTGCGCTGCTTGGCTCCAGAGATTCTGTGTACAAGGAAGAGACCAAATGCGATCTTTCTTCGGGTGGAGGCCTCTAGCGACTCTAGCCTCCAGTTGAAAGCAGCTGTGACAGACGTGTCGCCCCTGTACCTCTCACATGCTCTTGCCGTGAACCAGGTGCCGAAGGCTTTTTCCGTGATGTGGATTCCTCAGTTCTGTTTTTGTTTCAAGACTTCCGGAATAGCTATACTGTTTATAGATATCACTTATTTGATTGCATTTATATGAGTTGATTAATTATTGAGATACCCTTTTCGAACTGCACTGATCACACTGGTCAATGAGGCCGGAGGAAGGAGAGTACTGGTCTCAGGTTGAAATGGCTGCCAGCCACACCTACAGGCAGTCGAATTCCATGGTTAAACTGTGAACAGAGCTGCTTGAAAGGCCACCAGCCAAAGTGGAATGGGTCTTCGAAGTGGAGGATCGTGAAGAGGTGGACAGTACTTGCTGCAATTACTGGGCAACTCATCTTATACCAAAGTAGTTCTGAAGTGGAAACGAAATAGCTTGAAACTGGGGATGAGGCTTATACTGGTACTCCCCAAAGAGCATCCATGCGCTGAGAGGTTCTAGCTCCACCACCCACGGGGCAATCAAACAGCTGGCTGTTGTTGCCTCAGCCCTCAGCAGTTTGGGTCGGTGTCCACTCCGTGTCAGTTGGATCTTAAGGAGTTGGCTGCATGGCCAGTTGGCATCTTAGACCTTCGACAGTTGAAGTCCAGAAAAATCTTGCGGAAATCTATGGCGCAGCACAGCTCTCTGCCAGGCATCATACAGACCATCCGACTCACGAAAGTGTAGGGCCCGTGGGGCACCATCATTCCAGGCGGAGCCTGGGTGGACACCAATCCACACTGATTTTGAGACACAAATATACCATGAAATATCATGAACTATTATGAAATATATGATAATATATGATAATATATGAGAATATATGATAATATATGATAATATATGATAATATATGATAATATATGATAATATTATGAATATATGATAATATATGGATGTAATCGAGATTTCTTCTATTTCATGAGCTTTCCCGACACTCATGGCTAGAAGTGTCCGGTGTTCCTCCAATTGCTCCAATGCTGCAGGGAATCCGACCAGAGTGCTGCTTCCCTACCTGGGGAGCTGCAGCCTCAACGCCCCAGCCCAGCTGAGAAGCCACAGCATAGAGTCGCCATGGCCCCTTCAGATTGGCAGAGTTGGCGTTTCGCAAGGTCTCGAGATGCAGAGGGGTCGGAAACACAGCTGAGACATGCTGAGACATGCTGAGACTGAACACGTTTTCAACTCTCATCTTTAGACCACCTACATAGATCTACATGGCACCTTTTTGACCTTTGTTGCTGTGGTCAGCTGCAGTGACGTGCGGATTCACTCGTACTTTCTGCCCCTTACTGATTTCGATTTTGCTTGTAACGTATACAGCATACATGTTGTGTTCACTTCAATCTTCTGCACCAAGACCTGTCATCTGTATCATCTTTCATCAAATTCTTGGCAAATCATGCCATTAACATGTGAGCCATTGAACTGTGGTAATTACAGTACATGCGGGCGTTCTTTGTGAGTTCTCCATTCTTACAGATTTGTACCAGCTTCCAGCAAAAGATCCCATAGCATTAAGGTTTCTACCCACATCATATGGGCAGCAACTCAATAAATGATTCAACAAAACTCCACAATCATTCTACAAACATCCTAAACACATCCAGTTACATCATACACACATACGAGTTACCGACAAAGTTATTCTAATACTAATTGACTCATTTGACTCTTGCTTTGGGCATCCTTGGCCTTGAGGCTGTGCTTAAAACCTTCATTACATTTCATTACTGATAGGGGACAAGCCATGACAAGCCTATGGACAGACCGATACCCCAATACCGTTGTGGATGACTCACCTCAGAGCCTCAGACTCCGTGATTTTCTTCCAAGGCCAACAGGTGCATCCGAGCAAACGGGAGGCGTTTTTGGCCTCATGGGCTTTGGTGCATGGAGCGGTGCCCAGCGAAAGTGAACTGCGGTTTCTATAGGCAGAGACTATGCCATATGTGGCCTGCATATGTGTATATATGTCTATGATATGATATAGATATATGTTGCGCTTATATTATATATATAGGTAGATGCCTTTGTTGTCTCTGTTTCAGCGGTGTTGCAATGAAGAATGAGTATAAAGAACACGAGGAACACGTCTCAGCCACGAATCACTTCGTTCCTTGACGCAAAAAATCGGGAGAGCTCCTAGAGCGAAGCCCGAGGTTTGCCGAGCCCGACAATCCTCTTCCGCCACGAGCTCAGAGGGCTGTCCGCTGTTTCCGCGTCTGACTGGTGCTCTGGTTGTCAGCAGCTTTCATGATATTCGACCGTACATTCTATGTTTACGAAACAGAGACATCCCAAGATATTGTATAATATTATATATTATATTGTATAATATATTATATATAATATATATATAATATATATATATTATATATATAATATGTAATATGTAATATTCATCATTCATCTATAGTCAAGCAAGAAATCTTTCCAAATCCTTTGAGGCCGCCGGCCAAGTCGCGGATGGATGAGTCTGACTCCATGTCCGCCAGCCCAGATCGGACTCCAGCCACAGCGATCTGCTGATTTTTTCGTCGCTTTTTCGTGGCGAGTTGTGTCAGGGCTGGAGAACAGAGGGTCGGATCCCAAGGGTCCCAAGGGGACAGAACAGTTGCAGCATCTGAATATCGCTGCTGAAATTCTAGATAGACTTAGATGCATATTCAAGTTTCAATTTCTTACTTCCTCAGCCGAAGTAAGCTGGAACATATCTCCTCTCAAACACATGTTCTGTAATTACTAGTTACTGTAGTAGTGGATCTAAGCCAATAATTTTAGGAAGAACCTTTACTTGTGGCTGCAGGATTTTGGAACCGCTTCAATTGCAATTTCTCTAACCCTCTTCAGACCGAAAGTTCACTGGGCTGCCACAGCACCAGTAGGAAGTACTGAATGACAAGAGACAACACATGACAACACAATATTTTTGTTGCAGCCGCAAAGGTCAGATGGAGTGTTGAATTGGACATTCCGGATCACATGTTGGATGACGAGGTGTGAATCATCGAAGTGCAATAGGTGACATTTCTATGGTGGTGCTTTGAGCAGACATTGCTTCACAGTGGTTTGGCATTCGCAGCGGGTCATGCGGCTTTTGTCAGGTAGTTCCTGAACGAGTCGTAAAGACAGCATCAACGGCTACCTCGTTGCCTCCTGCACGACACCCAGATCTCTTGACATTTTGTGACAGTTGCTGTGCCCACTTCAGTGCCCACTTCAGTGCCCACTTCAGTGCCCACTTCAGTGCCTTGCAGCCTGGTGAACCAGGCCTCGACCATGATCACCCGAACAGAGGCTATGAAGGCCAGGAAACTGGGTCTGTCCACGATGTTTCGTTCATTTTCTTCAGAATTTTGGAGAGCTTCCCGGTATCAGTGTCTCAGTTGTGGCACCCCTTTCCATGCAGCCAGGAAGAGAACATGCACATCTACTATTCAGGCAGCTATTACATGATTGACTGCATGTTGGAAAGTTGGAATCCAGAAGAACTATTTGGCTTTGCAGCCGCTGCGTATCGCTGCGTGCTGTGCGATGACCCTGACATTTGACCCAGATGATTTCTTGGAGCAGTTCAACACCGCTGACATTGCCAGTGCTGTTGCAGCAGCAGATGGGACCTGAGAATCATTGAGAATCTGTGAGTGGTTGACACATGGTGACAACATGGTGACAACGTGACGGATGTCATCGGATACGCGTGAAAGTGACGGAATTCTGACAGGTTCCTGGTGACCCTGATCCTCCACTGCCACCACCAAGTGATTATCCACCAGAGGAGGCTGAGACGGGAACTGGGGAAAATTCTTCATCCAAGTCATTGAACATCGTTCAAACAGCCAATGGATTGAAACTGATCTCAGACTGATTTAAAGCTCTGAACCCCAGGGCTTCCACGAAGTTGATCTTCGGCAAGCGGCTCAACTCTGGACATGTCAGAGACATTTAAAGTCCTCGAGTGACACTTGCAATGTTTTTGCGTCAGAGGTACGAGTCATGCGATTTGTTAGGACACATGGCAGAAACGATTTTCCGCAGATGTTCCGGTTTGAGGGATCACTGACCAGGCTGAGGCTGACACAAACCATTCTGTCGCATTCTGTCGCACACCGGAACAATATGGAACGGTTTTATCTTCTCAGGGCTGCGCCGGTTCCGGTCGGGATGCATCAAGTGCATCAAGTTGAAGTCCAGGACGCAGAAGTTGCTGCAAGAGGGACATTGAAAACACAAAAGTCAACAAGAATCCTTTGTATGTTGCTATGCAATGCTATGCAATGCTTTGCAATGCTATGCAATGCTATGCAATGTTATGGCTCTGCATATGATTAGTTGCTCACAGAAAAGGTTCATTGTTTGAAAGTCTGTCATGGTCTCCACTGACTTCAGTGCCTCGCTACACAAAATTCGTTCCGCCTCTGAAATTCGTTCCGCACCTGGGAGAAAGCACTGGTTTTTAGTGTGATCGCTTCCGCAGGAACTCAAAGCTCAGCCAGACAGCATTGATGAGGCAAGAAATCAAGAAATCTGGGAGCAAAAAAAATGACACGTGAGACTTACAAAGGTGAGGTGCGTGCATCATCTTCCCAGAGACAGTCTTCTCTTCCCCTGGTGGCCCTGGTGTCCGACTGGTGAGGTGGATGATGTGGCACTCTTTGTGGAGTTGGCTTCTGAGAGAATTTTAGTGTCACGAAGATGAATTGATTGCCATTCATTGCCATTCATTGCCATTCATTGCCATTGATTGCCATTGCCTGTTCCCTGTCAGAATTGTTCCCTTGCACCAGGAGATTCATAAGAGGCCATGAGAGGCCATGACGGGGTGAGAGACGGCAAGAACTCATGATTTGAAGGTCTGAAGAGCCTGCAGAACGCACAGACCCAAGATCCATACAAACTCGCAACCACATTTATATGTCATGCACTGTCTTTTTTCTTCTCTCTCTCTCTCTGACATGCTTGAGCCGATTATTGACTAGCCGACCACCACGAACGGTGGACCAAGGAAAGACCTGCTGCAGCAAGTGCAAGGCAATGATGCACATAGTGATACACATAATGATGCACATAATGTCTACGTACCATGCCTGCGATTGCTGCAGATCTGTCTTGCACCGCCGGTGCAGGCTGCTATGAGATACGCGTGCACATGCCAGTGTTTCAGCTCCAAGGGCAAGGATGAATGCTTCCAGTTGCTCGTGTCATCTTGTGTCATCTTGTGTCATTTTGTGTCATTTTGTGTCATTTTGTGTCATGTAATGTAATGTAGGTCATGATTGTCAGCATGCGCACCTGATGTAGGACTCTGAAGATCCCGCAATGAAGCTGCAAGCCTAGTATCGTGTTGAGTGAAAGGCCATTCATTTCCCCAGAAATCCCTTGCCATGATGCCATGATGCCATGATGCCTTTCCAACACTGATTCTGTGAGGGAGACTGCCAGCAAACTCCTGGATGAAGAGATCGAGGCCTGGATGAAGTGGATGAAGAGATGGTACTTTATGGTACCTTCAGATCTTTTAGATCTTTTAACCATTTTTAACCTGGAAAAACTGAAGTGACAGGACTTCAGTGGACGCCCGATCATAGCTTGCATTGCCTGGCTGAGTCAAAGAGGCCTGGCTGGGCATCGGGCTGGGCGGTCTGTTTGTCGCCAGATTCTCTCAGATGTTATCAGTCTTCCCGAAGTCTTCCTTCATCTTTGGAATTCAGCTTGGTGACTGAGTGAATGTTATGGGAAAGGCATGGCAAAATGCCCTTTTTGTTGTGCCCGGCCCTTAGATGCCCTTGGACCCGATTTCAATTTGACAGGCAAGTCAAAACAGAGTCAAACTTTGTCTGCATGTGGAAGGGACATGGATTTTTTTGTAGGATTCTCCTTAGGTTTTTGTTCTTCTTCGGTTTTTGTGCCTCCGAGCTCCCTACCAAAAAACAATCCCACACAATCCACGCGCAAGAGCGGACCGGAAAGTTGCGAAGTTGCGACCTGAGGTTATCATTGGCTTCACGGTGACTCTCATGATCATCTCCATCGGCATGGTCAGTGTCTCTCAGTTTCCTCAGTACTCGGCACTACTCGGCACCGCTTTCCGAGCGTTGCCGAGCTGTGCGGCAGGTCACAAGACCTATGGAGGTGGAGATCGATTGGGACTCGTCGGGGCCAAGAGGAGTTCACGACCACGATCTGGATATTCACTGAGATCACTGAGACTGAAGAGCTCTATGCTGTGCAATTCTAAGGTTTCTGAAGACCGATGTCAACACATCCACAATGCGGGATGTCTTTTTGTCACTTGATTGGCATCCGTGTTGTCCCAGCAATTTCACTGTTTGCATCATATTAGTGGCGCTGAGAAATTGGATGTCCAATGATGCCCAGTGTGCACAGATCCCCTCCCAGGTTTGCTCTACAGCAACGCCAGACAGATCGTCGATTGACGGAAGTCCGGGAATTGAGTGAAGCGCGAGAACTTCAAGGTGCGAGAAAACATGAGACAATTCGAGAAAACCACCAAACTCATCAAACTCATTGAAATTCTTTAAGATGCCGTATGATGCCGTGTCCCGAAGTGAAATTTGATGTTGTCTTATTGGACTATTGGACACTCTCATAGCTTTGGCAGGAAACCGGCTCTACTACCACAATGATCTCTACTTGGCGTGCTCCTGCTGGGAAGTTGGGCTCTCCAATGGACTTGCTTTGCTGTAGCTGGTTTTGTCCCAATGCCGTGAAGCATCGTGAAGCTAGGTTCCGGCATACTTTCTTTTCATCTCCCATGCTACAAGTCTTAGATAAGAAAGATAAGAAAGGATGAAGAATGTAGGAATATGATGTGGAATATGTAGATTTATGTAGATTTATGTAGAATTATGTAGAATTATGTAGATTTATGATTTATTACTGGCTTTTTTTTCTCTACATAATTTGACATGAAGAGGTACCAGATCCCAGCTGATGAAGATGCTGGTGAACATGGCCTGATGAGTGCTCGTTGGCTCTCCTCGGTCGGCAGCCACAGTCGAGTCAAGCTGAGTCAAGCTGAGTCAAGCTGAGTCAAGCTGAATGATTCCAGGACCCTCACAGAATTCGTTGATACTATGTATAATATATATATATGATATATTAGTTAATTGATGTTACAAGTTTGCATTTCTTGGGCTTAGGTGAGAAAATTTGAACAACGTCTGAGATCTGGCTACGAGTAGAGAACCCAGATGCTGGTGAGATTTGCAGATGACAAACTTCCAACATCTTCCGTCAGCGACAGATTTGTTGGCACCAAAGAATCCACATCCACATCACATCGCACCAAGCTTTCAGGTGGCAGGTCCTCTGCAACAGATCAGATGACATCGAGACTGAGCTGAATTGTGTGGACAAAAATCATATGGTTTCCACATGGTTTCCACCATTTTCCACCATTTTCCACCATTTTCCACCATTTTTCCACCATTTTCCACCATTTTCCACCTCCAGGACTCTAGGCACAACTCGCATGACACTGATGCAGCCACAGTGTGCAGTGTGCAGTTAGCATTCCGTGACTCGAGGACAGACCTCTGTGTGACTATGGCGTGTCATTGGTCAACTACCTGTACCCATCTCCCATGATCGCTGGGCCAGATATCGTGCCACCGCCAGACACCTGACATGGGCAAGACATGGGAAGACCTGTGAACTCAACGTGGCAGTCGATGTCTGTGACTACGTTATTCTTCTTATTCTTGTAAACAACATGTAAAGAAAAACTTTGAAAACACAATTTTGAAACAACTCCACATAGCTATCATATTCCTATCATACCTTCAGAGTTTTTCCCATGGCACTCCAAAAATGCCGGATTCGCCGAATCGGATCCCAGCAGTTATCGCTGGGATCCCACAGGTGCCCAACAGTTTGCTCTACGATGCCGGAGGCATCCAGGCATTGGCTCCACAAGTGGTCACAGTGCTGATGGAGGTGCCGAAGTGTTGGGTGGGCGTCGATCAGTCGATGAAACTCGTATCCTTTCGACTTGTGACTTGTCTGTTAAAGATGTATCATGATCTATCTTTTATTTATATGGCATACATCCGCAAAAAGCATTGTATAGCTATACAGATGTTCTATTTGGTCTTTGATTCAGGAGTATATGCTGCTCTCCAGGAGCACCGGGTCAAGGACATCATCGTTCCAAGAAACTACGAGGATGGAACGTATGGTGCTAAGATGCTGTTCCATGAATCGTAAGTTGAGTCATGTTGAGTCAAGCCACTCTACATCACTTGATCACTTAATTGATCACTTTTTACTCTTAAATCACTCAGTGCGTTCCATACAAACCGTACCAGACCGTAGCCTTTTTTCACTGACAGCGATGCACAGTTGGCACAGTGCTGTGAGCCGAGGCCATTGAAGATGATCCGTAGCGCTTTCCGATTCAAGCTCGCGCCCGATCTGGGGGATCTAAGGGATCAGGGACACCATGGGACACATAGGGACACCATGGGACACCTCACATCGGAAACATTTCGGAAACATCAGAATTCACGTTGATACGATTTGATACGCATCTTTACTATATCTATCAATTCTATCATCTATCTATATCTTTACCATTCTTTACCACTTTACCAGAATGCATCAGATTATAATAGATTATATCAGAGACTGTTTTTTGATTCGTCAGAATCCTGGCGTGGCGCATGGCAACTCGCATGGCAAGGCGCTTCTGCTGTACATCTGTGCAGTCTTCCTCAGAACAAAGAGCTGTGAGGGACCTGGGACCCCTTGGGACCCCCTGGGATGATGAGAGCGAGAGCGGCAACGCTGCATTGCGCCCGACTTTGGCAAGTGATTCACCTGCTTGTTTGTTGATAGATTTCATAGTGTTGCAGGTCTACACCAAAAACAATCCTATTTATAATCCTGAAAAAAAAAACAAAAAACCTGCTAATATGATTCTTAGGATTTCTTATGTTTGACAGTTTGTGAAGTGACGTTGCTCGCCTCTTCAAGCTGGTTCCAGATCTCCAGCGTGGCGCATTTTTTTTCCAGGTCTTGAGTGAGATGAGAGCGAATTGGGACAGGTTCTTGGACGGCACAGTGTCTTGGCTTGAACATGTAGTAGAACAATATGTATAGAACATGTATTATTATGTCTTATTTAATATTCATATCATTAATATCTACTAATTGGGATGTATTTCAGAATGTCAGATAGTTCACCATCGACATTCACCATCAGCCATGAGTCTGAGCCATGAGCTCCATGAGCTCTGCGAGGTCATCCCTGCTCTCCGTGAAGAGCAATTTCGAGAGAAGAAACCGAAAATGGAGATGTTCTACACGGGCAGCACACTCTACTCCAAGGAGGCCATGGCCATCTACATCCATCTACATTTCCGCACTCATATGGCTAACCAGGTATGGATTCGAAAAAAATTCACGCGGCTTAACCGAACCAGGTAACATCAACATTGATGGGCGATTTGTTTCTTGCCGTCCAGATCTCAGATACCAGAGGTACTCATTCGTTTCGCATTTGACACTTCTTTCTTTTAAAACATTGTTCCAAAACGTTATGATGTGTTAGGATGATTGAATGATTGTTGAGGCTTGCACCTGATTTTTTTTTGTAGCCGGTAGACATCTTTTTCTTTGCAGACGTTACTTGTCATTGTAAGACGCATTACATATTTTACATATCACATATAAAATCATATAGACATATATTATAATATAGTTGCTGAGCAACCAATATTCTGAGGGCGGTTCGATGGCTTTCGTGCTGGTGTACCTGATCCTCCAAACGAACAGCATACTGTTGCGGGCTTAGGGGACGTTTTCTGATTTCATTTTTTGATTTCAGCATGTTTCAAGAATGCTTGAAATGATTCATCGACCGCAGCTTTGGGAATTTTGGGATCTGACATGGACTGCATGGACTGCCAGCAGCTTGTTGGCATAGCTCCAGGTTGGGATGTTTGGGCCTCATGCTCATTGCTAGTGCCGTCGGCATCTGAGTCATTCTGAGTCATTCTGAGTCATTCTGAGTCATTCTGAGTCATTCTGAGTCTCTGTGGGTCGATTTGTCGTGGCATTGAGTCATATTGAATCACTTTGAATCTATAGTATGATTAGTGATTAGTATGCAGTTCAATGCAACCCACTATGCTGGACATTGAACATTGCTGAACTAAGATTCCCACATCATATGTCTTGTTTGCTTTGGTGACTGGATCGTGGGGCTCTCAGTATGAAACTTTGTTGATTCATATTGCATTTGATCTCCTACGCCCAAGACTTTTCTGGCAGGAACAAGATGAGCATAGCGTCCTTCCTCTCCGTTTTTCTTGTCACACCGGCTTGGGCATAATTTTGTTTATATCTCAGCGTCAATTTTCACTTCTCACGAGTTCGAATTTGAGGTTTGGATCATTGTGGAATGGTAGTGAGATGCAACACCTCATACATTTGTGATCTGAATTTTGCGCGACAGATTGTTGGTCTCGGTTCTGACGTCGTCTTCGCATCATACTCAGCTTCTGATGGCATGAAGAATTATGAATTATCTTCTGACGCATTTGAGAACAAAATATAAACATGTAAGTGCAGGCACCATATCTATCCATAACGGTATTCTTACAGTCTCAACGCAGGTCTACACCGACTTTTGGGCAGACTCCCGGCTTCGAAAGGCCTGGGTCCTTGCCGTCAGGCACCTCACGACACCTCACAGCATCTCACAGCTACGACAGCTGTCAGGTCAACTATGGCAGCCGGATGACCTGGACATTGGTCCATGCCGGCAAGGCGCTGGCTGGGCGAAGCTCAAATCGAAATTGGACATGAAATTGGACATGACATGACTGCATAGATTGTTTATGATTGTTTATGATTGTTTATGATTGTTTATGATTCTTGAAATTTTGACTGCACATGAGACATGCAATTTCGATCAAGCATAGAAACTTCAGAGTTGTATGAGGTGTACGTATAAAGTCGCTGTGCTACTTTTAGAGTCTGCCTGAGACACAGGCATCCTTAGCGACCTCTGTGACAACAGCTCTTTCCTTTTTCGCAAATCTGGCATCGGTCGGAAGCCGAGGGATAAGATGTCCAGACATGTCCTGTCCAGTACACAGAGGTGACGAAGTTTGGTCAGGTGAGTCAGGAGCGGCGTGATTTCCACTCAATAAACCGACTCCTTACCGACTCGTGATTTCCAGGTCCTGAAGCCCTTGCGCGAGTTTGGCTTTTTCATGGGCTGGCGACTTATTTTCTTAGTTTGGTGATGTTTGGTGCAAGATGTGGGTAATGAGATCTGAGATCGCTTCTGGTTTCTCCTTATATTTTTTCAACTGTATTTTTTCTGAGCTTAGAGCTTTAAAGATTTCTACAAGGACGCCTCTGTTTGACAACTTGTCGGGGCCAGTGCGATGGAAATGTGTGCTGCGGTTCTCTGAGGGTGCTGTTTTTTGGCTGCGGTTCTCTGTAACAATTTTTATACCATCCATTACCATCAAAATGGTTATTAATGGTTATTAATGGTTATTAATGGTTATTAATGGTTATTAATGGTTATTAATGGTTATTAATGGTTATTAATGGTTATTAATGGTTATTAATGGTTATTAATGGTTAACCATTCAAAAGCTACCCATTGCTATTAGGGTCCATCTCATATGTCAACTCGCTATTGTGCGTGCAGCTTGCTCAGGCTTGTGCGTCATCGTGGTGTGGGTGCCGCGACATGTCTTTTTGATTGACTGCCAATGAGCAGAGCTTGCCTGGAAAACGCTCTAAAATTCATCTAAAATCCTTAAATATTGGACACAGCCTTAGTGCACCAAGTGCATCTAAGTTCCATTGTGGACTAATGTGGCAGGTGGTGCTGAGCTTGGTCTATGTGCCACTTTGCATGGTGGATGAGTACTGGTGCCGAAGGTGAAGTTGTAGGGCTTTGAGTGCACGACTTCTGAGAGTCTGAAGTTTGATGACATCATGAGTGATCAGAATGATCAGAATGATCAGGGGATATCAGGGGTCATGGTTGAGCAGTACTTCTATTGCTGTTTGAATCTCTTTGCCACGAAGTGAAAGCGTTGCAGCTGCAATTTCGCAGGTGTAGACTACCCTGCGACAAGATGGGGAAAGCGTTCACCACAAGCGGAGTGCGGATCTCCCGCTCCGAGGCAGGAATTGGAGCATCCCGACCGAAAGACTCAAGCCTCATGCGTCATGACTCGTCATGACTCGTCACCTATCTCCCGTGTTTTGGGCACATTCTGGCACATTCCGGCACATGACGATTTGATTCCTTTGATTCCTGATCAGATCTCTTCAGATCTTCACAGGTAAGTGGCGCCCTTCGTGGTGGTCTTGAAATGTATCCAAGGATCAGCCTGGAGCCTCAGAGATCCTCGTGTCTGTCGCTACGCGAAACCGGAAGCGCCAAAAACCCGTGGATCCTGCAGAAATGGCGCTGGATGCTGTGAATATTTGTGGATGATGAAAATGATGTTTTCTTGACATGGGTCTTGTTCTGTGGATATCTGAATGATGAAAATGACAGCTGACACTCGGCTGAAACTCGGCTGAAACAGGTCGAATCACCCGAGTCATCCTGCGGTACAAGCGCTCCATCTGCCTCTGTCCTGCCAGGAGCTTGGTGAGAGTTGTGCCAGTTGTGCCAGTTGTGCCAGTTGGGCCAGTTGGGCCGAAATATTTGGCCGAAATATATGCCTCCAAATTAGTGAAATGTAGAGATGTAGAGAAGAATAGACACCATCCATTTGCATTGGAATAGATACCAAGTGCATTCCAATTCCCCAGATATCACCAGATATCACCAGATGTTCAATCCAGATGCTTTCATCCTTCAAGATCTTCATGCAGTCTCCATGAAGCTACATACTCATCGCATGCTGGTCATGTTGCCATGCCATGCAGTCTGCAGGTCGTGATCAGCATTGGATTCATCATTTGGGCTGTCCTGGTCCTGCAGGTGGGAAATGGGTTCCATGCTGGGAATGGCCCGATGGCTCGAAATTTTGACAGAACAGGACAGGTGGAGGTCAAATGATGAAAAACTTGTGGACACACCAGGTGAAGATAGGTGAAGTTCGTAAGTCGGTTGGAACATGTTGGACCTCCGATTTCGCTGGGCCTTGCCACAAAGCATCATCGTTTGCGGTCTTGCGGCAAAGCAGTGCGAAGAGATGACATGAGATGAATATGATCAGTAAAAATGAGACAAGCCATGTCAAGCCATGTCAAGCCATGTCAAGCCATGTCATGTCAAGCCAAATCCTCCACACTCATGGAGAATCTACATCAATCAGGGTTTTGAATCGTTTTTTGAATGGATTTTGACAATTTTTGACACATTTTTGACATACTTTGAATGGTTTTTGATGGGTTTTGGATGTGTTCTGCTGGTGATGGCATGCGATGAGGTCGACTCTGGGGTGCCAAGTATCTTCCCAGAAGATCACAACCTGAACAAAGGGACGGAGGCTGCAACGAAAATCCTACGAGAGTCATACGAGACAAACCAGGTATACATGGTATACGTAAGGTTTTTGCGTCGCGTTTTTGCGTAAGGAAAAGTGTCACCAAGTTCTGCAAACTGTGCTTCCCTTCTGTACTTCGACTTGGAATACTTGGAATACTTGGAATACTTGGAATACTTGGAATATGGAAAGATGTCTTGACTCTTTGGGAAGGTCTTTGCCCTCTTCAAGGACACATCTGAGGCACGCCGCAACTTGATGTTAACTATGTTAACCAACATTTAAAGATCCATGGCGTGTTTCCAATTTCGAAACTCTTGCAGGTGTTCAATCCATTGTGGCTCATCGATCGACCACAGGCCGGTAAACAGCACCACGCTGATATTAGGCTTGCAATATACCATCTGGTTATGACTAACATAGCCATGGAAAATCACCATTTTTAGTAGGTAAACCATCTATAAATGGGCCATGGCTTCCATGGCTATGTTAAATAACCAGAGGGTAAATTAAGCCGTTTGTGATGCTTAAAGTCACTGCAGTGGCGTGCGATGTGTCACGCCATGGCAAGTTAGTTTCTTGGCAAGTTTCCCATCGCCGAATCGCCAGATTTCTGTTTGCAACGATGAAATCTTCACGTGCCTTGGATTCCATTGGATTCTCACAGAGAAAATCTGATTTTTCTGCGCTCAGTTGCATGGTGAAGGCCATGCCTTGGCTTCGTCTAAGGCCAATTTCTCCAACATACCAACTTGGAAGCTGGCCAGAAGCCAAATTGCAACAGTTCAATGCTTTTACATGCTACGTTTTTGCTGTTCTTTAGATTGGGGCTGTTAACTGGGATAAGAAGTGGATAGCATTTATTTATCTCATCACGGTGACAACTTTGGTGCGGTATTTTTTGCTTCTCTATGACTCTATGAATGATCTGCAACGGCCAAGGGGCTACAACTGTCAGCTGAACTGGTGCGAAGCTGATCCTGATGTCACCCAATCGGAGGCGGGAATCGGTGCAAAATGTCAAGTCGCTCCAGAATGTTCCAATAGAATCAATAGATGCTCAAAGTGAAGGGGAAAATGGGAGCCAAATGGGAGCCTAATGTGAGCCTAAAATATGAGCTTGCGTAAGAAGAGACACTTTGAAGGCTGTCTCATACGAAGCGCAAGACGAATTGTGAAGCTCAAACTTGGTCACATGAACGAATACAAGTCATGAGTACATATTTGCATGTGCATGCAATAGATATTTGATGCAGACAAATCACTTGCACAAAGCTGGAAGCACACACAGATGTTTGCAAGTGGGGAGGATGCATTTGATATAATTCGAGAGTAGCTAGTGCAGCTAGTGATGGTTGTGAACCTCCTGCTTGCCAATTCCGTGCACCAGGAGGGAACTTGTAAGTGCTGGAGACGGGAAGCGGCGAGCACGTGCAGCTCAGATTTTGCGACAGTGGTTCAAGCCCCAGCTGCGTCAGCTCACTTCAAAAAGCGTCCTCGTCGTCGTATGAGTCCACGAGTCCATGAGTCCTTGTATTTTAGTGATGCATGCCAGTAATTCCCAATACCGCCATGCCACCTGTTCTGAACATCGCTGTTGGAGATTGGCTCGCCCTCAGTTCTAGAAATCATTTCTATGGATGGTCCTCATCCATGATCGACACTGCTCTGACTTGAGCTGTTTGTTTTAAGCGACTTGATAGGCCAATATCCATCGAGATTTGTGAGATTTTGGCATCCAGTCGTACCAGGGTGAAAACTAGGCTCCCATTAGAATGGCTTGGTTACAGACCCCCCGATAGCATCCCATATATAGCCTTATCGATTTTCGCACCCACATTGACAGCATGTTTCCAGGTGTCTTGTGTCTTGCCGTATTGCCAAAGTTTGAACCTGCTGGCATTTTCATGACATTTTCCAGCAACTTTGCAGCGCACCGGCGCCAAGAACACAAAGATTGTTGCTGGTCGCCAGCTCACAGTTGAAGATGTTCGAGGCACTGATCGAAAAGTGCAGATGTCTCGTGTCTCGCAGGTGTCTCGTGTCTCTAAGAGTCTGGAGGACAAGCTACGATAAGCATCCATAAGCATCGATAAAGTTGTGACACCCTCTGGTTGTGCTTGGAAACATTTGGACATCTGTATGTAGAGATATTCTTGGAGTGCTTGGAGTGAGACTTGCAGGGCCAGTTGCCGACTACTTTGGACTCACGGCTGGACATCAGATCTCCAACCAACAACGGCAAGGCCTTCAGAGGCGGTACAGCTCGGCGACGACACACATTTGACATTTGAGAAATTTTGAGAACACGTTTTCTGATCAAAGCTCAGCCAAGTCCAGTTGTCTTCTCTTATTATATTTGCGAGATTGCGCTGCGTCCTGTGTAGGACGACCAACGTTGCACCTGTGGTGACGGAGGAGTGTCGAGAAGTACATCCCTTGAAATACGTCACTAGAAAAACATCATCGACATAATCCAAGAACAACATATTTTGCTGTTTTTGTTTGTTTTTTCAATCCAACTTCTTGTTGCAGGAGTGGGAGCGCGGCAGCAGAGAAGTGCGAGAAGTCACGGAGGCTGCACCACGGTTTTTTGATTGTCGCGGGGCCTCGACTTCACCCTTTTTTTGGCAGCAGATGTTGAGGGCAGCAACATTTTGCAACTCTTCTGTACATTCACTGTATACATCTTCAGGACAGAACAAAAATGCATAAACATGCATACTTTGGCTCAAGCTTTGCTTCAACTCGGGCAGCGTATTCTTCCGGGCATGGCCCTGGAAGCCTTCCTATTCTCATTCGTTACATTCGTTTTCGGTGTGGTATATGGACGTGCTTGCGACACTTGCGATGGCCTAGAATTGTTGCAGCGCGGCAATGCCGTTCGCGCTGAGCGCGCTGAGCACGGCACATGGACATATCCTCGGGATTGGAAAACAGATCGAGATCTCGCCAACGTCAGTCGCTTCCAACGGATCCATTGGGCAGGCGCACACAAAAATGTCGATGTAGCGTTGGATTTTTTCAGTGCAGTTCCTGTCTTTGGAAAAGGTGGCAACTACATTGCTTTGCTGCATAGCATGAGTTCTGAACTCGCAACGTGGTTGACGTACTTGAACACAGGCGAAGTATCCTTGTTTTGCTCTGGGCCAAAGGGTTCCCATCGAACCAAAGTTCGTGGTCTTGGACATGAAATGGCTACAGCTCACAAAGCTCATCTTGTTTTCTTATGTGATTGGCCGGAAGAAGAGAAAGATTTGGAGAGGTTTGAAGTTTTTCTTGAAGATGGTAACGGAAAGCAGCTTGGGGCCATCGTGGCTGAACAAAAACATGGGCTGCTACAGCAATACCGCACAGTGGCTTGCCTCAGAGATGTGTGGCCGCATGAGAAAATTGGTTTGCGACAGCTGCCGCAATGGATGGAGTTTCATCTTCTGCATGGCGTTGAACATTTCCTCATTTACACGGTCAATCTTGATTCAAAGGTCCTCGTCGACTTGTACGAGCCCTACATCAAGAGTGGTGTTGCGACACGGGTTCATTTCAATAAAGAGGTTGTAGGTGCTGATCCTTACAGTTTTCACGCGCCTATTCACTATGACCTCATGGCAGATTGCTTGTACAGGTTCAAGAACCACGCGACTTGGATTCTCCCTTCCATCGATATCGATGAATTTATCAACATGAAGGACGGGAATCTATTTGAAGGTGGCAAAGTGCCTGAAGATTATGTGGGCTCCAGTTGGGACGCAATTGTGAAACACAGTGGTCTGGAGGCCTCTAGAGTTCATTCAATAGCATTCAACGTCTATCGCTTCGCACAAGTTCAAGCAGGAGAGGTGGAATTGTCTTCGGTTCTCCGGGAACCGATTCTTCAGCCGACATGTCCAAAATATGTGGTCAATGCCGACAATGTGAACACGGTCTTTGTTCATTGGGCGACGACTTGGGAGAAGGGCACGCAGGGTTTGGCGGTGAACAAAGACACTTTGGTCCTTCACCACTACCGACAGCCTGTGGCCTATAATATCGAAGGAAGAGAAACACCTCTGATCGTCGAAACCAATACCACAGACGCCTCGATGGAGCAGTACGTTCCCCAATTATCAAGGTCCCTCGAAGCCCGCTTTGGTGAGCAAACGCCGCACTTCTTGAGCCGCCTGAGTGTAGTGGAGCCAGTACCGTTTCAAAAATCTAACCTCCATGGGATGGACGCAATCCATGAGATGGAAGAAATGTTTGAGACGTTGGAAGCAATGGATTCTGCCTGTGCAGCCTGGCAAAGATCCATCAGAAACTTGAAAGGGATTGTAAGCCTTGATCCACCATCCACGCTTCAGTGACTCAATGAGAGAATTTGCAGTGATCAGCTTCTTCTGTGCAGAAGAAATCCATACTTTTACTACTTTGAACACAATTAGCGCGAAAACATGCATCAGCTGCATCAACTAAAGCTATGAAGAGCCATGAGGAGCCATGAGGAGCCGTGAGGAGCCATGAGCTGACAAGCTGAAGACAAACACCGTTTGGATCTGTTTGGATCTGTTTGGCAGTTTGTTGGTACCTGTTATCACCGTGAATTATCCAGGCTTAGCTGTTACAGTATCACCTGATATCACCTGTTTCTGTGGGACATGGGAACCCTGTCGCCATCGCCAGGTGCTTGGAACTGTGGAGCGCACCGAACAAACTTCGAGCTGCGGCTATCAGGCCACAAGCGCGGCGAAATCCCTGCGTATCACCGGGTGCTCAATATTGGACAATGGAATACAATGGACTCAGAAATTATTTGAAATGGAATGATTGGAATGGGATGTAGATGTAATGAGCTTCTGTGGAACATTTCTATGTTTTGAGGATCTATGCTTTTGCACAAGCTGGGCCTGCAAGATGTTTGCATCTCAGCCACAGCGTGGGCAGTGACGGAACCTATGGGCCTTGGCAACGTGTCCACGTTGCGGTCGTTGCGAGGCCAGCAGGAAATGAATGGAGAAAAGTGCCCTGGCTGACCTGGCTACCGAGGGATCGGGAAATGATGTAAATGATCAAAATCATCATGCTTCAGCCACTTCAGCCCATGCTTTTGCATGCTTCATAGGATCTTTTAGATCTTTCAGTGTTTCAGGATTTTTGTGGATTTTAAAGGATCTTTTAGGTGTTGAATCAGGCTTTGCTCCATGTTAGCCGACAGACTTCTCCTGCGTCACCCTGAGGTTCCCAACCTTCAAATCCCTGCTCTTATCAATGCGACCCAGAGACGCTTGAGTGCTTCACGCAGCTGGCAACCGAGTGCTTACGCGCTGACTATTTTTTTTTGGGAAGAAAATGCGAGAGCTGCAGATCATTTTTCAGATATACGTAATGGATCGTAATGGTTTTGTTTTCGTGTAGCAGATTTTTGCTTTTTGTTAAGCAACAGTAAGTCGGACGTCGTGAAACTTATGGAAATCAGCACCGAGGCAAAGCCCTGAGTGCGTCGCCTGCGGTGCCAGCTGTGCCCGAACCGCTTTCAGAGCCGAAGGAACCGAAGGAAGTGAAGCTGGAGGGGCCAGTTGCGCCGCGTTACCTGGAAATGCTGAGCCAATGCCTCAGATATCTCAGATTCAGAAAGCACATGAGCAATGTTGAGCAATGTTGAGCAATGTTGAGCAATGTTGAGCAATGTTGATGCTGTTCGTATCATGTTGTCCATTGTGCAAGAATTGGCACACAACTCGACTTGAGCAACAAACTGGTCATTTGAGGTCCAGAAGATCAAGTCGTTGCGTGATTTGCCCAGTGCGTCATGCATTGTCCTTGGATGTCCTTGGATGTCCTGGGTATTCGCAGCTTTTCAGCAGCTTTCAAGCTCTGTTTCAGGCCCGCCAACAGAGCAACAGTGGATGTGGTCTTCGGCATAACTGTCACAGCCACTTCGCTCCTGCTGGGCGAGGTGGGACTCGTCATGACTCGTGTCAGGACTCGTCGATCTCCGAGACCCGACACCGGGATCCGGCGCCAGTCAGCCAGTCATGCCTCGCCTCGCCAGGTTGACCTCCAAAATGGCTGGGAATTTACCGAGCTGCACGAGGTCGGTTCTGTTTTTTTGGTGGCGCTATGTGGCGCTTGCCCTTTTCGTCATCCAGCGTGCCAAACAGCGGAAGCGCCAGGTGAGTCAACCATGGGCGCAACGAAATATGTGCGCCTTCATGGGCCGTGGGCACAACTGTTTTAGGTCATCACAGAGCTTTTAGCAGCGAATGGTTGAAATATGTTGAAACTTTACCAGAGATTGATTGTAGATGATTCAAGGCAGCAGTTAGTTGCGAAGTTGCAACTGACTCTTTTTCTTTCCAATTCTTTGACATTGTTATTTTTTACTATTTTGCAGTGTCTTAAAGGTAGACCTAAAATTCACAGTGCCAGGTACCAATTCTGTACTGACTTCCCGTTAGAGTTGCGTGTTGTGGAGAGCAGGTTGGGAAGTCGCTGTGACTAGCAAAGTCACCGTTTTCAGTGCAGTTCTGTCACTTTTCACTATTTGGAAATTATCATGGCTTGGAAGAACTGTGGTTTTGAAGGCAACCCTCTTTGGCGTGGGCAGGTGTTGGATTCGAGACTTCCGGACGTATCTTCTTGCTCGTGCGAGTTCCAAGATTCAGAGAGAAGTGTCCTGACATCCTTCTCCTTTGACATTGTCTGACATCTTCCGAACTTTTGCCTGATGCAAGTTTCCATCACTTCACTTTGATGTACTGATTTATCCTCCATTGTTGAATTGATGTGGAATCACAGACCTCTTGTGACACAGGCTATATTAAAAACCCACTGCACTTAAACTTAACATATATGTGCAACATTTTATGAAACGCATAAGATGCATAAGCAGCTTCTGGTTGTGTCATGCTGTTGGTCAGTCACTGCATTAGATGGCCATGCACTGTGCGTGTGCGTGGGGAATCGTGGGGATGGGAGTCCATGGTGCACACAGTCAACAACTTCACCAATCCTTCACTCCAGCTCTTCCTTCTCCCACTCAGTCATACTCAGTCGAGGTTTGTGTAGTTTGATCATGTTTCAATGTTTGATCATTTCGAACCGAGGTGGGAATCGCTTTCCAATCGTTGCCAGTCAGTTTGAACAGCCTGCGTTCCCAGCCCTGCTGTACGTGATGTCACGCGTAGCTTTAACAAAGCGGTTTGTGGCATGGCATCTGTCAAGGCTGATTATCCCATTTGCAGAGGCAGGAAGCTCAGTTGATTTTCATGGTTTTTTAAGCGTCAGGATTTGGTCCCATGTCGTGAAACTGCACTCTCCAGCCATTGCTTGGATGGCTGAGTCTTATCTCACTGGCATGCGCAGTACGAAGGACCTAAGGGCCGGATGCAAGACACAGAAACATATGACGTCCTGTTCAAACTTACAACCGACACACCTACTACTGCATGTGCGGCTTCTTTTTTGAGTTTTGTTGTTTTTTGTTCAACTCGAAACTTGGACAAAGTCCTGGTGCTCCCTGTGCTTCAAGTCGAAGCTTGCGTAAATGTGCAATTTTTTTCAGTATGTTGCCATATGTTGCCCAATATGTTGCCCAATATGTTGCCCAATATGTTGCTACACCGCTCGAAACTCCAAATTTGGTCACAGCCAGAAGGCAACTCTCGATGCAACGAGACATGGCCAGGACTTCCTGTGGATCCGAGACGGCAAGGCAGGGCCCCGCTGACGATTCGCTGACGAATCGGTTGTGACATGTTGTGACCGCCGACGAAGGCTTCCACGGCCATGATTCATCTACGTGAAATACATGGTAATCATTTGGTAATCATTTGGTAATCATTTGGTAATCTATGTTAATCTTGTCTATTCTTGTCTGTTGTGTCTGTTGCGGTCTTATCGTTTTTTGATTCATCTTCTCTTGCACGGTGAATCTCCGCTGATCCAGTTGGATCAGGATCCAGTTGCTATCCCTTGACCCTTGCTGACAAGCGCCAAGGTCAAAGCGTCATATATACCCATGACCGTTGATTTTGCACGCTACGCAGCTACAGAGTCAGTGCCCTAGACATCCCTAGACCTTGGATAGTTTGAAACAAAGATTCCAAGCTCACTGAAATGTGCGTATTAGCCTGCATCTCTTTTTTTAGCACTGCCTTTTCTGCCGGATGTATGGGTTTCTGTGTCTGACAAGAGCCATTCTTTGGCTTGACTGAAACTCAGCAGTTTCCTCTCAGGGATGCCATTGAGTACAAGACATTGTGGGATAAGTGGCTTGGCTGACTGCGCAAATTTGTGTTTTCAAAAGAAGTGTTTGTTTGTGTACAGCTGTAAGATGCTGTAAGCAAATGCTGAGCTCTGTCACAAGTTCTAGAAACTGCATCCAAGTTTAGCTCAGGTACCTCGATGACTTCAATTTGGAAGCATCAATCTACAGCAAAGGAGTGACTCCCTGAGTCCTTCTTCACATGATGTGATGTTTCCAAATATCGAAAGCCCACTCTTATTCCAAATATCGAAAAAAATATCATCTATTTCCAACCATACATATCTATTTCCATCTGTTTCCAATCATACATCCAAGCATACTCGATCATCATAAACATCATAAACATCCCGGCGGAAGGGAAACCGCGCGAGCGTTTTTATTGTTTGCTTCCAGGAGAGTCACAATCACCTGTAATTTACAGTATAAAATGCTCTTCCGAACTCTTTGGATAACTGAATTTTGGTCAAAAAAAGGTGGATGCAAAATCTATTGATTTTTGACAAATCCAGTTAAACATCATGTGCATCAGACTTGGATGCTCAGATTTTTTTAACACTCTTCCTCGGCTCAGCGATCCATCAGTGTGGAAGCTGTCTTCGACAGCAAGTTGCCATTATGGCACTCATAACGCCACTGCCAGCATATAGCATGACATCTTTGTTCTGCCCTGCCTTTGTCTGCAAATTGCTAGGCACAAATTGTTTAGCCAAATTCCACAGAGATCTCAGCAGCGTACCAACATGTCACGTAGTACGAAAGTCCCAAGGATCTCAGCAGCGTAGCAACATGTAACGTAGCACACGATCCCAGCGATCTTAGCAACATGGCAATATATAATGCACGAAGTACAAGGAACGTTAACATGCCCCCCCACCCCACCCCACCCCAACCCCAACCCACACTAGAGATCTCAGCAGCGTAGCAACATGTAACGTAGCAAGAGATCTTAGCAACATGGCAATATATAATGCACGAAGTACAAGGAACGTTAACATGCCCCCCCACCCCACCCCACCCCAACCCCAAGACAAAGAGCAATACGCAAAAAAGAAGCAAAACGCACGTACGGTTTTCCTGCCGTAGGCATAAACATCATAACTCATCATAAATATCTGTACAGTCTGCATCAGTTTGTTCCCGTTCATCCCCAGGCCTGGCACACATCAGTTGTGTGGGTCAGGGCGGAGGCCCAATCTGCCCTGATTCGATCGACCATTGCCACGGCCTGATGCAGAAAGGGATCTGGCGACTGACCATGAATTGCAGGATTCATGTTTAAATAATTTTCTATAATTCATGTCTTCTTTTTCCATATTGAGAAAACAAATCATATGCAAGTCACACACACATATATTTATACTATGTGTATATACATATTTTCAAATCTGTTGGTCATCACTTTGACGAACGTTTTTCTGAAACTTGAGTGGCCGCCGAGGTCACTATTGCCATTGGCCCAGTTGGCCCAGTTGGCCCAGTGAGACGACCGTTTATCACCAAGCTGTTTGCCGAAGATTTTAACGAGCGAATTGCCGAGGCGATTGTGGTGGGCTTGGCCTTGCTGGGCATGCTGGTAAGGGCCCCAATTGTCCCCAAGGGGGTATTTTGATACATTGAAGACATGGAAAACACATTTCAACTGCGCACTGTGGATCCTTGAGATCCTTGGGATCCTGCCAAGATCTTCACCAAAGACAGCAAACTGTCATCGCTTGTGGTGGGGTCCACTCTGATCGCGGGGCCCTAAATGGAGTTGATGGAAGTCGCCCCTTTTACTGGACAATTCGTGTGCTTTTTGTGGTGAAGCTGATGTGATCTCTGTGGTGAACCAGGTGGTATTCGCATTGACCTGGTTCATTGTGGTGGTTATGGGATGGCCGTGTGGGACCCTGGCTTTCCATATGGCATATTCGGTGTGGCACTGCATGGTGCTACAGAGCCATTGGATTGCAACATTCGAAACGATGACGGCTTGCCGCGCCCGGCTTGAAGACAAGGATTGGTCCCATCGAAGTCATTGCTTTGATTGTCTTCATCGGCTACGCCCGGACTCCCAGGGCTCCCAGGGACGGAGGTCGCACGGACCCATTGGACACAGATTTGGACACAGATTTGGAGCGCCAGAGAGCCTCTCCTTTTTGTCAGCATTTGAAATGCACCAGTTCACCAGTGGTTTTTTGGCCATAGATTTTTGCTGTCCTTGATTTTGCCCTCAGGCTGTTACCTACTCGTTGCATATCGCCCACAGGCGACGCCGTTTCGACCATGGTTTGCAGATTCGGCAGTTCACAACGGTGACCATTGGTGGCCTCGAGGTATGGCAGCTCTGATGTTCAGCAGGAACTCAGCCTTTCTGGGTACCTCGGCCCAAAACTCCGTTGAGGAATTTAGAATTTTGCCAGATACTGATGATAATGCTTCACCTTGACAGCAAAATCTCAGTTTGCAGAGATTTGGAGGAGATAAGTCAGGATACCCTCTGGTTATGACTAACATAGCTATGGAAAATCACCATTTTTGAATAGGTCAATCAATTATAAATGGGCTGTGTTCAAGTTCGCAAACTGTTAGTTTACCAGAGGGTAAATCCCATTCAATTACCATTAAATCACCATTAAATTACCATTAAACCACCATTAAACCACCATTAAATCCCATTAAATTACCATTTTTTTCACCATTAAACCACCATTTTGTTGCACAAAATCCATGAGATTCGACCGACTTCGCAGGGATTCCTCGGACATCCGATTCTTGCGCACCGTCTTTGCGCTTGGATCCATCGGCAGAGCAGCCCTAGGGACCGGGAATCCACCGGCTTTTTGATGGCTTTTTGAGAATGACTCATCTGTCTGTTTTCTGCGAATGTTGGATAATGTTGGATAATGTTGGATTGTGAATGATTGTGAATGATTGTGAATGATTGTGAATGATTGTGATGACCATCTGTGACATAACTTGAGGGATGTGATTGGTGTGACTCGGTGTGACCAGCTGTGATTGTCCTGCAGGAGTGCTGTGACCACAGCCGGCTGCTCGATTTTCTTGGTCTTCTGCACCCTGACCATCTTCAAAAAGCTGGGAGGTGAAGGGCAGTGAAGGGCGAAGGAGTGAAGCTGTCACCAAGAACTCACGAGAATCGGTGGAACATGGACTTGAAAGCTGGGAATGTGTCAATTTCATTCATTTTCATTCAATCTAAATGTGCCTGGGAGCTTGTCATTTGTGTCTACGTTTTTGACGCTCGTTTTTGCTCGAAGGTGTTGTCCTTGTGGTGACAGTCATGTCCATTGCGGTGGCATTGATCCCACTACCAGCAGCACTGCTCTGGGTCCAAACCCCGGTTTACTGCAACTATGAGAGACTGTGAGAGACTCTAGAGTCAAGAGTTCACAAGAGTTCAGAGATTTCATAGATTTGTCAGATTTCATATAGAAACATCTATAGAAACATCTAAACATCTATAGAAACATCTATAGAAACATCTATAAAAACATCTATAGACACATCTATAGACACATCTATAGACACATCTATAGAAACATCTATAGAAACATCTATAGAAACATCTATAGAACCATCTATAGAACTGAACCATCTCTAGAACCATCTAGAGAACCATCTATAGAACCATCTATAGAACCATCTATAGAACCATCTATAGTACCATCTATAGAACCATCTATAGAACCATCTATAGAACCATCTATAGAACCATCTTCAGAACCGTCTATAGAACCATCTATAGAAACATCTATAGAAACATCTATAGAAACATCTATAGAAACATCTGTACAACCATCTCTAGAACCATCTGTAGAAACAGCTGTAGAACCATCTATAGAAACAGCTATAGAAACAGCTATAGAAACATCTATAGAACCATCTATAGAAACAGCTATAGAAACAGCTATAGAAACATCTATAAAAGCATCTATAGAAACATCTATAGAAACATCTATAGAAACATCTATAGAAACATCTATAGAAACATCTGTAGAAACATCTATAGAAACATCTATAGAAACATCTATGGAACCGTTTGTAGAACCATTTGTAGAAGCATCTGTAGAACCATCTATAGAACCATCTGTAGAAACATCTATAGAAACATCTTTAGAAACATCTATAGAGACATCTATAGAAACATCTATAGAAACATCTATAGAAACATCTATAGAAACATCTATAGAAACATCTATAGAACCATCTATAGAACCATCTTTAGAACCATCTATAGAACCGTCTATAGAACCATCTATAGAAACATCTATAGAAACATCTATAGACACATCTATAGAAACATCTGTACAACCATCTCTAGAACCATCTGTAGAAACAGCTGTAGAACCATCTATAGAAACAGCTATAGAAACAGCTATAGAAACATCTATAGAACCATCTATAGAAACAGCTATAGAACCATCTATAGAAACAGCTATAGAAGCATCTATAGAAACATCTATAGAAACATCTATAGAAACATCTATAGACACATCTATAGAAACATCTATAGAACCATCTATAGAACCATCTATAGAACCATCTATAGAACCATCTATAGAAACATCTATAGAAACATCTATAGAAACATCTATAGAAACATCTATAGAAACATCTATAGAAACATCTATAGAACCATCTATAGAACCATCTTTAAAACCATCTTCAGAACCGTCTATAGAACCATCTATAGAAACATCTATAGAAACATCTATAGAAACATCTATAGAAACATCTGTACAACCATCTCTAGAACCATCTGTAGAAACAGCTGTAGAACCATCTATAGAAACAGCTATAGAAACAGCTATAGAAACATCTATAGAACCATCTATAGAAACAGCTATAGAAACAGCTATAGAAACATCTATAAAAGCATCTATAGAAACATCTATAGAAACATCTATAGAAACATCTATAGAAACATCTATAGAAACATCTGTAGAAACATCTATAGAAACATCTATAGAAACATCTATGGAACCGTTTGTAGAACCATTTGTAGAAGCATCTGTAGAACCATCTATAGAACCATCTTTAGAAACATCTATAGAAAACATCTATAGAGACATCTATAGACACATCTAAAGAAACATCTATAGACACATCTATAGAAACATCTATAGAAACATCTATAGAAACATCTATAGAAACATCTATAGAACCATCTATAGAAACATCTATAGAAACATCTATAGAAACATCTATAGACACATCTATAGACACATCTATAGAAACATCTATAGAAACATCTATAGAAACATCTATAGAACCATCTATAGAAACATCTATAGAACCATCTATAGAAACATCTATAGAAACATCTATAGAAACAGCTATAGAAACATCTATAGAAACAGCTATAGAAACAGCTATAGAAACAGCTATACATCTATAGAAACGTCTATAGAAACGTCTATAGAAACATCTATAGAAACATCTATAGAAACGTCTATAGAAACATCTATAGAAACATCTATAGAAACATCTATAGAAACAGCTATAGAACCATCTATAGAACCATCTATGGAAACATCTATAGAAACATCTATAGAACCATCTACAGAAACATCTATAGAAACATCTATAGACACATCTATAGACACATCTATAGAAACATCTATAGAAACATCTATAGAACCATCTATAAAACCATCTATAGAACCATCTACAGAACCATCTATAGAAACATCTATAGAAACATCTATAGAACCATCTATAGAAACAGCTATAGAAACAGCTATACATCTATAGAAATGTCTATAGAAACATCTATAGAAACGTCTATAGAAACATCTATAGAAACATCTATAGAAACGTCTATAGAAACATCTATAGAAACATCTATAGAAACATCTATAGAAACAGCTATAGAAACATCTATAGAAACATCTATAGAAACATCTATAGAACCATCTATAGAAACAACTATAGAAACAGCTATGGAAACATCTATAGAAACATCTATAGAAACATCTATAGAAACATCTATAGAAACATCTATAGAAACATCTATAGAAACATTTATAGAAACATCTATAGAAACATCTATAGAAACATCTATGGAACCATCTATAGAAACATCTACAGAAACATCTACAGAAACATCTATAGAAACATCTATAGAACCATCTATAGAACCATCTATAGAAACATCTATGGAAACATCTATAGAAACATCTATAGAACCATCTATAGAAACAGCAATAGAAACATCTATAGAACCATCTATAGAAACAGCTATAGAACCATCTATAGAACCATCTATGGAAACATCTATAGAAACATCTATAGAAACATCTATAGAAACATCTATAGAAACATCTATAGACACATCTATAGAAACATCTATAGAACCATCTACAGAAACATCTATAGAAACATCTATAGACACATCTATAGACACATCTATAGAAACATCTATAGAAACATCTATAGAAACATCTATAGAACCATCTATAGAAACATCTATAGAAACATCTATAGAAACATCTATAGAAACATCTATAGAACCATCTATAGAAACATCTATAGAAACATCTATAGACACATCTATAGAAACATCTATAGAACCATCTATAGAACCATCTATAGAACCATCTATAGAACCATCTATAGAAACAGCTTTGGAACCATCTATAGAACCATCTATAGAAACAGCTATAGAACCATCTATAGAACCATCTATAGAACCATCTATAGAAACAGCTATAGAAACAGCTATAAAACCATCTATAGAAACATCTATAGAAACATCTATAGAAACATCTTTGGAAACATCTATAGAAACATCTATAGAAACATCTATAGAACCATCTATAGAAACAGCAATAGAAACATCTATAGAACCATCTATAGAAACATCTATAGAACCATCTATAGAACCATCTATGGAAACATCTATAGAAACATCTATAGAAACATCTATAGAAACATCTATAGAAACATCTATAGAAACATCTATAGAAACAGCTATAGAAACATCTATAGAAACATCTATAGAAACATCTATAGAAACATCTATAGAAACATCTATAGAAACATCTATAGAACCATCTATAGAAACATCTATAGAAACATCTATAGAAACATCTATAGAACCATCTATAGAAACATCTATAGAAACATCTATAGAAACATCTATGTTGATATATAATTATCCATAATTCATATAATTATATATTTATTATATATTTGACAATATATCATATATATATATATTCATTATACGAATGACATGTTTAATTCAGATAGCTGCAGCCGCTATTGCTTTCTGGAAAGATGACCCATAGAGAGCGCAATGGAGCCTTGCAGATCGTGACCAAAATCCTGATTGATGACGAATGGCTTCTCCAGGGGTTTTGGTTCAACCTTCTTACCACCTTGGGCTGTGTACATTCGATGATTTTTGGTGCTTTTCATATGAATTTTTATATGGCACGGGGTCTCACTGCCCTGGAAGTTGCCGCAGTACACAGTTTTTTCTCCATGTGGAACCCGCTGAATGATATTTTCGCAGGATTTCTGGTGGATGAATGGGTTGCGAGGGGGTTTGGTTCTCGCTTACATCTTTCATTCTGGGCCCATGCTGGCTATGCTGGATGCACATTCTTTGCCTTCCAGGAGAACATGTCCATGCCGATTTGGTGTCAGTATGCGATAGCTATCACTTGCTCAGATGGATTTGCTGCAATTGCGAGCGCGGTGAATGGACTAATCTTGATAGAGCAGACCAAAGAAGACAGACAACGCATTCAGATCCAACGTCTCAACGCAATCTTTGGATGTCTCGAGTGGCTGGTGATGTCTGTAGCATTTTGCCTTTGGGATGCTCGGCCGGGTCACTGTGGAGTTTTTCGTATCTACTTGAGTTTGGTCTGTATTGGATCGACACTGATCACGCTGCTGGCAGTTTCTCGACTTCAGCAACCGGAAAAACAGGTGAAACAGGGTAAATCGCTTCGTGAGACGATGTGGCAAAGACTTCGGCAGTTCATGCGTGTGGTGCGAAAACATCAGAATTTCTGGCGCTATGCCTCTCTAACTGCTGCCTTGGAAGCTGAAGGTGTTTTCTTTCGTCAATTCGATGTGGTTCTCGTTCGGCTGCTTCTTTCCACTTGGATGGCAGCAGCAAAGGTTTTATTGGTCATCGTGGATCCTTTTTGTGGCACCGTGGCGTTTGCATTGACATGGGTTGCTGAGAGGCCAGACATGGGAGTCTACAAAGTAAGTCTTGCGGCCATCAGGATTCGCACGATGGTCAGTGTAGCCGCTTGCTGCATTGTCTTGGCATTGACTTTTGTGGATTTCACGAATTCCTTTTACCAAAACGCCTCGATTTCCTTTGTCCTCTGCATTCTCATGATGACATGCCGTGCAGCCACACGACCGGCAGCAAACTTGGGCAACATCGTTTTCGCATCGGTCATTCAAGAGCACGCTCTTGTTGCTGAGGAAATGAGTGAAATGAGTGAAATCAAAGATGATGGAAAGATCTCTGGAAAGTATTGGATGCTTCGGGCAGCTCTTGTAAAGCCCTTGAACTCTTTGGGTCCGGTGATTGGCAGCGCCGTGCTGGCAGCAGGAGGCTACACGGCCCAGGCGGGTGAGGAGAGTCAGGAAGACATCAAAGTCTCGTCGAATCTCTGGTGGACTTGCGCATGGCTTCCAGCTGTAGCTTGGACATGGACGAGATTTTCATCTCTTCGATATTCTGAATGATCTTTTTTATATGACAGTTATATATATATATACACGGCATGATATATCAATATGTCAATATTACATGAATATATGAATATATGAATATAATAATGATACTTTGTATGAATATATGATAATGATACTAATAATACATAATCATAAAAATAACAATAATGACAACAATAACAATAAGAATAATTGTTATTATAATACATATATTTATATGTATATTTAACCGCCGTTGGCGTGTTCCGCCGGCCACCACGGCCAGAGCTATTTGGGTTTATCAAACCTTCAAAGCAGAGACATGACATAGGAGAGATAAAGTGCAAGTGCATGCAGTAAAGCGTAGCAGCAGTCAGGATAGGGGTGCAAATTGGGGCCATGGGACGCAACTGAAAAGATTTTGGCGTCTCAAACATGTATAGCAGAGACAGGACATAGGAGGAGATAAAGTGCAAGTGCGTGCAGCTCAGCATAGCAGCAGCCAGGATAGAAGGGCGAAGCAAGAACATGATTTTTCTGGATGCTTGTGTAAAACATGGTGTTTCTGTGAAACACTTAAAACACGTTGTTTTCCGTGAATCAGCGTTTTGTTTAGTAGGAAGACGCGATTTTACACAAAGCATGGTGTTTGCGTAAACAAGGGTTTGAAATTAAACCGAAGCAGTGTGTGAACCAAGGTTTTTGGAAAAGGCCATACATAGACAGGTTGCACGTGTAAATGGTGTTCTGCACAAAAGCAAGTGGATTGACAGGCCACCTGTATGAGGTATAGGAACGTAGAAGGTGTAAGAATGACAGAGCAAACCGATTGCGAGCACCACAATGGAAATGGGAACAAAAAAAGAACATGCGCATGTTGCGCGAGGCGTGGGCAGAGTCGAACCCAGCACATTGCAACGAAAGACGCAGAGGAAAAACACGAAGAGGAGAAACAAAACATGGGTTTTGCGTAAACCGGGGTTTGAGTTGAAACCGAATCATGTCTGTAAACAAAGGTTGAAACCAAAGATGAAAAGCGCGACGCGGATGATGCAGGGGGAGAGGGGGGGGGAGAGAGGGGGGGGGAGAGGGGGGGGAGAGGGGGGGGGAGAGGGGGGTGGGTTCAAGTTAGACGATGCAAGAATCCGCGCCAAGGGGAAGGTCTAGACAAAGACCAAAGACAAAACAAACAGTACAACTACGAACAAGCAAGATCCACAAGACACGCCGGCAGGCCGGCGGATTTATCTATGTTTACGTGTTTTTCATGTATTTTTCATTCTTTCTATTTTTTTGTCATTTCTACTCTCAGTGTCTACTTTGTCCTCTTTTTCGCTGTTTCAAGCATCGACTTGCAGATTACGTATTTTGAATTCTTCCAGCACGGTTGAACTTCACCAAATCCAAGAGCACGGCCCAGAGCATGATGAGCATGTTAAGCCATCTTAAGCCATCCTGAAACATGCAATTAAAGCAGCAGGGCTGCACTAGACGTATCAATCGTATCGTATATGAACGTTCACGTGCTCACAGAAATATCAGAAATATCCTTGCAGACCTTTCAAAGGGTTTTACTCGACTAAGGTTGTTTCTCTCGTGATTTCCATGGTGGCCCTTCGATCATGGCAAAATTTCACGCTTCACGGGACAAGACTGGAACGGACCGAAAAGTTGTCGCGCGGACCAGAGGAGCAGTTTCTGTGACAAAAAGATCCTGCTTGGAGGACTGTTTAGGACCCTCAGCTTGTGACACTGTGATCAAGAAATGCTGACTCCCATGACCTAGCTTGCGTGTGCAATGTTCACAAATCTTGTGTACTGTAGAAACATAATGAAACATATATACCTGTAGAAACAACATCCTTCTGACCTCATGGTTTTAGGTTTTAGAATTTTGGGATGAACAATTATCGGAGTCATTTTTGCATCACCTTTTTCTTTCTTTGATATCTTCAAGCACGGTGTCATGCCCAGTTTGGACCGGTGCGACCTGGGCGCTGTTTTTGCTTCTACCCAACAGAGGTGCTTCGGATTTGCAGTGATCATCCATGATTTGCAAATTTCGGATTTGAACTTTCTTGTTGAACATATCTTGTGCCATGACTGCAGACATACGAGAATTTGATGAACAGCCGGGCGGACGTCTTAAACCCTTGCCGATGTGATGTGTTTGATTTGGACTGCGATTTCCGAACAACCCACTGTTAATCTGTGAAGTCTCTGCAGCCATTAAGGAAAAGTATGTGCAAGACCTTGAGAAGCGAAAAGAGCAGCACTGACATGGTTGCCGCGTCATGGTTTCTGGTGACATCTCCTCATACATTTGGATTGTTCAAAATTATATACAAGATATTAGAATACATTAGATATCATTAGATGTATTCGTATGTATATACTTGAAGGCTTGATTCTAGATCATGGAATTGACCAAATTTTTCCCTTGGTACCCCATCTTGAGCCCTTTTTTTGGGAGAGATTTCCGGTCGCCATTTGTCAGGCAGCAGGCGAAGCAACGAGAGTGGCAGCCTGAGAGAATTCTCCACTTTTATGGTGTCTCCATGGTGACTCCATGTCAGGGAAAAAGCAGAAATGAAAAAACAGGAGGCGCAAAGGAAAAATGGGAGAGACTCAGAAATTGCGATTCAAAGAAGTTAGATAGATCCTGGAACATCTGGAACATTCTTCGCAGCCAGCCATTTGATTTTGATCGTATATGCAAAACCACATGTTACCACTAAATTTATGCGCATCATGGATCCTTATGGATTCCCTTTGATTTTAGCTGGCCTTGATTTGATTTTAGCTGGCCATCTAGTGTAAGACCAAACTTTTTGGGTTTGACCATGCTGAGAGTTGATTGGGGGTGCTCAGTGCCATCCTTTGTGTCAGTCCGACCGAAAGCAAAGAGAAAAAGAAGAGGAGGCGCCACAGCAATTGAAGATTCGCCAAAGCTGGGTGGGGGCTTTGAAGACCATTTTGGACCTTTGTGAATGGAGACATTGGATAATATATGACTAAATATATCTAAATATATGATGTGGCTTCAAGGAAGCGCAAAAGAAGCATTGGGATTGAACGAGGTTTCTCATGCCGGATTTCTTCGAGATTTTACTCGTAGTTTGCTCCCGGCTCCACCTCCCACTAGGAAGAACGAAAACGGAAAGAAAAAGAAGAGGAGGAGTGTACACAGTAATGTCAACCCCGGATTAATAAACCATGGTTTATTAATTCGGGGGGTACTCCTCCAATAGTCATAATATGATACTTAAATGGTATCCCCCAATTAAACAGCCTAGGGGTTTATTAATCCAGGGTTGACATTATTACACAGTGCACTCTGACAGAGTTGGACAAAGGGAGGAAGCGCAGTTTCACGGCTCATTTGGATGAAGCCTGTCACGCAGGAGGAACGAAAGAAGAAAGAAGCAAAGGAGAAGGCCAACGATGCGATTCGATCGAGAGTGACGTGCAGCCTGATGTAGATATATGATGAATTATGATGATATATGGCTCCATATGATAATATGTAGATCATGTGGGAAACAGACCAACCTTCTCAAGTCGTTTTATGGCAAGGATTGGCAAGGTGATTTCCGGTGATCCCAGGTGATCCCTCCTTTTTTTGGGTGTCTTTCGCATGTGCCTTCGTAGAATCATGGCATGTACATATACCATATACTTTATAGTCTTTATATTAACATATACCGTGTATATCATATACCATATAAATAAGTAAATAAATATATATGTATATACATACTGTATATAATATGTATCTATGTGTATTATATGCATAAGGTACAAACTGCGTAGACTCAAGTAACCATGGTAACTGAATGTAATTTGCATAAAGTGGTTGCCGGCACTCCGTGCCAAGTGATGAGATCTGAAGAAATCTTGTTCCGGTTCCAGGCCAAGCAATTGTCAGCGAAGGCGCCGGATGAAGGGAATCGATTTGACCAGCAGCTTGGATCATTTCATGTTTCTGACTTGAGGCGAAAGCTGCTAAGGCCAAAGCAGGTGGAACACTGTGAACACTCGTCTTTGATCTGGCGCTTTTTGGTTGATTCGTGGAGTATTTGTGGATGTATTCCATTGTATTCCATTGTATTTATTCCCTATCCTGAAAGTCCTGAAAGCCTCACTGCCTCCTGGCCACTCATGACTGTTGCTGCCAGGACCACAGAAAATAAGGACTGCCCGCTTGGTTTAAGTTTTGCTGTTTCTATCCTCTTGACGGAAGTTGAGATACCTCATTGACAGAATATGATAGAATCACAGTGGGCAGGGAACAGGAAAGCCTTTTGTCAGTCAGCTGCAATCACCGTCCTATGAACTTTTTGCAAGCAACGTTGGGGACTGCAATCGGCCGACAAAAAAAATGATGCAATGATTCTCATTTCAGGACAGGTTCTGGCGAAAGCTGCCTGGCACAGAACGGTCCTGACATTTTGGTGAAATCAATTGGACCAACATTTTATCAAAATTATTGGTGAATGTCCTTCCAATTATTGGAATGTCACTGAATGTCTCTCTCTCTCTCTCTCCTTTTTTTCGCTCAATTGGACCGACATTCTTTGTGACATTCCAATAATTCAGCAGAACCCACTGTTTCGAAACAATGTCCGCACTGGAGCCCCTACAGCTGTAGGTTCAGTTGCCGAGGCAGGTCCTGCAGAAATCTCTGGCTGCTATGGATTTCCCTTTGGCGAAACTCATGATTCATGTCTGGGAAAGGTGCCATTCTCATGCCATTTTCAGCCATTTTCAACCTTCAAGTTTTAGCAACTGCATGTCCAGGCAGAAGGGCTCAGAACACGCACAGGTTCTTCGGAGGTTTGCATCCTGGTGGAACATCTGAACAAGTGGGAAGAGCATTATAATGAAAGCTGTGTTGTAGTATGTCCCAAAGAGATTGCGACCAGATAAACATACATCAAAAATCCTCAAACCGGGAAAGACACACGCACATAGTCAATGGATAGCTAGATATAACTAGTATCTGATAGTATCTGATAGTATCTGATAGTATCTGATAGTATTTGCATGTTCAAGTTCTACCAACCACTCCCACCGATCCCAACCGGACACGCTGCGACCTGTTGCGACTCGCAACGTGAGGCGGCACTTCCATCGCCCGGACTCAAGGCATCCGCGCCTCCGTTCTGACCTCAGCTGACAGCAGCTGACAGATCTCAGTGACTCTGTGCCACTCCGTGCCACTCCGTGCCACTCTGTGCTGCGTTGACAGTGCTGTTTTCGAGGGCCAGAAGGATCAGCTGCGGCCTCAGTATGACTTTCGATGACTTTCGATGACTTTTGATGACTTTTGATACAGAAAAAACCTGAAAAAACCTGGGACTTGGGGACCTCTTGGGACGCCGAAGGTGGCAACGAACACACTTCTGGAAGGCTCCGCGGCTCCGCGGCTCCGCTGTCATCGCAGTATCCGAGCTCTGTCAGATGCTGTCAGGATCTCGGCCACAGGCCTTGAGGTTGGTGAGGAAATGCCCAGCGGAGCGATCCAGGCGAGCTGAAAAAATGCGACTTGACAAAGCCATGAAAATTGGAATCCAAAATTGGATCCTGAAAGATTGGATGACCCATAAAAGATGATGAACACCAGAGTTGGCTGAGAGGCCACAAACATCCACAAAATGTATCATAATCTGACAGTCTGACATACTCAACGAAGAAATACAAAAACAAAGGTTGAGCTCAGCAATCATTGGACTCATTGGACATGGGGGCCGTGGTTCCAGTGGTTCCAAATCGCCGATGGGATCGAAATGTCGTGGCACCGGGAGGTTTCTGGCCGGTAGGCTGGGGACGTTGGCACAAGAGAAGTGGGAGCCCTGGGAGCCCTGGGAGCCTTGGAGCTTTCGTTGATTTTCGGGGTGTCTCTGCTCCAACCGTACCATTGGACCATGTTGCACGAAACGCACGCAGCTTCCGAGGCTGGACGGGAAGGCATTCCACACAAAAAGAGCTAGGTGTGCAAGGCATTCCACATCATCCCACCTTTCTCTTGTGTTCGTTGCCGCAAAAGTGAAACTTCTAGCGGCTGGGACTGTACCATACGCAGACATGCCGTAATTTGTGGTTGTAAACAGCTGGAAGGGCAATCCACCAAGTGGAGGAGGCATCTTCCGAGATATTTCAAAGAATGTGCGAGTGTCAGGAGTGCAAATACCAGAGTCAGCTTGGAAATGCATCAAGATCAATGATCAACCGATCAAGTATCGATCTATCAGCCATAAAAATAGAAAATCACTGGTTGGACACCTGACATCACATCCAAATTCGAGTCAAAGAACCTGCATGGCCCGGTGATGCAAGTGAGCAAAAGGCAAAACCCAAACTTGTCAAAGCAATTGAAATCCTAAGTGGATCTTTTTGGGAGCACTTCCTCCATGTGCTCATTTGAATCTCACGTCATTTAGACGGCGGGCGAGGTGTGAAAGCCGTTTCACCAGCAATCCGGCTTTGCTTTTTGGATGCTATCAGCTCCGCCATCAGAACTTCATTCAGAGTTTCCATTAAAATTTCCATGTTAGTCAGGGCCTCAGAGTATTTAAGCATGTGAGCTGTGGTCAATACTCATGGTTAATAACCATTAAAAACGGGCCTAGTCATCCAATGGTTCAGGATGGAATTATTTCATAACCATTATTTTTGGATCCTTATTATGGATGGGATGACCATCAACCATGGCTCATGTTGTGACATGTTGTGGAGCTGTTCCAGATGCTGCCAAGCAGCCCCTCTGGTTAGCCACTTCCGGCAACAAGAAGCGGCTTCTCAGCTCTCGTCTCGGCTTCCGCATGACCAAACGGACAAAAATAGTGTCGCTGAGGGGATGGTCGGATGTTGTGCCTCAAACTTGGACTTCAGTTGTTTCAGGAATCACAGGATTCTTGTGGACATAAGATGACAACATAAGAACTATTAAGATGACATAAGAACTCATAACAAAGCTGTTTGTTGCATCGTTGGAGATCCGTTGGCCGTTTTGTTTCTCAAAGCTGATTTTTTTCTTTTAACGGTTTTAACGACCATGGCGCGACAGAGCCAGAGTCTGAGGCGTCAGCGTGAATTTTCACCAGGGCTGGCCGCTGCGCGGCATGTTTTCAGCACCAAGGTGTGGCTGCGGCTGGAGCTGCCACTGAGCTGAAGGATATCACCACTTCATGCCGTGGTTGGTCATGCAGTCATATATGGATATGTATATTATATAATATATATTATATATATAAACATGTATGTATGTATGGCTGGTATGTTATGTATGGTATGTTCTGTATGGTATAGTATGGAATGATATGGTATGGTATGTATTGTTATGTATTGTTATGTATGTATTGAAATGTAATGAAATGAAATGTAATGTAACGTTATGTTATGTAATGTAATGTAATGAAATGAAATGTAACGTTATGTAATGTAATGTAATGAAATGTAATGTAACGTTATGTAATGTAATGTAATGTAATGTAATGTTATGGCATGTAATGGTATGGTATGATATGTATGTATGTATATATATATAATATGTATGTATGTATTTATATATACACGGAATGCACATGTACGCATGATGTATTGGTAGATAAACAATCAAACTTCAACACACACACACTTGCTCAGAAAATTCTTATCGAATTACTGTTGTGGAGTGCATCGGTCGTGCACAAACAATCCCTTAAAGTCTGACAGGTGAGAGTTGGGTGACATGGCAGGAAAACCAGTAAAGAAGATTGCTTTCTTTGTCCTTGCAAAAACAACTGTTCCATCTGACGAAGTCGGCAATAATTCAGATTGCGAAAACCGTACAATATAATGAACCTGTTGACATTGAAGTTCAGAGGAAGGTCCTGATGCAACTGAAACACTGAAAAACGACATGCCGGTACTTGGCTTAGCCGGTTGCCATTGACGACAAAATTGAAATAGCAGGTACGTGACTCCAGCGTCCCAGAGTCATATCAGTCATGAATGCAGCCCTCTTCGTTGGGCAATCAGCTGCAAACATGAGATTGCCCCCCTGCAAGTACGAAATAAAATTGAACCAAGTCAACGCAATAGGAAGTTTTACATCTTTTCAGATGTTCCACAGACACACACACACAAAGACATTCCTTGCATGCAATATCTAGATGAGTTGCATCTCCGAGGCTGCGCTAGCGGCCCCAGCCTTTTTGCTTCCTTCTGTCGAAGCTCCTTCGCGAGCGCTGTCACATGAGGACGGCTCGCCCCTTCTCTGGTTTTCAAACGATTAACATCGTTTCATGATGTTCGACCCGTTTCAATATCTAGTAAAAAACATGCATTTAGCACATGTTGAACATTGTGGTCGAACTGGTTGGTCAAAGGTCAAAACCATTCTTCGAACATAATATAGTTTTTTTTTCATGAGTTGTATTTTTGTTTTTATCGAAACAAATTGCATAGCAAAGCGTGCAAATCTGCAAATGTAGAACGCGTTCGTTTCATCTTGTGTTTTGCACCAGAGTATGTTTGAACCTCATGCTTTCACTTGTCCTCTTGTGACATGACTCTGAACCTCCAGATGTTAGCCAACTTTCCATTTTGCCAGAGGCAAATCGAATCAAAGAACTTTGCAGTGACACAAATATATAATCCAATCAAAAAAGCGATTTGGTTTGGGTTTCTGGGCATCGGACCACTTTCTCGCGAGGCAACTGTTCAGCAACCAATTGTCAATACGGCCGGCAGCCTCCGACACACCAATTGTGTTGCTGCCAGGGCCCTGGAATGTTAGGGGCGACGCCACTGCCACTATGTCACTATGGCTGTGCTGTCCCACCACAACTGAAGCGGATCGATGTCAGTTGATGTCAAACAAGGGTGGTGTGTAATGGTTTGTAACTCTGCATCCTTTTTGTAGACATATGTGACATACATGTCTCATTCAAAGTGGCAAAGGGATGGCAAAGGCATGGCAAAGGAATTTAAAATGACATTAAAAATGACATTTGCCATGTCCTTCATGGTGAGTCTTCAGGTCGCTGTAGGACTTGGCGCTGCTGCTGCCACGGCCAGGATGCAGCTCTCTGGGCTCTCCGTTGTTCTTTGTTCTCCCCTTTTAACTCTTCCCATTCGACATATTTTCAATCGAAGACCTAATCCGGTGTCAAAGTCAATAAAGTCAATATTCAATTTAACTGCGCTGAGTTGCATAATTGCACTGTATTGCACTCACGTTATCTTGATACATCTCATTTGTTCCATTCTGTTCCGCTTCGGAAGCTTCGGAAGCCTGGCATCTTGCCCCTCTTGCCCAGGAGAACGAAGAAGGCACCTCGTGCGTCCCTGGTTGTCCGCCAGGCAGAGGCCAGGATGAGTCGTTTTTGATTTAAAATCACAAAGATATCATAAATATATCACAGAGAGCATCTTGGACAAAGAATCATTATGACAATTGATATGAACATACAATATATATATATATGTATATACATGTGTATGTGTGTATATATATATGTATACCCGAGGGGCTAGGACTTCTCCGATGGGATAGGGTGGGGTGGGGTGGGGCAATCACGTTCAAATACATTTGCGTACATGTGTGATGCTACGCTGTTGTACGTTCACTGGCATGTACGCATACATATGATGCTACGCTCAGGATGTGCTACGTCACGCATGTGGGGTGGGGTGGGGGCTACGAAGCACGCTACGCTCTTATCATGCTACACATCACGCTACACTCTTATGATGCTACACATCACGCTACGCTCTTATGGTGCTACACATCACGCTACCGTGGGAATGTTAAAAAGAATTGGAGACATAACATGATAACAAAGAAATGTAAGTAGAGCACAAACAACCTTACTATCAAGATGCGGCTTGGTTCACGACATTAGAAAACACTGCAAATACAAATACAAAATGGCCTCTTTCATTTTCACTGGCGTTTCCCAATGAATTTTACCCTTTTTTCATTTAACAATGAATATGTCAAAAAAACGCACAAAACCCAGGGAAAATCATCAATTCAAAGCCTTACAGACACAATAATAACAAAGACATATGAGTGGAAGACACAAAAACCTCTGACTATCAAGATGCGGCTTGGTTCACAAAGTTACAACATACTGCAAATACCATTACAAAAAGGCCCTCTCTCATTTTGACTGGCGTTTCCCAATGAATTTTGCACTTTTTTCAAATGAACATGAATATGATAAAACAAAAAACACAAAATGATAGGGAAAATGAACATTTCGTACATTTTGTACTTCAACTCAAACGGACGAAAACATGTTCGTCCGTCAAACATCAAGTTGTCAAGACAAATCACGATGCTCAAAAATGTGCAAATTACCACAGCGAAAACACAATTTTCAGCATTTCCAATCACCCACAAACATGACGAATCGGAGAACTTAGCGCCCCTAATATATATATATATATGTATATATATATATGTATGTATATCGTTTTGTTTACAACCTCTTGAATCCAGTTCTTCTAATTACCTAATATTACCGCAATGCAACATCTTTTCAAAGAAACATATCGGGAAACTGTGTGATATGCAATGCTTTGTGCCAGGGTCGGCTGTTGCGCCCACGAGACCGAACTGATGGTCATGGCTGGGTTGGCATCCCTAGTCGCACAAATCTGACAGATGCATCTTGGCATGCTTGACATCTCATGCAATCTCATGCATGTTCTTCTCTTGCATGACTAGGTGAAAGAAGATCCTGATTTCAATGCAGCAGATGAGTCAGCCGTGAGTGCCTACTCCTCGTCCTTGCTATTCTTGTTCCAGGGGTGTCAGTTTCGTGGCTTTCCGGGAACAGAATAGACACCGTATGACACCGTGTTCCAAGGCGACTCACACAATCGAGCTCAAGAAGAGGCAACATATTTCAAATGCAAAGTGGAACAGACTGACGATGACTGACGTACTTGTTCAGAACTGTTCGATACTGTTCGTTTCTCCTGGGAGTTGTTGACTTTTCTATGGTTTTTTTCTCCATTTTTGTAGCGTTTCTTTCAGGCCCAGCGGCATCAAGAGGTACACGCACGGCATGGATGGTAAAGGCGATCGGACCCCCAGCTGATCGCTCCAGTTTCCAAATCGAAAAGATGGTGGTCCCATGGTCCCATGGTCAAATTAATGCCTGAGGCAATGGTCATGGACATGAACGAAAAGGCCGAGTGCAGTGATTTCTCAATGCGAAAAAATCCCGTGGCAACTAATATGGCAAAAAAGGTGAGTTGTTTTTTATGTCAAATGTTGTCGAATGTATTTCCGCATGCCAGTCTTGTATTTAGATGATTTTACCATCTGGTTATGACTAACATAGCCATGGTAGCCATGGAAGCCATGGTCCATTTAAAGATGGTTTACCTATTGAAAATGGTGGATCTTTCCATGGCCATGTTAGTCATAACCAGATGGTAGTTTTTTTTTTGTTTAAGCAGTGCATTTAGTACGTCCAAAATGGCTTCGACTCTTGGTCCATGTCAGGCGCGCTACCCTGGTGATCCTATTGGACAAGCAGCAGTGGCTGGGGTGAAGAAAGGCGCAACCCGATGCGCCGTGAAATGCTGTGATTTGCCGTGGTGTTGTGGAATATGAGTCATCTAATGCATCCACATGCATCCACCAAATAAATACTAAATGATATCTTTATATATATATATGTACGTATATTTAAACTGAATTATCTATTAAATGTACTTGAGACTGACTGTCTGACTCTTGTTGCTTCCTAGCCGCTGAGCTTCTCAGGTTATGTGGTCAAGTCGGTGAATGGCACTGATGTCCGCAGCCAGGGCCCAAACATATCAATATGTTTCAATATGTTTCAATGCCCTTGCGGATGGATGATGGAAGATTTGTGAGTGCTCATCACCTTGTCTTGACTCCAAACGCCACCCAAACGCCACTGCAGATTGGGACTTTGAAGACATCATGGACCTCCTTGAGGACAGCATAATCCGCACCTGGATCTGGATGCTGGAAGATGCTGGAAGTGAATTTTGAAAAGTCAAACCGCTCCAACTGCCCCACGAGTGCTTCTTGAAAGTGCTTCTTCTGTGTCAGGATTTCATTCCGGATCCTGATGTCCAGTCCACAGCTGCCTTCAAAGGAGGAGTAGCCATCTTAGGTCATCAGAGATGGTCAGAGTGGAGTCGAGTCCGACAGTCCGACTCGCGTCGCAGAACACTTCGAGGCTCAGCGCGTGCGAAAGCATCAGCAGGCCTGTAACATCGTGATACATCGTGTAACTGATTGTCACCGCATGTGCAAGTTGTCAGCTGATGTAAGTTGTGCACTTTGTGCACTTTGTGCCCAATTTGGCCTGCATGGCACTTTCACAGAACTTTCAGACGCTCTGGTTTTGTTTGGAGTCTCTAAGACTCTAAGCCATCAGAAGCCATCTATTTATTTCTATTGTTTAATTGTTTGTCAATGTTAATGTTTCTATTCCTTTGTTCCTGGCGTTGCACTTTGTGGGGAACACAAAGGTGGCCTGTTCCATGCTTCCTTCGCCGGTGTCATGAAGGTACCCTTCCCGGTGACCATCGAATATGTCGAAATGAAGCCCATGGAGAAGGACGAAATGCTGCGAAATGCCGGAACTCGTTCCGGTGGTTACTCCACTTGTGTGCAAAAATGTTTGCTTAGTGGCGCAAATATTATGTTTTCATATGATTTCTCTTTCAATGTGTGGCTCGCATTGATCATGTCGCTTGATGCTCCCTGTGAAACCTTCGATTCTCCTTCCAGCAATCATGAACCGGACGCATCCATAGGTCCAGGATGGGCCAACATAGCCCCAAGATGGGCCCACATTGCCCCCCAAGGGTCACCAAGGGTCACCAAGGGTCACCAAGGGTCGGATAGGTCGGATAGGTCCTGAACATGCAAAAAAACCCACCATTTTTCCTCCAAGATCTACCATCATTACCATCCCCAAATATCCCCAAGTGATTTTCACATCTTTTTCCGCGCCAGTCCGCAGCAGCTCCAGCTGCCCCTCCCGGTGCCTGGATGCCACGTTTGAGCGGCTGGTCCGATGAGGTGCCTATGAAAGTTGGATGTTCTGATGATTTCTGATGTGTTTCCCCCCCAAAAAATGTGGATGTTCTGATGATTTCTCACGTGTTTCCCAGAAAAAATGGATGTTGGACGATGTTGGATGAGTGGATACATTTGGTTTTTCATATGTTGAAATGTTTGGGTTATCCTCACTGCATCCTGCAGGACCTGATGAAGGAGCGTCAGCGAGCCATGGCCATGCCAGAGCCTGTTCCAGCCACAGAAACCTTGACGACAGACGATGCAAATGCCAAATTTTGTTGGTTGTTGATGTTATATATATATATATTTGTGAGTGTACACGATTGTATGTGAGTTTGTGTTGCTTTATTTAATGTTATTGTTGGTTTTTGTACATGGATCTGTTTTCTCTGCAGATTTCATCAGTTTCGTTTGGTAAACTGCGGTGTTGCACCCGTCAGGCACCAGGATACAATGGCCCCCGTTACACGAAGGCCTTGTGCTTAGCAGCTTAGATGCTCAGCCGTGCGGTTGGAAGTTGCTCATAGTTACTGCATGTTACTACTGTCGTTACGGCCAAACACCTCGTCTTGCCCGCGCCTGTTGGCCCCCTTCTTCGTATGAGCTGAAAACGTGGTAAAAATGGAATATTTTAGCATTATGGTTAACTTGATGTTCTAGATCAGAACGCACAGCAGAGGGACCTGTGCGGGTTCGTTCCACATCATCATCATCACCATCACCATCATCATCATCATCATCATCACCAGCATCATCATCATCATCATCACCAGCATCATCATCATCATCATCATCATCATCATAATCATCATCATCATCATCATCACCAGCATCATCATCATCATCATCATCATCATCATCATCATCAACGAAGATCTGCAACGAATATAGAAGTTTGACAGGGGTGGGAGAATTAAACCCTTATTGACGGCCTTCAATGAATGTAGAAGTCCAACGGGGGTGGGAGAATTAAACTCTTATTGATGCCCTTCAATGAATGTAGAAGTTTAACGGGGGTGGGAGAATTAAACTCTTTTTGAAGATCTTCAATAAATGTAGGGGTTTAACGCGGGTGGGAGACTTGAACCCTTATTGATGGCCTTCAATGAATGTAGAAGTCTAACGGGGGTGGGGGAATTAAACCCTTATTGATGCCCTTCAATGAATGTAGAAGTTTAACGGGGGTGGGAGAATTAAACTCTTATTGAAGATTTTCAATGTATGTAAAATGAATGAACAGTTTAATGAGGTTTGGACTTTTTTATTCCCTAATACCTTTGTTGATCTTCCCAAGACAAGAAGGGTGTGGGCGAAACGGGGTGTTTGCGCGTATCGTTAGTATCGTGATATGAATATATGAGCAACTAGCGGTAGTTTCTTTGTTTCAGTTTCGCTTCACATATTTACTTAGGCAGCTGACATTGACGATGCGTGGCTGGAAAGGCTAGAAAGTGCTCAAGCGCAAGTTTTGCTTCTTCAACAAATGGGGGGAAATCTACATGCGGTGAATTTGCAGGCTGAAGCAGTTCCAGCAAACCGGAGGTCTCATTCCAAAGAAGGCAGGGTGCCACCATGTGCCACCCTTTACACGTGAGATAAAACTCTTGCTGTTTTGATCCATTTCTGTGCAGATTTTTGATATTGTTAACCATTATTATCCATTATTATCCACTATTATCCACTATTAACCACTATTATCCACTATTAACCACGATATTATCATGTGTTTCATGTGCCAGCTGTGGAGGACGCCTATCTCCTGGTTCTTGATGTCATTGCTCAGCTAAAGTCGGAGCAGACCATGAACCGTGTGCAGGCTGCCTTTTTGTAGGAATTTCTTTGGCCGAGCCACAGCCTGCTGATTTCGCAGAACGTGCTTAAATGAATATAGTTATATACATATAACTATATAATTATATATAATTATATATAATAGTATATGATTAAATATATAAAATATAAACATGACAATACAGATCAAAACATACTAAAACATACTAAAACAGTATGAAGCACTCAATCAGCCTCAATCAGCTCACTTGTGAAGATTTGGGTAGCTATGTGGCTATGGCTATGTGTACCAGGTGGGTCCTGGCCAGAAGTTGACAGCCTTCCACTTAGAAAAACTTGGTACTCCGATCTCCGATGAATTAATGAGTGACGTCATCGTGAAGAGATTTTTTGCTTTTAGGTCTTTGGAGATCTTCATGGCCAGTACTTTGACTTCATGAACATTCTCAGCTCGGCTCTCAGACGACGTCAATGCTGGCATGACATGCGGCATGACTCCGAAAGTCCAAGGCATGGCTGGCATGCCTTCCCCGAACACGTTTGGTGACCCAGCCCTGGGAATGGAAATCATTGGTGTTTTTTTTTTTTAAACACGGAAGCCCTGCCTGGGTCTGAGGCCTTTCCTCTTCAACGGCGACTTTGTTGACCGTGGCTCCTGGTCCATTGAGGTCATCCTCCTGATCTTTGCCATGAAGATGAAGAACCCCAATGCTGTTTTCATGAACCGAGGGAATCACGAAATGCTGGAGGCCAATATGATCTACGGCTTTGCAGGAGAAACAGGAGCCAAGTACGACTTGGATCTCTTCAACCTCTTCTCTGAGTCCTTCCGAAATCTTCCTTTGCTTCACTTGATCAACAATGAAGTCTTGGTGGTGCATGCCGGTATCCCAGGTCCCCGGCCTCGTGTGTGGTTGCCAGGTCAGACGCATGATCCAGAGGATGCCGTCCCGGTGAACGCCCGAGCCACGACCTTGGCAGAAATTGCCTCAGTGGATCGATACACCGAACTCACACCCAACAGCTACAAAGAGGCCGTGGACAGTGCTCCACGAACGGAAGAAAAATGGGAGACAGATTCTCGAATGATCATCGACTTCCTGTGGTCAGATCCCAGAGGTGGAGCTGGATATGGTCCATCCTACAGAAAGAGCAGAGGTGTTTTCATGTTTGGCCCAGATGTCACCGCGCAGTTCTGCAGGGAGAACAACATCAGTCTGGTGATTCGATCTCATGAGGTGAAAGCTGAGGGATGGCTGAAGGATCACGACACTTTGATGAGTGTCTTCAGCGCTCCAAATTATTTGGACACCGGAGGCAACAAGGGCGCCTTCCTCACACTGACTCCGGGCCCAAATGGCAAGCTCCAGGCCGGATGATGTCTATATATAAAGTATTATAACAAATATGTATTTAATTGTATGAATATGATGAATAACTATAATATACATATTGTATACATAATATATATATATATATTAACACATATAATTATACATATATATATACATATACATAATATATATATATACACATTGTAGATAATTACAGATATATAGCCGCAAGACGATTCATAAGTTGGTTCATAAGTTTGATTCACCTTGATGCAGCAGTTTTTTTTTTCGACCAGCTACAGGCCAGCCCGACCAGCTATACCGCAGTTCCTCATCCAGACCTTCCTCCGATGTACCATCAGGCCAGAAACTGCCAAGGTTGGCCTCCAAAGGCGACTGAGGCGACAGCTTTGCTAAGAGAAGTTGGTTCATAGTCCACTATGGCGGTCGCCTACAGGTAGAGGACGCTTTCACATGTTGCAACTCACGATATCTTTATTGTGCTGTGCAATCTAGGATATGTAATTATAGAAGTCATAATATAACGAAAGTGTGTGTAGTTTCGCTGAAGCCTCTAACGCCTGAGAAATGAGACATGCTTGAATGCTCTTATGGTGGCAATGGAAACTGCTCGTGCAGAACTACATCGTGAACAACCATCCGCATCTCACACGGCAAATGAGGAAGAAGCAGGCACTCTCTATGCACTATGTACACTATGGGAATTGGTCTCCCTGACATTCTGGGCTTCCGGGAATGCCATAATGCACAGGCTGTTTTCATGTGAGCTTTGCCTTCGCAGGTTGCACAGGCTGATGATTTTGGAGACAGCGATTTCGCTGGCTACCAAGCGCCTCGGTTGACAATTGACAATTGCCAAAAAGTGACATTTCTTGATCAATATTTTGTTGATGTGGCATTTTGATGCATTTTGATATATATATATAATTATATACATATATATATACATATGTACATATTAATATTATTATATTGCATACATGCTAAAAACATGCTTTTAGCGCATCTTGAATATGTTTGAATCAGATTCTGCGCCAAAGCCACGCAATGTGGTGAGGGACCAGACGAGTGGGAAGAGGTCGATGCTGGAGCAACGCTGAACGCAATGTCTTCATAGCTGAACATGTATCGCTTTTGTGCGAGTAGATTTAGAACTCGGCCCAGAGAAGACCCCAAATTGAGTAGTGAATCCTGGGTGAGTCATTGCTCGTTGCATCTTGAAACGGCCTGGTTCCTCAGTTGGAAGTAGTGCCCAGAGAGTTTCCTGGACCATGTCCTCTCCGTTGAGTCAGTTTTGCGGACATTGTTCCCCCAATGTGGGATCATGAGAGTGTCAGATTTTCCGACTGCGACTTGAAGATTGCTCAACATGTGAAAACGTGTCAAAAGGATATGGTTTCCAAATGTTTCCAACTGATTTTTTGTATGAAAATATGTCTTCAGCCCCTCACTGTGATCCTTTGTGCCTTGGCTGCCTTGGCTCAGAATGTGATTTTTAGAGGCCACTGAATTCCGATTTGTCAAAAAGCACGCAGCAGCTTGTTGAATTCAGACGATATGACCTGTTAATTCTGATAGAAACATGTATGAAAAATGTATGAAAATAGAAGATAAAGAGAAGATAAGATGATATAAGATGACACAAGATGATATAAGATGATATAAGATGATATAAGATGATATAAGATGATATAAGACTGAATGCCAGTGATACAGTAGACTTTCTTCTACAAGACAGAAGTACTGTGCTGTCAGAGGCACTGGACAGCAGAGATTCTTGTAGCTGCAATGTGGTGGGTGGTGCAGGACAATTCAGGACACTGGTCGTCCAGTGAATTTAATCTGGATACCTAGTGGCTCTAGATTTTTGTTGCATCTGAAGTCAGAATGTGATGCTCCCACATGACTCCAAATTAGTGCAGCAATTGCAAGGGGACACCAAAAAGATTAAGGATGGAAATCACACAGCTGGTCAGCTGATACTAGCCGGGATCGCACACTGACCTACGGATATGACGGCTTTGGGCTTTGGGATTACAAGACCTTGTTGCGATCACCGGTACGAGACATGAACACATCGCGCGCGAGTTCATTTTCAAGCCTCCCTTGCTCCATAGTTGCAATTTCTTGTTTCTTCTTTTATTTGATTGACAGGTCGGGCTCCATTTTTTCCAACATCTTGTCGCTTTTTATGCCGTTCTCTTAACGCGTGCAAGAAGTCGCGCGCTTCAACCGATCTCATCTTCGAAAGTGTCTGACGAGGTATGTTCTTCCACCATTTTCCAATCTCTTCCAATCCCTTCCAATCTCCACCCAAACATTTTCGTGGATCTTTGTGGTTCAAGCTTCGAACAGGACCATGGCGCGCTTGGAACAGCTACAGGAGGCGGCCTTGCGCGAGGCGGTATTGGATGACGATCTGGAAAGGAGTCCATGGCCAGGAAAAATACAAAGACACAATCTTGACATAATATATAATTAACAAATTACAATTACATATATATATATATATGTATACACATAATATACATATTATAGATAATTATAAACATAGAACATATCTCAAAATATCTCTTGATATGCTGAGAATTGACCGAGTTTGAGGATCCGCTCGGAGGTGATCTGGACCTTGGGGGGCTCCGCTCGCCGTCTGGAAGCTGCCTTTGGTGGAGCGTCTGCATCTGAGTTCCCAGCACCGGAAATAGGACATGACTATGACATGATGACTATGACTATGACTAGAATCTATGATATCTATGATATCTATGAATATGACATAGATTGACATAGTATGAATATGACTATATACATGACAATATGACTAGATGACTATGTCAATGTGACTCTGACAGTGACATGATGCATTAATAGTATGGAATTCTTGAGGGGGTAATAATTACAGGACAACCTACGCAACATTGCACAGGATTTACTGTAGGCATTTTTCTTCCATTTCAATGCATGCCAGATATGCACAATTCACAGCTCTGATATGGTCCCATTATGTTTCCTTTTCGACGCAGTTTGACGTGCACACTTCAGGCGCGGCATCCTTGGTTTTGAGGATTTTGTGCGTGGCTTGCGGACGTCAGCGGCCTAGAAATCATTGGAAAAAACTGGTGGGAAAGCTGCAGGACGTGCGGAGATGGGTGTAGTTCTTAGCAACTCATACCATCAAAAGCCATGAGGATAGGCTTTCAGGCTGAAGACCTTGAAGGCCTGACATGACATGTACTGCTTTCCGCAATTCACTGGGATTTCCACTCTGTTGCAGGATGTGGGTTTAAAGATCCAGCAGAAGCTTTCCGTGTGCTTGACCGCTCCAGGTGCTTCTCTTAGACATTCGGGGTCAGGGTCACACCATGTCACAATATGTCACACCTACCTTTCCAATCCTTTCCATGGCAAAGGGCCAAAATTGAGGACCCAGATATCTGTACCCTCTGGTAAACTAACATAGCTATTGAACATGCCCATTAAAAATGGTGATTTTCAATAGCTGTAGATCTTTTGTTTCGATGCCGACTTTGCCAAGGCGAGGCTGTCTTCTCATAGAAGAAGTTACGCGGCGACCCGATGCCAAAATCCGCAAGTGACTTTGCAAAAACACTTCTGTAAAAAACAAGTATACGGTAAAAGATCGGAAAAGTAAGTCTTGGCACAGTGCAGACTCTTGCAGACGTTTCAGATTTTTTCTTCGGTGTCCACACGCCTTGGAGTTCAAATTGAGAAATCACATAGCTCTCCCTGCTGCGTTTTGCGAGTTTTTCGACAGCTGAGGTTGTGCGGAAGTGGAAGTCTTAGGAGATGCTGAGACCGACTGCGGGATGACTTGGATGACTTGCGCTCAGTTCTCTGCAGGAGAAGCGCCTCCAGCGATGGATTTGACATGAGCATTGGCAGCACCCTGGCTGAGAAATCGGATGACACGAAACAGCACCAAACATGGCCAGAGTATTTGGGTCTATTTTGGGTCTTTGTGACAATTTGTGACAATTGTCCATACCTTTTTTCTGGTGTTGGGAATGCTTGGTAGGGGAGATGCCCTGGAGGTACTGGATCTGATCTATATTCTGCGCGGGAGGACCTGCCTGTTTTATCAATCAGGTTCCAATGTGCAATGATGTGGATGTCACAATGACTGCTGGAGCAACCAGTGGACTTGCACTTTGCACTGGTTGACAATCGCTGTGGCAGCTAAGTGTCGTCACCAATCCAAGACAGCCACTTGTTCACAAAAGCGCTTCGTCTTTGTTAGGTTCTGCTCCTTCAGCTACAATGCAGCAGATTTCTCATGCAGTTTTGGTTCAAACTGTCCAAAGCTTTGAGCGAATGGCGGGATGGTGAAACAACTTGAAAGATCTTCCACGCCAGTCCCGCAAGAGGTGAGGCTGTGGTCTTGCACGTTCGATAATCACAAAGTTGATTCTGGTCAAAAAATGAGAGAGAAGAAACATGGAGGAACATCTCGGAGAAACAGAGGAGAGTCAGAGAGTGGACACTTCAACAATCCCATTCATCGCATGTTCAGCGATGACATCGTGATGAATCGAATCCAGGCACCTGCACGTGCAGAAGGGACTGGTCAAGAACAAACCGACGATGAATGGATCGATCTGGGGACAAAGGCAGCACTATTGTAGTCATTTTTTGTATTGAATCAAAATTGAATCCATATCCCATAGGATCCATGTATGCTATATATGCTAACATTTGGGGTATATTGATGGTAAATGTTACCATATATAGCATACATGGATCCTATGGGTATTGAATCCATTTGAATCTCGTTGCCACCTTTGCTGGTGATTTTTTTAAGTGAGGAGGAAATAGACAAGAAGAAGCAGCCCAAAAAAGAAAAGAAGAAGACATCAAAGGCCTGGGCAAAGTGGAAGGACATGGACACGACATCGTCCAAACATACTCCGCTTGGATAATCCAACTTCATCTCAGCAAATTCATGCAGCTAACATTAAACTTATTCAACATTCATTTAGCATCCTGCTATATCCTGCTTATTCTTTTCTCATCTCTGTCAACTTGGAGGGCCTGCTGGGCGGTGCCGCTGAGCTGGTGCCGATTTTGATTTTGGGTTTCTTGACTGCACTGATGGGCCGATGGGCCCCGCGTGTGGAGAAAGGCCCTGTTTCCGTTGCTGTTACCGTTGTTTTGGTTTTTCTATGTTTCTCGTGCTTTCTGAAACATCGGCAGTTTGAACATATGACGCAGTCGAGGCTACTTTGGAAAGGCAAGGCTTTGCGGACTTTGGCAAAACTATACACAATTTTCATTAATGTTCCGACATGTTCCGACATTTGCAACGGATGAGCGCCGCTCTGCAAATCTCCACAGTGCACACCGTGGTGAGGCGTTCTGGTCCTGGTATGGCATGCTGTACCCGAAGTTTCCGGACCTTGTTGGCAAGTTCGGTGAGACAAATCGTGTGTCATGAGTGAAGTACGACTGAGTACGACTGAGTACGACTGAGTACGACAGTGGTGGTGATCCTGAGTCAGGACTTTGACGCCAATCATAGATACTTGGAGAAGTTCCAGAACAGGACAGATTTGAGGATCATGAAGGGTCAAAGAATTGCAGACAATCATATATCATATATATATATATCATATATCGAATTGAGAACAAAAATTGTATGTTGTTCGATCTTTCATGTGAGGATAGAAAGGGGAGAAGCTCTCACACTCGATGTCTTCATCAAGGAGAGCAAGCAACTCGTCACAGCTCATGGCCAACATCTTCTGTATTCATTTTGCTTGGTCCGCTCACGACCCGCAGAATTTTTCGTAAGGTCCCAGCCCAGAATTGCTCGAGATGCACCCCCTGATTGGAGTGTTCAATTTGAATACGACGAGGAGGACCACGGGATGCGGTAAAATTTGGAGAGACATATTAGTGACATACCTAGAAATTATCCCATATAGAAATTCAGAGAATTTCAGAGGATATCTGATGATTTCCTGATGATTTACTCCGGATTTCTCCTGGCTGACCTTTTTTAGATCTATGAGTCTGTCTTGGAACCTGGCAGGATTTTCTTCCATCCTCCAAATCCTTGCTGGTGAATATCTCCTCAAAGATGCTGAACAAGACAAAGACTCTCAGCCAAAAGGATGAAGAATGAAGACAAACAACTAAGTAGCTGTGCGTTTCTTGTCTTCCACATTTAAGCCTGCCTTTCCTCGCCAAGGAATGTCTGGCTGACCGCAAGGTTAAAGACCGAAAAAGGCCTGTCATCATCTGTCATCACTTCTTCCGATTCTTCCGAAAAAGGTATATTTTTTCACATTTTTTCACATTTTTTCACATTTTTTCACTGTTGAAGTCCAGCATTTTTCTGCAGGTGATTTTGTTGCCGAAGCGCACGGAGGAATGATCAAGTGACTTGATTTGAGCTGACCAGTTCGACCAGTTCGACCAGTTCCCGAGTGTTGACCAGTTCCACACTGTTTGTCTTTCAAGGTATGACAAAATGAAAGCACAAGCCACAAAGTATTGGCTGACATCAGGCATGGAATCGGCCTATTTTCGGTATTTTCCGGATTTTCAATCGGATTCAATCGCACCAGGAAAGGAACTTTGTTCAGAAATAAGTTGGTCAGATTCAGGAAGATGTGACACCAGTTCACTTATTCTGATTTGACGAAGGTGAAGCAAGACTGTAGGAGGCTTTACATCGGCACCTTTAAAAATATCAGTTTGCATCGATCCGCGCACCAGAGGTGAAGTTTGTGAAGACAATACAGAGAGGCCTCCGTTCTCAGAGTCTCAGAGGGCTTCCAACATCCAACTTGATTTGACATATTTGACAATATTTGACATACTTCCAGGACGTATGGAACGAAAGATAAGCCATTGACTGCAAGAGGAGTACCCAAAATGCAGGCACGACGTTTGTTGCTGAGCACCCTTCGTGATATTGAAATGATGTGGTGCAATGAATTACATAGATTTGCCCAAGCAATGTTCAGGTCAGACTTGTTTATGACCGTACACACTACCCGCGACCTTGGAAAAACAGTCACTACTATCCTCCCTTGCCTCTTGGTAGCAATAATTAATATAATAATTATGCAGCAGTCCGTTTCATATTTATCTTCGATTGATCTTCTGAGTGTATCTGAGTGTTGGGTTCCTGTCTTGCAATTTGAGCTTCAGCTTCGCTTCAGGTATGTGGATGAATTCTGGATGACCAATGATCAGCTCATCAAGTTTCCAGCCAGTGGATATCATAGCTTTGACGCGGATCTTTGCCTACAATGGCTTTTACAATGGCTTTGATGCAAAGTCCAAAGTCTGGAAAGCTTAAAAGAGCCTGAAATGGTGCCAGAAATGTGTCAGAATACTGCAGAAATGCTTCAAATCGTCCGGAAGAAGGTCTTGTTGCAGAGAACTCTCTGAGCTTCACTGAGCTCAATTTGGTGCCAAGGAAATTCACTTTGGGCTGATGTCTGCACCCAGATGGCGATTTCAGAATATGTTTCTCGCCTCGATGCCATTCTCGCCGGTGTTCGCTCGTCGAGTCGGTCGAGTCGCTCGTCGAGCCGAGCTCATATCGTCGTCTAAGGATGGATCACAGCATCAAGAACATGGCCACTCAGTTCGCAGGTGAAGATGCAGAAGAGATCATGCAAATCCGGGACTTGCTCCTTGGCAGACTTGGCAGACTTGGCAGACTTGGCAGACTTGGCAGACGACTTGGGGACTTGTGACACCTTTGCTGGCTGAATTCTACTCGCCAACCTTGGCGAGTTGATATACTTAATATATCTTAATAATTCTTAATATGAGAATGAAGCACCGTTCTGAAAATTACAGGTTCGCGAACACAAACTCGTACCTTCTGATAGTGACCATGGTGGTGAGCGTTCTGCATATGATCTTTGAGTATTTGGCCCTGAAGCACGATGCTCCTTGGCACGCAAGGCCCAGCATCTCGCCAAAACGAACCAAAAAGAACAGGACATGAAGAGAGAGAGAGAGAGAGAGAGAGAAAGAGAAAGAGGCGTACTCTTTCTTTTCTCCTGTCTTTGTGTTCAAAGCGAAACTCTGGAGAACTTTGCATTTTGCAAAGCTGAGGTGCTCTTTTGGCAGAAGACCGATGCGGAGACGTTGAAGCGATACGTCTCATTAAGGGCAATTTTTTGGGAGATTTTCTGCATCTTGGTCGCGCTTAGTGGCAAAAGTGCGCCTGATCCTGGTTTCCACCGCAGCTTTAGTTGAAGGATTCATTCATGCAGTTGAATTGAAGGATTCAATGTAAGTGCGGTCCAGAGCATTGAACTGCCCGAATTGCTCTGCACTCCAGGCAATGTGGTTCTTTGGATTTATTTGTGGCTTTGCTTCAATGAGATATGGAACCAGTGCAGCCGTCTTCCCTGTGTGCTGTTTTGATGGTGAGAGTTGCGGTCTTGAGGTATGATCAGGAGACAGGTTGGCTAGTCCTTATCTTGATGCTGGGACAGATCGCAGTCGATTGCTGGAAGCTGACCCGTGTCATCGAGGCTTGTCAACCTGGAGCTATCTAATTTCAACATATTTAAATTCTTGCTCGATGAATCTCGATGAAAAGCCTTGTTTGCTGATCATGTAGATCATACGAAAAATTTTAAGTTATTAAACTAAATGGCGCGTCGGACTTTTGCTGGTCATTTCCATCAACCTGTCATGGTGGGATTGGCCGAAGATGTGCAGTCCAGTACCTTCCTCCCCTGTTTCCTTCGTTGCAGTTAGCAGAACTGCGGATTGACTGATTGACGAAAGCACTGACCGAATTCAGCTGTCAGTTTGCAGATTGAATTTGGCAGGTTATGGCAGGGTTTTTTTTCCAGTCGATTCCAGTGTTTTTTCATGTTTTTTCGCAATCCTAAAACACAGGTGAGACTTGAGAGGAACGGCGCGCTGGTCTATCCAGCTTTCAGAAGCCGTGTTCCCCACTCCAGCTCGGACCCTCGTCAGATGCGCGGGTTGAGATGCACTGATGATCTGAAAAAATCAGCTGGTGCAGCTATGAAATTTTGTCATCTGGTTATGACTAACAGTTCGCCATGGAAAGATCCACCCATTTTTAAGTTCGGTAAACCATCTATTTCTATGCGCCATCTATACCATGGCTATGTTAAATAACCAGAGGTTACTTCTACTTGTACTGTGATATTATGGACCCAGATCTAAGGATGACTACGACAAGATAGCATTGCAATATCTCTCTTATGCCCAGTCCTTAGCCGTACCGCAAGTCGAGCAATCCCGCATAGGCCCGCAAAATTGTGTCCGAAACCGCTCAGCCAAGATTTTGGTGCCGATTATCCTGGTCTATTCCATTTATTCACTGAAATTCGAGTGTCACAAGGGCATCATTGCGAGCCTCGGCTGCAGTTTCAAACAAGATCACGAGTCGAAAGCTGAAAAATCATGGAAAACTGGGCCTTGAAAATCTTGAAATGCCTGTGCCCAGGTATTTGCTGCATGTATCTGCATCTATGGTTTATGCGCTGGGCTTTGCGCTCATGTATCTCGGTCAAACGGTTCGCGTTTTTTTTTTTTGTCATTCTCAATGATCCCAACCGACCTTACCACATGATAGTCCAACGATGGTGTTGTGGATTTTACCCCCTGGTAAACTAACAGTTTGCTATTGAACATGGCAATTTATAGTTGATTTACCCATTAAAAATGATGATTTTCCATAGCTATGTTAGTTTACCAGAGGGTAATCTGTTTCTGGACACGGATCTTTCGTGGAATTCAACATGACCTGACAGGACGCCCCAGCTCTTCATTAATTACAGAATGAAATCAGTGGCTTATCTACCATGGAAGCGATTCATCTACAGCTTCTTGCTTGAATATGCTTGAGTTGTTTGAATTGCAAGCCAGTATGATGCATGCTCATTTGAGAGAAACCGGTCCAATGCACTTGCTGACAATTGACTGCAAGGAGCAATCAACACGTTCATAGAAGCTTGACTGCAGCTTTACGGTCTTTACGTATGCATAGTTCGATGATGTTCGATGCACACCCTGAGCTCACCTTTTAGAAAAGCAGTTCTTTGGAGTCCTCTGTCGACTCACAGCCGAAACTCTCGAAGCCAAGAGCACGTCAAGAACATATTTTCCCATGCATCATGATCCAGCCAAGAATCTGAATTCGCTTTGGGTGCAGGAAGCTGAACCGAATTCTGCTGATTTCAATGTGATTCGAAGAGTTTGACCAAAGCAAACCGGAGCTTCAAGCTGCTGAAGCATCCTTCCTGAGCCAGATCATATTGTATATATATAGAACTATTACTATAATAATGGTATACAGTAATATAATAATATATGTCATTTATATATTATCCCCGGCTCTACTTTTCCTTCTTGAAACGAAGACTTCACCAAAGGAGACCAAAGGATTGCAATTTCAGATTACATATTCGTTTGCTTTCACGAAAAAGATGCAGGTTCCCATTTCGATGCAAATTCAGAGTCTGGTGCAGCTAAGGACGACCTATTTTCCTTCATCATCAAGATGCCCACTATGCACAGTGGGGCTCTGAGATTTTGGAAACTCTCGAGCCATGTGCCCATCAAGCATAATTAGACCAGATCCTGTATCCTACCGGATATAGATGCTCAAGAACGGTTCGTGCCCTTCTCTCAATTCCTTTGTTGCTCTTGCTTCGGACAGGAATGTCTTGCTTCCGGGATGACATTGTCTTTCTCATCTACCTCTACCAGAGACACATATATCCCGTGGACAAAGAAAGCCCGGTGCTTTTTTGACTGTATTGCGCAGTTTTTCACTGTATCGCTTCAATGCCGATTTCCGGTTTCTTGTTGTGCCGCTTCCGAGGAATGTTTGATGAAGACTTTACTGAAACTGCTGACGACAAGGTTGAGGAGCCAAGAAGCTGAGTACTTTTCTGTAAGACTGGTTGCGTGCCGTGTCCCTGAATGTTTCTGAAACCCACCAAGAGCTGTCGTGTTGAACATTGGTGGAGGACAAAAAAGATCAATGAATGCGACAAAGCGACAGAGTTGGCCTTAGTCCTCGCAGGGTCTTGGACTCTCGAAATGTCTCGAGATGTCTCGAGATGAGTAAAAGACTACAAGACCTCAAGCTCAGCCCCAGGATTGAGCCGGAAAAAAGGTTTTTGAATGCTTTCGAATGTCTTCAGTTTCCAGTTGCGCATCTCTTTGTGGCTCTGATTTCTGATTGCAAAATGTTCGAATTGCACATCTTGGGAGCTGAGATTGTATATATAGGGGCTGTATAGGGCGGGGCTGTGCCAGACTCGGAATCGCCTCGGCCGGTGCAGTGAAGCGGCTGAGAAAAACCTTGGAAGCAAATCGTTCAGCAAAATGCACTCAGCCGGAGCCGCATGAACTGCAATCCACATATATCCACATCATCATAGTCCAGTTATATGCTGACCACGAAGGTAGCAAGACCTTATAACACCTGAGCTTATAACTTATACGATTCGAAATGAGTGCTATATGTAGCAGCTTGGAATGTGCTTTCTTGGAGCAATTGCATTTTGGTATGATAGGCCAGCAGTTGCGATGCAGGGAGTTTAAGTTTTAGCCTCTATAAAAAGAATATACATAATATACACACATCGAGAAAGTTATGGAGGGCGTGAGTCGGCGGGAGACTTAGAAAACCTGGAGTCGCCATGAATCGCCTGCAGGATCTTGAGAACATCCTTGGGCTTCTCAGAGAGCGAGAGCAGGAGATCCAGCTCCTACGAACAGAGATGAACAGCCTCAAAGAACAACAGGCGGCTTAGTGAAATGATCTTCCGCGCTCTGTGAAATGCTTTCCTCCGCGCGGTTGCTGGACGTGTCATGCAGACGAGATTCGAAGATGGATGCCCGCGATGACTTTGGCCGCCAAATGCCATCCGTGTTGCAAATGGCGGGCTCAATACTGAATACATCTGAATACAATCAATCTTTGGTAAATGTGAAATAATATTTCCACATGGTTTCCATTAACGTGTTTCCATTACCTCATTGGATAAAATGAACGTTGACACATGTTGACACATGTTGACACATGCGCATCGACACATCATGACACATCTGTCGTTAGGACCGCCACAGTGCCGAACTTCTCCGAGCTCAAAGGGTTGGGATTCTCGGTCCGTCGGTCGGGAGGATGAGACTTCGGGGATGAACAAAAATCAACACCTTGAAAATCCTTGAAAATCCTTGAAACATGAATATATTATATATATATATATTATAGATATATGAAATACATGAAGATCATGAAGATACGACACTTGTGAGGAAATCACATAGGAAACCTTACCGAGCCCGCTTACCTGTAAGAGGAACGGGACTTTTCTCTGAGTTCTCGTCTTGCCACCTTGGGAGCCAACAACCATGGGTATTGAGGACCTGAGCTTACATCATCGTTCCTCGATAGAACAGCTCCAGGTTCACTGTTTGAACATGAACCAAAATTTGAGCTGTTTTGAAACGAACATTGAATATCATTGAATCATTGAATTCAGTACATGACTTCAATGGCATTTCCTTGATCTTTTACATCTTTGACGCCTGGGAACGTTATGGTCGTTACAATGTCGTTATGGTTTCTGCAGAATCTCAACGCTCGAAGGATGTGGAGGAATCTGCGCATTCCGCCGAGGCGCAGTCCGTCGTTGATGTTGCCGGGTCACGAGGCTTGCGCATCTGCGAGGCCCACCACTTGAACGAGAAGTCGCGGCAGAATTCCGAGAGAATGTTGCTGGAAGAACAGGACTGGACCAGTGCCACTAAGATCACTAAGTCTTCTAAGTCTTGTCATGGCTGGAGAATGTGCAAAACATATTGCATTGACTGGCCTCAGGAGTGTTTACGCATGGAGGTCAGTGCCTCAAGCTGACGCATATTTATAGAATATACAGGGTATGTAATCCCTGATACCAGTAGTACCGCACAAGGCGGTGGCGGAAGTTTCAATGATAGGACACTATAGGAGAGGTGAGTTGTTGCGATGCATGGATGGCAGGGCGAATCCACTGATGGACCGAAAGGTGGTTGGAGTCGGGTTTTTTGGAGTGGTTGGAATGGTTGCAGTGGGTACCTCACACACAACTGCTGGATGTAGTGTGGTGTAGTGCAGTTGTAGTTGTAGTTGTAATGTAGTGTAGCGGAGATGTAGTGTGTAGTGTAGTGTAAATAGTGTAGTGTAGTTGTAGTCGCAGTTGCAGTTGTAGTTGTGGTGTGGTGTAGTTGGTGTAGCGTAGTGCAATGTAGTGTAGTTGTAGTTGTAGCTGTCGTATGCTGTAGTTGTAGTAGTAGTTGCAGCTGTAGTGTAATTAATGTAGTGTAATTAGTGTAATGATGTGTAATGTAATTGGTGTACTGCAGTGCAACTAGTGTAGTGAAATGTAGCGTAGTGATTTGTAGTTGTAGTTGTAGTGCAGTGGTAGTGGTAGTTGTAGTTGTAGTTGTCTATCTATCTATCTGTCTACCTGCAAGCTTGAAAAAGAAGCTATTCTGCGAGACTTCCTCAAGTTTTGCACGTGGCAACGTCAAAAACGAAGCCATGCTGCGAGACTTCCTCAATTTTCGAAGTTGACAACAGCAAAAACGAAGCAATTCTGCGAGACTTCCTTCGGAAATGGAAAGTTGAGTGCAGAGCTGACGGCCTCGTACCATTGCGTTTTGCGATTTTTCCGATTTACGTCTCTACAGTATTGCGCCTGCCACGAGAAATTGATGCCAGGCCACACGAAGTGCTGCACCTGCCACGCAAAATCATCTTCCCAAAACTGAAGATCTGATGCTCCAAAATGCAACCGCTCTCAGGAAATCAGCGCCCTGACCTCCTAACATCTCTGATGAACATGTCTCTTGTACCACGCCTGCCACTAAATGCATCTTTGCAGATCCTCTGCAAATGCCCCACGCCTGCCATCGTTTTTGGCAAGGTGTCGAATCCCTTGCGCCTGCTACGCAAAACCAGATCTGAACCTTCAAAAGTGGTCCGAGCATGTGGTGTTTTTAACATTTTGACTTGGAAATGTGCTTCGCGCCACAACGGCGTACACTTTTTGAACATCTCAACTTCCAAAAGTGCTCCGAGGCTGACGTTGCTTTGTGCATTTTGACTTGGACACCTGCTTCGCGCCGCAACGGCGTGCACCTTTTCGACATCTCAACTTCCAAAAGTGCTCCGAATCCCGAAGTTTTTCACACTTTTGACTTCCACATGTGCTTCGCGTCACAACGGCATGCACTTTTTCGACGTCACAACTTCCAAAAGTGGTCCGACATTGGTGTGCTTTGTGCACCTCTGCTTTTCATCTGTCCATATTGTCGGAAGTTTGACTTCTAAACTTCCTTTGATGACCTGACATCAATTTCTCGTGGCAGGCGCAATACTGTAGAGACGTAAATCGGAAAAATCGCAAAACGCAATGGTACGAGGCCGTCAGCTCTGCACTCAACTTTCCATTTTCGAAGGAAGTCTCGCAGAATTGCTTCGTTTTTGCTGTTGTCAACTTCGAAAATTGAGGAAGTCTCGCAGCATGGCTTCGTTTTTGACGTTGCCACGTGCAAAACTTGAGGAAGTCTCGCAGAATAGCTTCTTTTTCAAGCTTGCAGGTAGACAGATAGATAGATAGACAACTACAACTACAACTACCACTACCACTGCACTACAACTACAACTACAAATCACTACGCTACATTTCACTACACTAGTTGCACTGCAGTACACCAATTACGTTACACATCATTACACTAATTACACTACATTAATTACACTACAGCTGCAACTACTACTACAACTACAGCATACGACAGCTACAACTACAACTACACTACATTGCACTACGCTACACCAACTACACCACACCACAACTACAACTGCAACTGCGACTACAACTACACTACACTATTTACACTACACTACACACTACATCTCCGCTACACTACATTACAACTACAACTACAACTGCACTACACCACACTACATCCAGCAGTTGTGTGTGAGGTACCCACTGCAACCATTCCAACCACTCCAAAAAACCCAACTCCAACCACCTTTCGGTCCATCAGTGGATTCGCCCTGCCATCCATGCATCGCAACAACTCACCTCTCCTATAGTGTCCTATCATTGAAACTTCCGCCACCGCCTTGTGCGGTACCACTGGTACGAAGTGCTGCACCTGCCACGCAAAATCATCTTCCCAAAACTGAAGATCTGATGCTCCAAAATGCAACCGCTCTCAGGAAATCAGCGCCCTGACCTCCTAACATCTCTGATGAACATGTCTCTTGTACCACGCCTGCCACTAAATGCATCTTTGCAGATCCTCTGCAAATGCCCCACGCCTGCCATCGTTTTTGGCAAGGTGTCGAATCCCTTGCGCCTGCTACGCAAAACCAGATCTGAACCTTCAAAAGTGGTCCGAGCATGTGGTGTTTTTAACATTTTGACTTGGAAATGTGCTTCGCGCCACAACGGCGTACACTTTTTGAACATCTAAACTTCCAAAAGTGATCCGAGGCTGACGTTGTTTTGTACATTTTGAGTTGGACACCTGCTTCGCGCCACAACGGCGTGCACCTTTTCGACATCTCAACTTCAAAAAGTGTTCCGAATCCCACAGTTTTTCACACTTTTGACTTCCAAATGTGCTTCGTGCCACAACGGCGTGCGCTTTTTCGACATCACAATTTCCAAAAGTGGTCCGACATTGGTGTGTTTTGTGCATTTTGGCTTGGACATGTGCTTCGCGCCAACAGTGTGCAACTTTTCATCTCTCATCTGACCACATGGCTCCGCACCTGCCGCTTTAGCGAGCCTACTTTTCGACCCTCCGGAGCCACGAATCAGCGGAAAAACGCAGTGTTTTTGCTACCTTTTCGCGCACCTGCATCTTCTGTCTTCTGACTCTTTCTCTTCCCTGATCTTCTTTCTTCTTTTCTTCTCTTCTCTGACTCCCCCCACCTCTGCTTTTCATCTGTCCATATTGTCGGAAATTTGACTTCTAAACTTCCTTCGATAATCTATATATGTCAAATGGTGTCAAACTCTTTTGTTACTTTTTGTGAACATTTGATAAGAACGGAGCTGCTTTTAAATCCTTTGTATTCCTCTGATTGCGGTGAAAGCTCCGCAAAAGTCAATTTCATAAAATTCACCGCGCGAAAACCGCAGTTGCACTCGCGAAAACCTCTGGAAAACTTTTGCGAAAGTGTTTTCTGAACACAAAGTCGTGAAACTGGATTTTGAACATTGCTCAGGTGACCAGGCAACAATGCTTGAGAGTCATCACGGAGGTCTGGTGCTTTGATTCTTGCCAAAGGCATCAATGGCCATGTCCGTGGAACTCCCATGGAACTCCCAATGTTTTCCTCAGTGATGGTCAGGCTGAGGAAAATATGGAGAGATGCCGCCTTCGGCATGAGGACTACAGACTCGAAAGCAGGGTGATGCAAGGTGTACCCAAGGTGTACAGACTGTTTGGCCAGGGCCATACTCGGCACCATAATTACTTTCACAAGATTGACGTGCTGCTGATTCCACTATCATTACCCCTGTCGAATATCATTACCCCTGTCGAATCTCTTGCAAAGGACTCTGTTGAATACTTGCAGTCTTTGCAAGAAGTTTATGCTGAACTGGAGGCGGGAAAAATTGGCAACATAGGGAGTCGGAGATCTCTTGGAACAATGGTGGCACTTCTCATGCCAAAGGCTTGACAAAGGTTGGATAGATTTGGATAGTGAGTCTTCAAACACGACCGGTCATGCCAAATCGTACCATGCGCAACGCCGCAACGCACCCGGACAGGTCCGTGGGGCGCAGCTGAAGCCATCGCAAGGTGCTGCACTTGCACGTGAACTCCGCCTGGAGTTGGAGGAACTGAACACCTTGGAGTCTCAGCAACATACGGAAGAGGCACAAGAAGCAGAACTTCGCAATGATCTCAGGCAGTTGAAACAAGAAGTGATGACATCCGACAAACACAGGAAAGAACTTTTGACGACGGTTGCTCGTGGTGTTTCTGAACTTTCAGAGGAACTCATGGCCCAACATCTGTCTGCAAAATCAGAGCTGGACTTGGCAGAGAAGAAGTTGTCTACGGTGAAGCGGAATACTGAAGCGAAAGTAGCAGAGCTGCGAGGAATCAAGGAAAGGATGCATGAAGCTCGACTTGCTGCAGAGACTGAGTCAAAAGAAATCTCACAGAGATCCAAAGAACAAGTTCGGAAGACTTTGTTGGAAAGCCGTCAGAGAGATGAAGAGGTACAAGAGGAACTGGTCCAACTGGAGCATCGTCATTCTGAATTTGGGAATGGCCTCGGGTTCTTGATCTCCGAAGGGAGTGCTCGTCCGAGGCTGAAAGAGAGTGGTCGGACAATGGCAGAGGCGGAAGCGTTGCGGGAGACATTGCAGCTCGAGAAAGTGAGACGAGAGGGAGACAGACAAATGAGAGAAAGAAGCCAAGGACGCCAAGGAAACGCAGCAGCGGAACTACCAGAACTACGAGCGGAATTGAATGCTGCGAAAGAACGTGCCAATGACTTGGCTCTGAAATGTGAGCAGACTTGGAAGAGTTGACCCAGGAAAAGCGAAAAGCTGCTGCTTTTGCAGCTGAAAGCTTTGAAGCGGCGCCTTTGAGCGTTCAGCCCACATAGCCGGCATGCAGCATGGCAGCCAACTTGGACCATTTGCCAACTGTGACTGCGACTGGCAACCCACAGAACCTGGTGCCTCTTGACATCTCTTTACATCTCTTTACATCTCTTGACCAGCATTAACCAGCGTTGAACAGCACCAGTTACCAGCTGCTGTCTCTGCCCGTGGCAGAATGCCCGTGAACCAATGCTGTTGTCCACCTTGGGAGTTGGAGTGAGGGTCTTGGTCGTAGAATGGCGTAGATGGCTACCCTTGGTGGATGTTGGTGGCTCTGTATGGCGCTATATGGCGCTCATGATGCGTGTATGCCTGTGCATGCTGAGGAGGAGACTTTTTTAGGCCGACGAATGTGCCAGTGGAAGCAAGTGCACTTTGACCGGTTGGCATGATTGATCGTACTCGAACTTGCATGATGTCTATTTGGCACGCATCCATTTTTTGAAACAAAATGATGCATGTCAAGCAGACATGCCTTTCTGTTCTGTCAATTTGTCTACTTTTTGTTTGTCACTATGGGATTTCATAGTGCCCGTCAAAGTGTTATAGCATTTTTTTTGTTTTCTCTTCTTTGGCCTTCTTTTTGTTCTTATCTTCGGGGCCGAAGGGATTCTTTTCTGTGTTTGGCTTCGGGTTTTCACTGGTTTGATAAAGTGAAATTCTGAAACAGGGGATTTCTGCTCACGCTCTGCATAGCTGTCAACGCCCTCATGTGAGAACGAAGAATAATCAGACGACCGTCTTTAAACACATATTTGCTGATCTGCTTTCGCTGGGACAGCCAAACTCTTGAATGCAAAAACTCTTTGGATGGCGATGGAAGCTGTTTGTGGAAGCATCCAACTTGGGCAGGGCATGCAGCATGAGTTGAATTTTCCAAACTTCTTTCATTTGGCACAACTCAATTTATTCAATTCAATATACAGCACGTCGTTTTATCTTCTCCAACGTGCGTTTGTTCTAAAGGCAGTGCATATATCTTGCATTTCTTAATCATTTCTTACGCAAACGGTTGTTTCGTTTCGAGGGTTCGTGTACATGATCCCTGCAGGCTGCAAATCGGAGCTACACCAGGGTCACCATGGGTCACCTCCCAGGCTGATCAGCGTACAAAGAAGTGCTGCATTCGTCATAGTGACAACGACAACTTGACCACTTGCAAGTGCATCACACTGCGCAGAGAAGGGTAAAGACGTTCCGCATGCACATGCTTGGTTATTTTTGCTCAAGTCCTTTTCGTTGGGCTCCATGTCAGCTAGTATAGTAGAAGAAAAGGCGCACGAAATTTGCAGAACTGGACATGAATCAATACTTCATTCCCTTCCCAAAAAGAATAGAGTTCAACACGCTGGTACGGTATCATCAGTATTTGAAGATTGTCACTACTTTGGACATTCAGATAGCAGGACAAACATCTAATCAATCTGAAAAGCGACGTTGAGAGAATGGAGTGAGAAGAGCGCTGAAGGTCTGCGCTGGATGTTTGAACCTACTCAATTCATTCTCCTGATCTATTCAAAGGGGTACTAATCAGAGCTTCTCTTTCTAAGTTGTTTTAATTTATCTTTTTTAAAACACTTTTTTTTAAAACAACTATTTTAAAATTGGTGGAACTGGGCCAAAAAAAATGAAAAAAATGTGTTTTTTTCTTGATGAAAAACTAGTTTTTCTGTGTTGTGGGGTGTGGGACGAGGTCGTTGAGCAGAAGGGTACCCTGCCCCCTTCTAAAAGTAGTATTGGACGCAAAAGATCGGCCCGAAAAAAAAACAAGTTTGCTTTTTCCTATATTTTTATTTTTATCTTATTTATTGTTTTTTTTTTAAAATTTTAGCTTAAAATATGACCAATATTTTCCATTTTGGGCTACTTTAGTGCATTTTATTTTGTTGCTTGTTCGTAGCCAAGCTGCCTCTGACCTGTGCAAAGCTGAATAGTATCCCTTTGAATAGGGCCAGGGGGCCTTTGAATGATCAATGGACCATGACCGTGTTCTCTTCTCCCATTTCAGAGTTCAACACAGGACACGATGCCAGTCACGACGTCGTCGCAACCCTGGAAATTGAATACATGGCACTCCAGCAATTTGGTGGCATGTTCCCAAAGCAAGGGATTGATCATTAGTTTATATGAATTCGGATGAAGATCAGAGTCGCAGTCTTTTCTTGCTCCAATCCTTTTGCTTGTTCAAGGACTGGTATCTTCCCTGGTTCAGGAGCACTCCGCTCACAATCGCAAGGCAGAACTCATTTCTGCAGTTGTCGCGTCAGAAGTGCATTGCAAAAACCATGAGGAACTCAGCCACAACCTGGTGCACCGCATGCCAATGAGAATTGAAGTTGTGCAACAAGGTGAAACCGCATGAAGCCGCAAAAAACAAAAGGACAACAAAGGACAACTGCAGCCACCGTAGAAATCCGCAGAACCAGCTGTCTATTTCTTTGTCACAATACATTGGATTCCCTTCGGGGATCCTCCAATAAAATTGAAACTGTCATCACAATACGTCACAATCACATACAATCACAAGATATCACACGCCCATACGATTCAAACATATTCAAACATATTCAAACATATTCAAACATATTCAAACATATTCAAACATATTCAAACATATTCAAACATATTCAATGCATGGACGTATCAATCGTGCTGCTGGGACGGCGACGGGTTCCTTTATTTAAGGGCTATTTGGAGCAGGCAACAGGAGAGTTTTTACGCTTAGCCAGTTTAGCTTCGGTTCGAAGATTCAGCCTTCAGGCAGCCTGTCGAAGCTCTTTTTTGCATCAACCAGCTTTTGGCTTACTGCTGCCGTTGTGACTGTATTGACTGTGTGACTCTGCAGCCAGTGCATTCATTATGTTTGTATTGCTCAGTCGCGAAAGAATTTGCAGTTGCGAGTTTGAGGTGAAACTATGTACGCTGGTCGACAGCTACTGCAGGAGAATTAGAGAAGTAATGCAGCACTGAGTAGACTCTTCATGACTTTAGGACGTTTACAGGACGTTTAAGGACGTTTAAAGAGGTTTTTTTAGTCAGGACGTATCAGCTGGCAATTTGACAAACGACATCCCAAGAGGATTTCACCTTAAACGACTCGTGGTGCACTTCCCAGGAAGACCAAAATGAGAGCTTGAGTGAGGCGTGGGGAGTTGGCTGCCTCCGTTCATCCAAAAAACGCCCATAAAATGGGCACAATCTTTGACTATGAAATGCTGTGAGGTTGTAAACATTGGCCACAGAAAAACCAAGTGGTCACCTGAGATGTGACAATTCGTGGAACATCCGTGGAACATCCGTGTAACTAGCTGCGCTAGCTGCGGCCGAGGTATCTGCCGTTTCGATACTCCAAAGCGCCTTTGCCTGGAAGAGGTGCCTGCAGGCGCTCGGTAAGATGACTTCGTAGATCTTCGTTCTTCACTGAGTTGGTTTCAATTGGTTTAATATGGTTTAATGTGGTTTAATTGATTATACAAGATTATACATGTTATAGCTTACTTTGTAAACTTACTTATAACATATCTTTAAACATATTTTGCCGTTGAACGCTTTGTATCGCTCTGTTCTAAACCTCAGGTACACCCAGGACTTTCGGATAAAGCCAGTGGGTGATCACTTGTGCCTCACCAAGTTGTCCGCAACTTCCATCATTGAGCAACTCTTCAGAATTCTATTCGTTTTGTGTTTAAGATCATGATTCCAGCATTGTCCTTATATGTCCTGGACTGTCCTTTGTTGTGATCTCTGGGGCCAAGGATAAACCACAGCATGGCCGAGTCCAAGAAGGCCAGAGTGTGGCCAGATGCACTTTGGCGAAGCGGATCAACTATGATCAACTCTGCAAAGCACCAACTCCTTCCCTGAAATGACTAATTATTACTAATTGTAATTTTATATGAGAGAAATGCATCATGATCATTCATAGCTTGAGGATGACTAATATATAATTAATGTCATTAATGTCAATTAATATGACATGTTTTGCAATCGAGATGGTTCCCTTTACAGAAAAATCCCGACAGCGTGCAGGAACCTCCGGCGGTGCCGCTGCCGTCGTATGGTAGCGAGACACTGCACTCAGACGTTTGACCCTCTGCCATCCTCTGCCGGCATTTGAATGCCACATTAAAGCCACTCTTTTCTCAATGGATTGGTTTAAGGGAAAATCTACAGGAAACCATAGATTTTCCCATGAAATATGGGTTTTCCTGTCATAAACCAATCCATTAACTTTCAGAAATGCTTCATTTTTGATGCCTTTTTTACTGCCTTGAACGGGATAGATATGATCATCATTTATCATCTTTGCCCTTCCCCGTTCATTTGGATTCTCGACTTCGTATTGACTATGCCGCATATGCATGTTGCCCATGTTGCCTAGTCCTGGCGGGTCTTCGGACCTGAAGAAATGCGTGAATCGAAGCCTGGTTTGGCTGTTGGTGCCTTAGACGCTTTAGGATCTCCCTGAAAAATACCAGCGACGAGTCAAGACTCACTGTATCTCACTGTAATGTTCTCTGCACTGCCAGCGTTTTGGCATTGCATGGCGCTAAGTTCTACCGCCATTCCAAGACCAACACGCTCAAGGAAATTGGAGCGATCATGGTGCGCAGACTGTGCAGACAGACTGCAGATTCCCATGTTCGCATATTTCTTCGGACTTGACCTACAGACTCTGATGATACTCTCATTAAGTTGCTTTATAAACCCCATTAACTATAATATAGTTTTATATCTACCATAAACCATAGTTATCGGAGTTATTAACAAACTTAGCTATGCTTGTAGCCAGAGTCCATAAATTGAAGTGCTGCTACTGCAGCGCCAAGCCGCTAAGGACCAGAAGTCGCATGCACATCGACGGCACCATGGAAGGCTGGAATCCGTGCATGCTCTTTTGCATTCGACTCGATAAGATTGAATCTTGTAAATCTTGTAAAGCACATTGCAAAGCACCAGTTATCCACATGAATCATAATGATGTATCACTTGTGGAGGTTCTCGATTTGCCATTTTTCATAATCAATTTTTAGCACAAGGTGGGAAGAGTTCTGCCGACCTGAGAGTGCTGCAGCCCCAGTCGTGACGTCGTGACCACAGCTTCCACAGCTTTCGACAGATCCCTCGCCAGATTTTTCAGGCACCTCCCGGAATCGACAACCTGTACTTGACTGGGTCGACAACTCAGTGATAACTCTGGCGAGTCTGGAACCCTGGCGAAACGACTACCGTTAGATTACCCCAACGTTACGCCAACGTTCTGATCCTTTTGCCATGTTCGCATTACAATCTAGCCAATAGCTACAGATAGCTACAGATAGCTACAGATAGCTACAGATAGCTACAGTAGTAACTCAACAACGTGAGAGTTCTGTCAATTTAAATGCACATGTTCAACCATGGACAGGCGTGGAGGTGCATTGGGAACTTCACTTAGAGCAGGCGATTGGAATCTGATGTCAGCTCAACCTGACGATTTCGCAGTCGCTGGCCAACAAATGTCAAGCTATGGAAGTTGTGTGAGGTGACTGCTACAAGACCTCGAATCAGGACCAATTCTATGACTACAGATATATGGTGCCACTCTCCACGTTCCCTTGGTGATTTGAACATATTTGAACATGTGCTTTGTGGTATTTGGCGTATGACAGTGTACTTGGCCCTGGTTCTGCTAATTTCTCGGTTCAAAATGTTCAAATGAGACACTCACCTGAGCACGGAATGACTCTAACATACTCAGGGTTCAAAATATTCATATTGCGACTGTTCAGGATCATAGTCATGGGATGTCACGGGTTGCTTGCCAAAAGTATTCATGTTTACAAATGTTGATATTACATATATATATATATAATCTCATATAATAATAGACAATGCTTAGTTTATCATGGCCAACTGAGCTACAGAAGGGTTGTTGTAGTTTGAATTAAACATGTGAAAAAATGTGAAAACATGTGTTTTAAACATGCATTATTTTTGAAATGTGAAAAACATGTATTTAAAAAATGTAAAAACTATGTGAAAAATGCATTTTTTAAAGAAAATTTGAAGCTTTGTTCTCTTTTCCTTCTGCATTTGATTTTATGTTTTTGCTCCTGGTAGTCATTGCTTTGCTATAGATATATTAAACAGATCTGCGATCTACACAGTCCACTTCCGATCGATTTGAACTGCTCCTCTCCGATTTTCAACCTGCAGAAGTTGGGCCGGTAGCAAAGTAACTGCAACAAAAAAACTGCAGCAGCAAAACTGGATTTTCAAATGTTTTTTTTTCACATTTGTTCACATTTGTTTCACATTTTTTCACATTTTTTTTTCACATTTTCAAAACGCATTTTTTTTTCGGATGTTTTCACATTTTTTTTCACATTTTTTTTTCACATTTTTAATTAATCATTGTTTTCAAGCTTGTAGCTGGAAACGGCCATGATAATGCTTATTATTTTATTTGCGAAAGTGGCACAGTTCCACTCATCAGGGCTGATTGTCGGCCTTTGTCAATGCAGATGCTGCCTTTGACGCCTCTGACCCATGGCGGCCCTGGTATCGGTTGCATCGGTTTGCTGCCTTTCTGCAGCCACCAAGTACCTCAACACTGGGCAAGGTGCCGCGTCAGATAAGTTTTTGAAAAGGATCGCATCGAGCATGCTTGAGTTGCCTCTGAAGATAGAAATGAAACTCAACAAAGGATCCAAATCACAAAACAGGGTAATTTTGTTGAATATTTGTTGAATAAGTTTAATATTTGATGATTTTGATGATTTTGATGATTTGGGTTTGAGGTTAGAAGCATCGAAGCTTCCGAGATCTCCCACATCGCCCCGGGCGCCCAAAGCGTCGCCCCAGCCCTGGCCGACAGCGACGTCTCTGGCTCTGGCAGCTCTGGGCTCACAGAGGCCGCGGCGGCGAGCCCCGCGGCGATCGTCGCGTCTGGCGGTGCCGGAAAAGTTCAGCGTGGCAGTGAAGGAGAGCAACTCGGCGTGACGAAAGAAGTAGACATGACAATGACATGACAATGACCATATTATTGAAACATCTTGAAACATATTCAATATATTCCATGTATAGAATACGATATACATGATTAAATACATTAAATCATGTGACATGTGATGGGAAGTAAACTATGCGTTCTTGGCTTCCCAGATTTCTTGAGCCTTATTGTCCGATGCTTTAAGATGTGTTTTTTGACTGGATGTGTCAAGGAATTTGAGATATTTGAGGTTTGGATGTGGCATTCAATGTGGCACATTCCATGGGACACCTGGGACACCTGCAAAACAGCGGCACTGTTGGAGCTGTTGGCACTGACCATCTGCTGCTGGGCATGGCCTCTGTCCCGAAGACCTCGGTGTCTCGTGCTCTCGGCTCCGTCGGCGTGACGGCAGAAGACCTGCAGGAGAAGCTCACGCAGCTCCGAGAGCACCTCGAACTTACGAAAAGATAGGAAAAGATACGAAAAGCTACGAAAATTAATATACTTATAATTAACTTATAATTAACTTATACTTACTATCAATTGATCGTAATTGTCGTAATTGTATCATTTTGATTTCAGTTTGAACATCGATCTTTCATGATCTTTCAAGTTTCAGATGTTCTGAAAAAGCAAAACACCGTGGCACAGGTCTAGCCCTGAGACACTTCCACCACTGCCTCCAGCTGAAGCTCTTTCACCGCCTTTGGATTCCGAAGTTCAATTTTACCTTCGCCGAGCATCAGGTGGGTGTTTTGTTTTATTTGTTTTGTATTTTTTTGTCCAAGCAAAAGTACCCGACTTGTTAGGCATGTTGAGATGGCTACCTCCACGAGATGGAATTCGAATGCTCGGGACAGAGCACATCATGCTGGGTTGCTTGACTTTTTTTTTTTTTTTCGAAAAAACGTGTAACATTTTGCGTGATTTCGTCATGCTTGGTGTATCTTGTTATATATCTTGGTGTCATGTTGGCTTGTCACAAGGCTTGCTTAGCAACGGTAGCCATGCTGCTGGCAAATTGCTGCTGGCGCTTGACAAAGATGGTTTCGATCGAACGGCTCCCTGCACTTGCAGACTTTTGTCAACGGTTCATATTTGTAACAGAGGTGTTCAGCTTGCAATTTTACACTTGCTATATCTTGCCGTATGTTTGTCATATTTTGATGCTTTTTGTATAATATAATTACGCATTATATGCAAGTAAATTTTAGCTAGTCTATGCTAGTCTGTCATTTGTCCAGCCATACCTAATCCTTGGAGCATCAGAGGTTGGGAAGTACGACTCTGGCTCGGGGGGCTCTGCATCGAATCCACGACGGGCTGCCTTGCGGAAAGCCTTGATGCAAATCGTGAACGACGGTGAAGGAGATGCCACCAGAAGCGACGCAAACATGGCGAGCACGGGGAGCACAGGAAGCACGGGCCGTGGCCAAAGCAAGCCACAAAGTGCACAAAGTGAAGAGTCCTCTTTGGACCGTTTTGCCCCCGACCTCACAAGTTTGGCAGAGCAAGGATTCTTAGATCCATACATGGGACGTGAATCTTTGATTCATCGAATTGAACGAGTTTTGGGTCGGCGACAGAAGCCGAATGTTTTGTTGGTCGGAGATCCTGGAGTTGGAAAGACAGCCTTGGTGGAAGCCATCGCTCAACGCATCGTCAGGGGCTCAGTGCCTCAGTGGCTTCGTCAGAAACGGCTCCGTACTTTGGACGTTGCTCGTCTTACGGCGGGGACCCGCTTGCGTGGAGATTTTGAAGAACGTTTCAGTGAAGTGCTGGCAGAAGTTGATGCTGAAAAGAGCATCCTGTTTATTGATGAAGCACATACTGTGGTGGGAGCTGGTGCAACAAGTTCAAGCTCTTTAGATGCTTCAGATATGCTGAAGCCAGCACTTGCACGTGGCACACTGCGTTGTATTGCAGCGACGACTGTGGAGGAGTATTCCAAGTATTTTGCTCGTGATGCGGCCCTTGAGCGTCGCTTTGAAGTTGTGGAAGTGGAAGAACCCAGCCCTGAAGAAACCGTTGAGGTTTTGGAGGGTCTACGCGGCCAGTACGATCCGTGACATAGATGGCAAGTTGTCTTCTTTCATGTTGGCCAATGTGCTGCAAAACATCTTCAAACGCTGTTGGAGCAGAAGAAGTCAACAGCATTTTGTGACTGTTTACTTCCCGAAGTCTCGAACACATTAAATTCTTTGTCCTACAAACTATGTTATTTGTAACTCTTGTTTGAAATTGATGCAAACCTTAAATGCAATCCCTCTTTTCTCAATTTCGATGCATCTTGAACAACTTTGAAAGAGGCAATGCACCCCCCCAGCAGTGCAAGGAACGCCATCATGGGGTGATTTTCGATGCTGGTTCTCTGGAAGCAGCCGCTGCTTGGGCAGCGCGCCACTTGCCAGAACGAAGGCTACCAGACAAGGCGCCAACATATTGTCAGATGTTTTCAGAGCCAGTTGATACATGTTGATACATGTTGATACATGTTGATACATGTTGATACATGTTGATACATGTTGATACATTTTGATACATGTTGATACATGTTGATACATGTTGATACATGCTGATACATGCTGATACATGCTGATACATGTTGATACATGTTGATACATCTTGATACATGTTGATACATCTTGATACATGTTGATACATGTTGATACATGTTGATACATCTTGATACATGTTGATACATGTTGATACATGTTGATACATGTTGATACATGTTGATACATGTTGATACATGCTGATACATGCTGATACATGCTGATACATGCTGATACATGCTGATACACGCTGATACATCTTGATACATCTTGATACATGCTGATACATGCTGATACATGCTGATACACGCTGATACATCTTGATACATCTTGATACATGTTGACACATGCTGATACATCTTGATACATGTTGATACATGTTGATACATGCTGATACATGCTGATACATGTTGATACATGTTGATACATGTTGATACATGTTGATACATGTTGATACATGTTGGTACATGTTGGTACATGTTGGTACATGTTGGTACATGTTGATACATGTTGATACATGTTGATACATGTTGATACATGTTGATACATGTTGATACATGCTGATACATGTTGATACATGTTGATACATGTTGCATGTTGATACATGTTGATACATGTTGATACATGTTGATACATGTTGATACATGTTGATACATGTTGATACATGCTGATACATGCTGATACATGGTGATACATGGTGATACATGTTGATACATGTTGATACATGTTGATACATGTTGATACATGTTGATACATGTTGATACATGTTGATACATGTTGATACATGTTGATACATGTTGATACATGTTGATACATGTTGATACATGTTGATACGTGTTGATACATGTTGATACATGTTGATGCATGTTGATACATGTTGATACATCTTGATACATCTTGATACTTGTTGTTACATGTTGATACATGTTGATACATGTTGATGCATGTTGATACATGTTGATACATGTTGATACATGCTGATACATGTTGATACATGTTGATACATGTTGATACATGTTGATACATGATACATGCTGATACATGTTGATACATTGATACATGTTGATACATGTTGATACATGCTGATACATGTTGATACATGTTGATACATGTTGATACATGCTGATACATGCTGATACATGTTGATACATGTTGATACATCTTGATACATGTTGATACATGTTGATACATGTTGTTGATACATGTTGATACATGTTGATACATGTTGATACATGTTGATACATGTTGATACATGTTGATACATGTTGATACATGTTGATACATGTTGATACATGTTGATACATGTTGATATACATGTTGATACATGTTGATACATGACATGTTGATACATGTTGATACATGTTGATACATGCTGATACATGTTGATACATGTTGATACATGTTGATACATGTTGATACATGTTGATACATGCTGATACATGTTGATACATGCTGATACATGTTGATACATGTTGATACATGTTGATACATGTTGATACATGTTGATACATGTTGATACATGTTGATACATACATACATGTTGATACATGTTGATACATGTTGATACATGTTGATACATGTTGATACATGTTGATACATGTTGATACATGTTGATACATGTTGATACATGTTGATACATGTTGGTACATGTTGGTACATGTTGGTACATGTTGGTACATGTTGATACATGTTGATACATGTTGATACATGTTGATACATGTTGATACATGTTGATACATGCTGATACATGTTGATACATGTTGCATGTTGATACATGTTGATACATGTTGATACATGTTGATACATGTTGATACATGTTGATACATGTTGATACATGCTGATACATGTTGATACATGTTGATACATGTTGATACATGCTGATACATGCTGATACATGTTGATACATGCTGATACATGCTGATACATGTTGATACATGTTGATACATGTTGATACATGCTGATACATGCTGATACATGTTGATACATGTTGATACATGCTGATACATGTTGATACATGTTGATACATGTTGATACATGTTGATACATGCTGATACATGTTGATACATGCTGATACATGTTGATACATGTTGATACATGTTGATACATGCTGATACACATGTTGATACATGTTGATACATGCTGATACATGTTGATACATGTTGATACATGATACATTGATACATGTTGATACATGTTGATACATGCTGATACATGTTGATACATGCTGATACATGTTGATACATGTTGATACATGTTGATACATGTTGATACATGTTGATACATGTTGATACATGCTGATACATGCTGATACATGTTGATACATGTTGATACATGTTGATACATGTTGATGCATGTTGATACATGTTGATACATGTTGATACATGCTGATACATGTTGATACATGATACATGTTGATACATGTTGATACATGTTGATACATGTTGATACATGTTGATACATGCTGATACATGTTGATACATGCTGATACATCTTGATACATCTTGATACATGTTGATACATGCTGATACATGCTGATACATGTTGATACATGCTGATACATGTTGATACATGTTGATACATGTTGATACATCTTGATACATCTTGATACATGTTGATACATGTTGATACATGTTGATACATGTTGATACATGTTGATTTAATCATATATAATCTGTTAGAGCTTTTTCGTGTCAGGCCATTGATGTTGTCGATCGTGCCGCAGTTCTGGCCAAAACTCAGCAGAGCGGCTCTCAGGAGACCGTGTGAGCATGATTTGCACAGGAACAGTTTGCCAGTGCTGGTGCCAGTTTTGCATCATTTTGATTCACTGCATCATTTTGCATCTAATTGTAAATTATATTCTAAATGGTTGCTTATTCATCTTATTCATCTCATTCATTCTTATTCACTCAGCTCCAATTTGAAGATCTCCAGGCTGCTGTGACAACTGCAGATGTCGCGACCGCGATTGAAGAGACCGTGGGCCTCCGACCTGGGTCTGTTTCTGCGGCAGAAGCACGTGGCATCGTCGATTTCGAGGTCTCATCCTTGGAAAAGAAAGGTGACGGTGGTGATGAGAGATGTTGATGTTGATGTTTTTTTTGCATCTTGCATCATTTTGCCACTCCTTCACAAGCAATCTCCGGATGAGGGATGATGATGACGATGACAACAACGCTGACGACGACGATGACGACGACGACGAGGATGATGATGATGATGATGATGATGATGATGTAGTACAAGAGAACTGCTTAGTGTGAAGTGAGCCAGAGGATTTCCAAGGGTTGTATGACAGTGACGCTTGACATACTGTGATATCATGTGATATGGAGATACACTGCGACATACTGTGACTCTCTTGGAATGTCGTTGAATGGCGTTGGCTGTGACTCTGTGAATCTGCCAGGAAGAGTTGCACAAGCGCGTCCGGGGTCAGAGATCTGCGGTTCGAATGGTGGCCACAGCGGTAGCTCGAGCGAAAGCGGGTTTGCAGGAGGAGCACAGGCCGATCGCATCATTGCTCCTCTATGGCCCTCCAGGCCCGTGTGATGAGATGAGAACGGGGTAGCTTGTGTATGTCTGAGCAACCTTGTGAAAGAGTCAAAGCCGAAAGAACGATTGGAACGGGGCACTGCATGTTCCCCAAATTTTCTTTATCGTTCGTATTTGTTCATATGTGCAATTGGGCAGGAGTTGGGAAGACCTCCCTTGCAACTGCCTTAGCGGAGACTTGGCTTGGCTCTCGGCGCGCGCTTGTACGTGTTGATGCTTGGCCCAGGCAGATCAGTTTGTTTTTTTTTCAATAGCAAAGCTATGCAAAGCTCAAAAAATCTGGAAAGCTTTGCACAAGCTTTGAAGTCATCAGGACTGTGCTAGCGCCAGCAGTGTGGAGACAGCTAGTGCATTAGCAGCTGCTGTGAGACGACGACCACACTCAGTTGTTCCTCGGACGTGAAGGAAATTTCCGCACCATTTAGTTTGTTTGACCTCATTCATAATGGCCCCTGAGCTAGTCACCCTCGGAAAGCCATTCGATGGGTCCTGATGACAGGAAGCAGGGTCTGTTTAACATACGACTTACACATGACTTACACGTGATGAGCATGACCCATGATGCCAGAGGACGGAACGTGACTAGTCCATACTTTCTCATCAGAACAACTGTCCACATCAGAAACTCAGAAAGAACAATGGCATCACATGAGAAAACAGTAGCGATCAGATCCGGCCAAAGAGATGCACAGAGATGCAACTTGAAAACATACAGCCAGGCACTCTCCATCTAAAACCAGATGAAGAGGGACGTATACAGTGGGGATTGTAAGGATATATCAAGGGGATAGGAAATACTCCAAAAATGGCAGATGATGCTTCTCAATCCCTTGGCTACTTCACGCCTTTCCATTGTGTTCATCGCAGGTTCTCATTGACGAAGCGGATAAGGCTGACGCAGACTTTCTTGGCATCCTGCTAGAAGTCATTGAGGTGGGGCGAGAGGCTGCCAATAGCGAGATGCAGAGAGCGTTTGTCTCAGAGTTTTCCATAAAACACCCACTTCTATTCTATAGAAAGATGTCGCATTACTATACTACACATGGTTCCGTACACCTTGAGAGTTATGCCCCTTTTTGCTTCAATCGAACCACTTGAACAATAAGTATACAAATATATACGCACTTATCCGAAAGTAAACAAGTTCCAATGAACAAGTGCCAATGGTGAGCTCATGGTAGTATGGTAGTACTCCTTGGCAATAGTTGCAGTGCATTGCCTTCCCCCAGAATTGTAGCGATCTCCAGGAAGCATCTTTGAGCTTGAGCGGCCCGGGAGCTGGACGGGTCGATTTTCGCCACACGGTTTCTCAGCAGATGCAGTGCAGGTAGCAGATGCCACAGAATTGCAGCATCACGACATGGTGATTTGATCATAGACATTAGTGGACCATACTTGACCAGCTTTCATCTTTATCTATCGTGTATAAATCGCGTTTCTCACGGCGTTTCTCACCATGTCGTGCCTCCTGGTTGCAATTGCCGTGCGATCCAGCTGGCCCTTGGCCAACCAGGTGGTGTTGCTCACTTCCAATGATCCAGCCGGGCCAGACGCCTTGCCACGAGCCTTAGCGGACCGCCTGGACGGTTCAGAGCATTTGAGGCGCCGAACACTGGAGCTATACGATTGCTATTTGCATCAATATGGGGATGGGTCAAAACCCTGGTACCTAGTGAACCCCAAAATAGCTGGGATTTATGGATGTTTATCCCACTAAACTGTATCTATAGGTATTGACCCATACCCATATCAGTCAATAATTATGGACTGAATGAAAAATTGATATCAATCGTGTCTTGCCGAAAAAGTGGGAGTCTTCAATTTCAATTGTATCAAAGGGCATTCTTTGGTGCCCTTTGGATATTTTGAATCTCCCAAGCAAGTCTTTCTTGTGAATCGAAATCCTTCAACTCAATGGTCTTCAAACTTTTCCATGTCTACTTTCTCTGCCAGCTTGCAGGCCTTTGAGTGCGAGTGTGGTGCAGGAGGTCAGGATATGTCAGAAAATGTGGTGCCTTTTGTATGTCAGCATTGTCAGCGTCATAGTCCTCGACCAGCCTTCACCGGGCCTTCACCGGGCCTCCAGGTGCTTGATGGGCTGGTCGATGACTTCTCATCACGGCTCATCCAGAGCCATCCTAGCGCCCAACTGCATGTCACCGATGCATGGAGAAAGATGGTCTTGGAGAAGCTCTGTGATGTTCTCAGTGCACTTTGTCAGACTTCGTCTCTTCGTCAGACCTCATCAGACTTCATCCCTTGATATCCTATGATATCCTCAATCGATCTATAGAATCTATATCATTCATTATAGAATCTATATCATTCATTATCATTCTATATCGATCTTCGTGGTCAAAACGAATCCGGTGAACCATTGGTGCGTCGACGTTAGGTCTTGGCGAGGACGGCCTTGGCGCTCGCGCGTTGAGACGCGCGCTGCGGCAGTTTCTTGAAGATCCCATCGCTTTTCGCATTCTTCAGCACCAGGTGAGGTCACGGTGTGAGGTCACGGTGAGTCTAGAAATTTGTGATGCAGTTTTCACATTAATATTTTCACATTGAAAGCCTCTGAAACTGACAACATCTGACAACTGAAGCCAAACACCTGGAGATGTCAGGCAACTCCTGGAGGGCCAGTAGAGGAAGTATCTTGGAACATCTATTGGATTGTTTTGGTGTGTCATGCAAAGTTTCCTGCTGGCTTTCCTCGATTCCTCGATGTTTAGCTGCCCTCGGGAGATTTCGGGAGTACCTCCGCATTCCATCTCGATATGTTACTGTACTGTTGCATACTATTGCGCAGTGCTGTGATGGCTCGCGCTCCAGAAAGACTTGTGGAGTTCTGTGAAAAAAACATCCAAGGTTCACGTGAATGTTGACTCAGACGGCAAGGTCAACATTTCCATGGGATGACTGGGATGACCGTCTGGAAAAGGATTCTTGCAGCGCATTGGAATATATGGGTATGGATCAATACCTATTAATACCATTTTTAGGGGAATGAACATCCATAAATCCCAGCTATTTTGATGTGAACAGAAGGGGTACTATTGGTTTTGACACACTGCCATATTGGAATATTCTTGGAATCCTTAAAAATCTTACAGAAACACATCGAACACCCAGTGCCTTGTGACGTCACCGTCGCGTTTCACGAAGTGGCTTCGCAGAGCCTCGTAGCTCGGAGTATCATGGCTCACAGCACAGCCAGGCACAAATCCCTTCAGCCTTGCCTGCTTACAGATTATTAACACATTATTAACACATTATTGACACATTATTAATTAACACATTATTGACACATTATTCTATACCATTCTATGCTATTCTGAAGCTATTCTACATATTCTACCATATTCGAAGATCCACTACATTCAGTCGCTCAAAGACGATCTAAGATGTCTGGAGCTTCAAAAAGCACATTCAATTTAGTTCTTGAAGCATCCAACCATATAATACCATTTCGTCAAGAAATTGCAGCCTGTCCGACTCTGGTTTCATTGATTCACTACACCAACCCGACGAAGAAAAAATGGTGTGCTCCTTGGATTTTTGGCTGAAAAAAAAGCGACCAATACTGATCTTAGTTCTGCTGATACAGCTGATATCTAAGTGACAAACAGACAATTTATATTATTTAGCTGATACAACAGTAGCATCTTGTAGCTGTTCAGCAGGTTCAGCAGGTTCAGCAGGTTCAGCAGGTTCAGCAGGTTCAGCAGGTTCAGCAGGCTGTTCACTGAAGCTGAGGCGGCAGCCAAAGAGCATTTGGCCAAGGCGGAACAGGCGCGACGCATCGGACGCATCGATCGACGCATCGACCATGGATACCATGGGGATCTGGGGGGATCACGCTCGTGTATCATTTGTGGCATGGACATGGACTGGTTCCACAAGTAAAACATATAGTAAAATATATAATATATATATAATTATATATAGTAAATCACCAAATATAAAACATAGTAAATCACCAGAGTCACCAGAGAGTTCAGCTCGATTCAGGTGTTTTCCATCATTTCAGCATATTTCAGCCATGCACTGCTGTCCGGGGGGTTGGGCATTTGCGAAGCTTGGAGTGTCCAGGCCTTGAAACCTTCATGGATGTCTCTGAAGTTCAGTCAAGATCTCAGGAGGATCAGGAGCTTTTTTGGGACTTTTTTTGGGCACATATTAATTATTAATATATATATATATACTGTATATATATATACATCCCTATATTTTCATGACATTTGTCACTAGTCACGGATCTTCACGGAGCCGCTCATCATGATTGCGGGCTCGGTGATTTATGATGGACTGCAGGTCCAGACCACTTGATGGCGTCCATGGAGTACTCCCAGGTAACCCCAAACAAAAACCAGCCGGGAAAACAATTTCTATCAGATACAGATCTAGGAATTTCTAAGTGCATTGAGGATTGCATCGTCTCGAAGCCATCTCTGTTCGACCAGCTAAGAGCTGCCAGGCCGCTACCCAATTTCGCGCAGCTGGGATGCTTCAAGAATGTGCCGGGTGCCTGAAAAACAGACGACATGCTCGACTCCATGCATCGAATATCGAGCATCGAGCCACATCGACTCCATGAAGCTTCGCCACATGCCACGGCATGCGGCGTGAGGCAGATGCCTGGGTCAAGTCAGGCCAGATGAAGGACCTGTTGAAACAGACATGAAACAACTAGCCGCAAGAGTTCAACATGTTCAACAAAGCGCGGATATTGTTGTGCAGCTTAAGCTGTCAGCAGTGAATCAACAGTGAATTGTGTTCAACTTTGTCAAGTAAGTTTTGCCAGACTACATCAGACTACCAGTTTTGATTTGTTTGCTCGGTCTTCATCCCACTGTTTCTTGTTCTCCCATGGTGCTTCGATGACTCATCGCCCACCGTGCAGCTTTAGAAGCGTCTGGGGCCAGGAGCTTCTCCACGACCCGTTTGGTGCCGGCCGCGCGTCTTCTGGCTGCGGCTGGAGTCATCTAGAATTCGATTACAGAATAATCAGAATATCATAGATGCAACATATTTGATGATATTTGATGGATTTTGTAGGTATTTTTTGTAGGTATTGAAGTTTGCTAAGTTTGCTAAGTTTGCTTTGTAGGTTTCTCTTTCGAGTCGAGTCGAGCAGATGTCATGCAGATGTCTAAGGTATGAGAGCGCGGCTGGCATTTGCGATGGCAGTGGACCTGGTGGTCCCGCAGCTGCCATGCTTCATTGGGAGAAGGCCGTTCACTGCTTTCGACTGGCGGGCAAGGCAGATGTGGCAGCCAAGGTGAGGTCCGAGTTGAGTCAACAGAGTCCTGCTTGATGTGCCATGCTTGTGCCATGCTTGTGCCATGCTTGTGCCATGCTTGTGCCAGCTCCTCCTGAAAGTGGCCGGAGTTAGAGAGAAGCCAGGGCTCAGCTATACTCAGAGCAGCATTGAATAGCATTGATATTATCCAGAAACATCCAGAAACATCCAGAAACATCCAAAGCTACACCACTGCTGCCGTCAAGTTTTCTGTCTGTTGGATGACCTGGGAGCTGTTGTGACACTGTGACACTGTGAGCTGTGTCCAGTGTCCTTGAGGCAAGGTGATTTGGATGGCGCAAAGTCCGCCTATGAGGTGCACAACAGCCAGACATATGTGACATAGGACATCATAGGACCATCATAGGACTATAATGGACTAATGGACTAATGGACTAAACCAATTGCAAGCACCACATCGGGCAATCTTTTCCCAGGAAACAATCAACGTCTTCGAGCAAGAAGAGAAGGCAGACCTTTGTGAATTTGTTGACTTGTCGTTGGCTCCTCTCGGATTCCAGAATTCTTTCCAACCACTTCGATCGCAGGACTACGAGTTGGGCGATGTGTACAAGACGTGACCCGTTTGCGTTTGAAATCACATTATATCACATTTGACACATGCAGATCCACGTGAGTCACGTGAGGCATGAATCTGTCGCGTCATGTCGCGTCCTGGCCCCCGAGGTACATTGGTTTTTTGATTCGACGTGAAGCTTTGGAGGAGACACATGGAGACACAACTTAAGCGATCTTGGCTTCACAGGCTTCGGCCGAGGCTGTGCTGCCGAAACGAGTGCGCAGTGCAGCGCAGTGCAGCGCAGGACGCTTTGAAAGCCATGGATGGCCATATTTCGGTGCGACATCCACGGCTGGACCAAGGTTCAAGGTATGGAGTGGTACAATATCCCATAGGATCCATGTATGCTATATATGCTAACATTTGGGGTATATTGATGGTAAATGTTACAATGTTACCATATATAGCATACATGGATCCTATGGGTATGGATCAAAATGGTACACTGCCACTGAGGTACTTCAAAGACAGAAAAGCCTGCCTTTTGTGCATAAGGCGGCGGGAAATTCTGCAGCCGCGTACAGTACTTCAGAATACTTCCAGATACATTGGCGCTCAGCTGCAGGAACTCTTATCGAAAATCGTCCTCCTTGTGAAGATGGAGGCAGTGCGCAGCTGTGGAATCCTTTGGATATGGCATGATATGGCACCTCCAAGCACCAGGATTGTGTTCGAGCTGAAGAAATTCTCACCTCGACAAATGTGGATGGTTTGGGCCTTTGCTAACCGCAAAAAAAACCGCAACTGCACATCAGATCTCCAGCTTCCAAGGATGCTGTACCAGGGCATCTCAATTCTTTGCGAATTTGCGATGTGTCGCGAATCCATCCTGTCGCTGTTTGCTGTCTTTGAAGCTATTAGGCTATTTATTCGCCAGAAAACAAGGATACTGGCAGATGACACATGCAACTTATTTATATACTATTTTAATTCTATTTTATACTTATTATTTAATTATTATTAAATGATATCGGATTCTCAATTATGTAATTGCGGTGAAAGACTGTGACAGCCATTTCAAAGGATTGGCTGGGTGCTGAGGTTGGATTATGTCTCGAGAGTACCAGGCCCGACTCTGAGCGTGGCAGAGAAGTGTGATGAAATTTGATGTTTCAGGAGTTTGAAGCATTTTTTTTTTTTTGAAGTACCATTTCAGGTTGAGAACATATAGCATAAGATTGCACATTTGAACAACAAGATCAACAAGAGCAGCTCAGGTTGGCACAGAGCTTGTTGAAGCGACGAAGAATTATGACGCAGAAGCCCTCATCGGTCTTCAAAAAGACCAAATCTTCACCTTTTTGCAGGTTGAGGCGATCCAAAAGTCATCCGACGGTCCGACAGAGTGGACAATCGGGACAGTTGACTCAGGTTGAGGCGAAAGTGTCCAATCTATTCCAATCTCAGGTGAAAAACATGGGGAAAAGCGAGTCGTATCGATCTGTTTGGATGTTTTTTGGGGCAAGGCATAAACAGTAGACGCAGTGGGATGTTTTTAATGTAGTGATGTTCTCACCGCAGGTGGCGCGAATAGCAAAACTTTTGAAGGCCCCGAGCTCGGAGATGCTCGGAGCACCACCAAGATCACCAAGTCACTGGACAAATTGCCAGTCAGCACATGTCAATAGAAGTGCAGCTCATTGCAGCTTAAATCTACTGTAGTGACAGTAGTTCTTATTGATTTCTTTCAATGATATGTGGCCAGAATCGAGGTTGCAGTGACCAAAGCTTCTGATGGTTCAGGGCGTTCAGGGCCCTAGAGGTTGATCGTTTCTCCATCATTCTCCATCTGTTCCACATCCACAATCTTTGCCATACAGAAATTTCTTCACCATCTATAAGAATTTACGATATCATATTTAGACTTAGACGCATTCAGAGGTGTTTATTCATATTTATTCATCAATATTCATCATGTTCAGAGCCTGGATTTGAAGTGCTCTGAGGTGACCGAGGTGGATATCCAGTTGAAGAGCCTCCGCAAGACATCGCAGATTTGATCCAGTGACAGAGACAGAGTGGTCGGACAGCTGTACAGAAGCCGGCGGAATCAAAATGCAGCCTGATGGTGGGGATGGATCGGAGATGGGTCGATGAGTACCTTATCCTTTACCCTCTGGTAAACTAACAGTTTGCTATTGAAAATGGCCATTTATAGTGGATTTACCCATTAAAAATGGTGATTTTCCATGGTTTTTTGTTAGTTTACCAAAGGGTACACTTTATGACCTTTATGACTTTCAGTTTGAGTTTCCATACAGTAACATCTCGCCAAAAAAAAAGCGCCAGTGTGAACGTTGCTGAACTTGCGCAGGTGCAGCGGCCTGACACTGCGATCGGATAGTCTCGTTTCTGACATGGAACCTGCTTGGCGAAGCTTTTAATAGTTGGCATTTCTCTTTGGAGAATGTGTCATACCTCTCTTGTCTAGATGAAATCCAGTACCTTTTTTCAAAAGGATGGTCATGATGGTCATGCATGCGCCATAGGTGCAGCATATGCCATGCGATACCTGAATACCAGTCTTAGAGTTCTGTTTTTTGTAAAGAAATCGTTCACGCACTGACCGCTCGATCGCAAATGCGAGAAAGAAATGCTACAGCCTGAGGCCCACCGGATGCCATTTGCTGTGTGAACGCAATCTTGTCTCAAGTATGATGTCAGCACTGGAAGCGGATTTGCTTTACACCAGCAAGATTGGCCTCTCAATTTTTATGGTGCTTGTTAGTCACTTTCGCACTTTCGCTTTCTTTGCTCATCTGTGGCTCACAGCGGCAACTTGCCTGCTAAACACTACTTTTCCTTGGCACATCACAATACAGGGCTCGTACATGCCAACAAAGCCGTGTGTGCAACTTGGTTTCATCCAAGAACCTTATAGGATCAGCAAAATCGGCGAATCTGCGTCAAGAGTTCTTTGGTCAGTTGCGACCGTCCTTTTTTCGTTTGGAGAGATGGTGTGGACGCTCTGTCTTGTCTTGTCTCTGCCTCAGTTACCACACTGCAAATGGTGCAAATCCCAGCAGACACATAGTATACACCACATATTCAACACCTATGCAACTTGCAGCTCGTTCACGTTTTTCCAAGCGAACTCAAAGGGTAGTCTTCGAATGTTTTCGATATTTTCTGCACACAACGGACTCGCCTGTCGCAAAAGTGAAGCAGCTTTGTCATTGTCGAGGTTCCTGCGCCTAACACATTCCAGCCGAGCAGGGAGTCCTGTGAGCAGATCAAGCTGATCATGCAGAACCTAAAAGCAGATCACAAGAGTGTGAGAGATCTGAGAGAGCAAAGCTTTGGTTGGAGGTTTTTGAGGTTTTCAACATATTTGAGGTGACAGGGCATGACCACGGAACGTTAGAGGTGCGACTGTTCTTTGAACGGCCTTGGCCCTGCAGCGTTTCGCTGCTGCAGCGTTTCGCTATGCGGACGTGATGCCGAAACCAGCTGCTGTTCAGGTGGAGAAGAAAACGGGTCGGTGAACTTAGTGCTCAGGACAGCAAGCACCGATCAACTTGTGAGCTTTGAGGCAAAATGCTCCAGATAGATGCTTCATTAGGTGGGTCATGGATCGGTCACAACCCGAGCTGTTCCTTTCCGGTGAAAAAAGATCTCACGCAGCGAAATGTCGCTTTCGTGGCAGGTGATAGCCTCGGTGCACATGACATCATCCAGATGCCTAGAACTCAGCAATGGGACGGGTGCACGCCACGCTGTGGCACGCTGTGGCACGCTGTGGCACGCTGTGGCACGCTGTGTCCTGTCCAGGCGCGGCAGTTCAGATGGCTGCATGTATGAAGGTCGTGAAAGAATGGGCTGTCACGCACCATCCCTAGCTGTTTCTGAGTTGAGACACAAGTTGTGGGGGATGTACTCATGTTGTCGTTGATCCATCTTGATCCTTTTTTTTGCTTTGTGATGCTCTTTCCGATTTGTGTTCCAGAAGCTTGAACAAAGTGCGCACCAGCGTTCTGTGGCTGATTACATTCCCATTGCTCATCGACCAGACACTTCCAGGAGACCTTGAGCCTTCGCATCTTTTCGTTGATCATTTATATATATATATATTTAATATATTGTATATTTTTTGTATTCATGAATCTGTTTTTTTCAATTGTGCTAAGGCAGAATGTGGTTGTGCTTGGTATGAGCAGCATTTTGCTCAGTGCTGTAAGAGAATTCGCAGAGCTCTAGCCGCAAGAAAGCCGCTGGCAATAAACAGAGAAACAACCAAAATAGTCCAAGAGCAGGACTTAGGGCAGAACTGGGGGAATCTTTGAGATACAGAGCACTTGGAACGTATCCGATTACTCAGGTGCTATCCCAAGTTCGTCATCGTCAAGGAAGCTGCTTGTCGCTATGAGACTGATGGGCATGAATCTTGAGATTGAAGATATCGAATCGCAAAAGCTCATTAATTTCCATGAATAGTTGTTGGCTCTTGACATGCTCTTAACCGTCTTGACCCCTTAATTACTCTGCTGTGGCCTTCACGACGCTCAGGACCACTCGGATAAAGCCGTGAAGCTGGCGTGTTTTGACATGCCATGGCTGCGATGACACTTTCCATCACTTTCCCTATAGCTTGCGCTGGCTGAGGTGAAGGCGAAGTCCAAAGTCAATGTTGGCCGTTGGCCCAGAGACGACCTAAATGACAATTTGAAATTCGGTTCAAACACTGTTGACATATTTGACATATTTGACATATTTGACATATTTGACATGTTGAAACATTACAACTTCAATCAACTTCAAGGGTCGTGACTTCATCACAGGAGTTTGTGATCTTGCCATGCCAGTGCTGGCCATTGCGTTCCAGGCTTAGGCTTGCTACAGAGAGATACGGCATGCATTTCTATGCATACTCATGTAACACTCATGTATAGGATTGTATGGGTATATTACTCATATTACGGTATATTATTCATCAATCTTCATCATTTGAAACATGTCATGATATTGGAACAAACTCAATGGATCACATCGCAAAGGTGAGGCATTGGTAAGATTTGAGACTTTTTCAAGGTCTGTGCTTCTGTTTGTGGTGCTTATTGGCCTGGTTGTTTCTGCTCTGTACTCAGCTGTCGCGACGTCATTCGCGACGTCATGCGACGTCACGTCGTGTCGTTCGCCAGCGTGCAGACCGGCCACGAATCTGATGCGAACGCGACCGAGGCTCGCATGTACCTGACCAAGGCCGTGCCTTCCTACACTTCTGACTCAACAGTGATCGAATCTAAGAATGATCTTTCAACAGTGATCTTCCATGAGCTTCCCTTTTTTCAGTCAAATTGTTTTTTACGCATGTGCAAGCTGTGTGTTTTTGTTTGTTCCTGCATTATCTGCATTCTTTTTTTCTCAAAACGCCCCCTTTGTGCACCTTGGTTCTGTCACCATTAGAAGTCTTCCTGCAGGATGCTCCTCCACTTGACCGAGCTCTTCCTTCAAATGCAAGCTTAAGCGAACCAAAGGTGAAGATATGTGAAGATCACCAAGTCCTGGGCAACTCCACAAATTACATCAAATAGTCATCAAATACCTTTACCATCCTTTACCAGTGCCAGAGCCCTTGAAAATAACGGGCTTTGCAAGATCATATATAATCGAAGGAAGTTTACAAGTGAAACTTCCGACAATATGGACAGTTGAAAAGCAGAGGTGAGAAGAGTCAGAAGAGAAAAGATCAGAAGAAAGAAGAGGTAGATGCACGAAAAGATAGGAAAGTCGCGATTCACTGTGTTTTTCCAATGATTTGTGGCTCCGGAGGGTCGAAAAGTAGGCTCGCTAAAGCGGCGGGTGCGGAGCGAGCTGGCCAGATGAGACATGAAAAAGTGCATGCCGTTGTGGCGCGAAGCACATTTCCAAGTCAAAATGGACAAAACACTAGAGGAGCGGACCACTTTTGGAAGTTGCGATGTCGAAAAAGTGCACGCCGTTGTGGCGCGAAGCACATTTGGAAGGCAAAATGCACAAAACACACCAATGTCGGACCACTTTTGGAAGTTGAGATGTCGAAAAAATGCACGCCGTTGTGGCGCGAAGCACATTTCAAAGTGAAAATGTACAAAACACACCATGGTCGGACCACTTTTGGAAGTTGAGATGTCGAAAAAGTGCACGCCGTTGTGGCGCGAAGCACATTTTGAAGTCAAAAGTGTTAAAAACTGACGGTGTTGGACCACTTTTGGAGGTTCGGATGTCGAAAAAGTGCACGCCGTTGTGGCGCGAAGCACATTTCGAAGTCAAAAGTGTAAAAAACTGAGGGTTTTGAGCCTTTTTTGACGTGAAGATATCGAAAAAGTAGACACTGATTAACTTAACTAACTTCACTAACTTAACTACCCTAACTTCGACGACAGCAGCAACAGCAACAGCAACAACAACAACAACAACAACAGCAACAACAACAACAACAACAACAACACCAACCACAACAACTACAACTACAACAACTACAGCTACAACAACTACACAACAACTAGAACTACAACTAGAACTACAACTACAACAACTACAACAACAACAGCAACAACAACAACAACAGCAACAACAACAACAACTACAACTACAACAACTACAACAACAACAACTACTACTACAACTACACTACACAACAACTACAACCACACAACAACTACAGCTACAACTACAACAACAACAACTACAACAACTACAACAACTACAACTACAACTACAAAACAACTACAGCTACAACTATATGACTGCAACTACACTACACTAATTACATTACACCACAACTACAACTCCACTACGCTACAACTTCAACTACAGTTGCAGTACATCACACTACATCCAGCAGTTGTGGGTGAGGTGACCACTGCAACCATTGCAACCACTCCAGCAAACACAACTCCAACCACCTTTCGGTCAATCAGTGGATTCGCTCTGCCATCCGTGATTCACAACAAACAACGTCTCCTATAGGTTTCCTATTCTGAAACTTCCGCCACCGCCTTGTGCGGTACTACTGGTATAATATATACATATTATGTATAATTATGTATAATTATAATTATAACATAATATCAAAAAAACAATTTTGCTAATTACTATATTGTAGGATAACTGGAGAATACTCCAGTTGCGCCCCTATCTGCTGTCATGTGGTGTAAGATTGGAGTGAAATGCGTACTTCAGAATTAGTTCAATTTGTTCAAAGAGCCTATGCGAAGACCAGAGCAGATAGGCGGAACGTGTGCCGGAGAAGCGCATCAACGATGGCAGCAACTTCCAGGAAGCGGAACATATCCAGAACTTTGGGAGTTTACTGGGAGTTTACTGGGAGTTTACGGTCCCTTTATGTCCGTTTATGTCCCTGGCACCTTTTGATGGGCTCAGGCTCGTCCGGATAGTCCACCTGCTGAAGCTGTCAGGGCCGCTGGAAAAAACCTAGAAGTTTTGGTTTTAAATCTTGATATCCTGTCGTTTTGCCAGGTCGAGATATGTTGAGATGTCAATTATGTACAATTTATGTACAATTATCATCAAGTATCAATCTTTGGTAGATTTCCATCGATGTTCTGGCTTCAGTAGCCTCATCTTCAATCGGCACCAAGGCCGCGCCAGATACAGAAGGAGCGAGTTGGGTTGTTGCCAAGATTTCAGTCATACTGATACATGCATTATATATCATTATATGTTTTTTGTTACTCGTTTTATTATGATCATCATAGTCATGAATGCTCACGGATAAGCTTCTGTATCAAAGTATTCCACTAGTTTTGGGTACTGTGTACTTGCAACGGCTATGATGTTCTACATTTGGGTTGATTCTGCGCATGCCTGCGTGTTGGGTCAAGTATCATTTCGTTTCAGTTGTTTTTGAGGTGTGTTCCTACTCTGAGTAGCTCTTGTCATGTATTGCAGGAGACACCGTCACTGAAGCTACACGTGATTAGAGCACAAAAATTGCATTTGCGCACTGGAGACACCCCTGTCAGTTGCAAAAAGAGACTTGATTTGGCTGAATGCGCAGCGAGAGTTCCATTGACGTTTACCGTTTCTTGTATGGGCAACCGCTTTTATTTGCGCACATGTACAGTAGTTCGGAATTGGGTGCGAGACGAGGTGGGTGCCCCTTAAAACACGAGGTAGGTAAGATGGAAGAGGTAGAACAGATTAAAACCACTCGCAATGTTGGAAACGAGATCAGTGCTCAAAAAGAGGTCAGGGAGTGGAAAGCGAGGTAGGGTCCGCCTCGCTTTTTGCAGTGACCTCAAATATCTCCAGTCTCTCGTATGTGATTTCTTATGCAAGCCGTGCAAGTTTGCTTCGATTGGTGGCACAATATATCCAGCCTTCAGTTGGATAAGTTGGATCATGTTGGATCCATCTTTCAATTAAACAGCTGGCTACGGTGGCTACGGTGGCTACATCTAATCTCACCTCATTTTTTTCAGCCATCCAATGTGGTATGGGCTCAGTGGGCAGTAAGAAACGCTGCCGGATTTGGGAGTCCCTCTCCAGTCCAGCCGCTGGGTGCCGTGCTTAATGGGATGGACATGGGATGGACATGGGATGGAGATGGGATGGACGATGGACCATAGCAGCGTACTTCAGAAACTGAACTTTGACGCCCCAGGTGAGGGAGAGGTTGTGTACATATTGGCGGCAAGATGACGGCACTTCCTGATGACATGGTCGCATTCTGAGTGCTGTGACATCGCAGTCTTGGAATGTGCTGATTTCCATGATGACAGTGGTTGGGAAAGCCTTGGAATGCTTGGGACATCTGTGGACATCTTGAGACATTTGATTTGCGCCATTTGCGCCCAGTGCAGGTAGCCTCAGACCTCACCTCGGCCATTGTGCTGGCCGGGGTTCGTCACGAGGCAAGGAATCAGAGGAATCAGATAGCGCATTCAACATCCTGTGCTTCTGTTTGAATCTGTTTGTTGTTAGCAAAGAAACAGCAGAAGCAAAGTTGGCAAAGACAGAGCGTCAACTCTCACTATACTGACGGCATTTGATGGCGATGGAAAAGTTTAGGGACAACATGCGGCCTCAGGAAACCATTGCAGCATTTGATGATGGCCCAAAACGAAGATCTAGATGGTCTGAGTGCAAGGCAGGTGGATGCGGGGGATGTGGATTCTTCTTGAGTCTTGAGTCAGATGATGTCAGATGAAACTTGTAGACCAGGGGGATTTAGTCTTGGAGAAGAGTATAGACGTAACATGACGTGACCAACATTGAGGCTGCCGGCAATTTCTTCGCAACTAGACTTCCTTCTGATGAGTTGACAAAACGGTCGGCCATTGTATGCCATTGGTTTGCCAACTGCTTGTCTTATCTTGTCTCGTGATCTCGTGGTATTCCCTTGGTTTGCTCCAGCCTTGCCTCACCAGGTTGCCAAAAAGGGAAAGCGATGGGGTCTTCCTGATGACAAACCGTTTCTTTGTCGCATCAGGCATAGATAGGCATAGCACTTTGTTTCATGAAACATTGATAGCCTATATGGATGATTATGGATGCCTGTGGATTTTGTTTTTCTTTTTGCCAAAGATCTTTCCAAGCTGTCCTCCCGAGGTACAAGCCACTGAGTTACGTCGACCTCCCATTGGGTCTCTCTGAGAAGGCAAGATCCACCTTGCAGTGTCCTACAGAATTCGGACAGCTCAGTTTTCAGATACAAGTTTCAACAGTTTCACTGCGCTACAAAGCAAATATCATCAAGGTCCCAAATGGTCCCAACATTTTCAGTAAATGGCATGGAATGCGTTGGGCTTACATGGTCGTTCAAGCATTTAGGCTCCCAAAAGAGCGCTTCAATTTGAAAAAAATGAAATGCCATGTGGCTTTCGCACTCGTGATCACTCGTATCACTTGGACAGTCAGACCAGTTAGACCAGTTAGACATGGTCACTGCATGTCACGTGACTTGGACGTCCAGGAGATCGATCAGTTTCTCAGAGAACAGCGACTAGAAGATCTTCACAGGAAGATTCAGGCCTTGGCCATCCAGTGTTCCAGCTGTGAAAAACCATGTGAAAAACAATGTTACACCATACCCATAGGATCCATGGTGCTGCCATATATGGTAATATTTACCATCAATATACCCCAATTGTTAGCATATATACCTTGACATACCTTGACAGATCCCCTTTTTGCTTTCATGAAACTATGACCTGCACGATTTATACACCGCGCGCAGGGGCTTTCCCATAAAACAGGGAATGAATGATGCTGGCCATCCCGGCTACCTGAGACCAAGCATGAGCCACAAAGCAAGCAGATCAAGTCAATTCAAAACATGCTGATCGCATCTGATCACTACAAGACTGGCCCACAAAAAGATCGCCGAAGAAATAGATGACCCGAATTCATCGCTGGGACAGCGATGAGAGATAATGCTGGTCAGCGCGAGCGCGCACCAAAAGCCGGGAATTAGATCTACGCGAACGTTGGGCACAAGATGGCACAAGTTGAATCACGCTGCTGTGGAGCCATCGCAAATTTCCATAAATTTCCGACAATTCTGCCCCGGTGATGACTGATTCGGACACGATTTGCTTTTGGCCATGTTCAACATGCTCAACGTTGAGCTCACCTGCAAGGGTTGAAGTCTTGCAGGCGCATGAACTGGAAGATGTAGATCCAGACATTCGGTCTGGCTCTCAGACAGAAAACTTGTGTACCAACATAACATGACATATAGCCTGGCCTATAGCAATAGCAACATAAACCAATGTTATGTAATATAATGTTAATAATGTTACATTTGCTATTATATATGTATATCGATTATACACATTGGATCACATTGGTATGTTGATATGCCAAGAGTCCTCAACATGGCTGCACTTGGCACTGCATGGGGACGGTGGTTTTTTCGTCACTTCGTGAGGCCACCTTCACCACCACCTGTCTACGACAAGGGCGGCAATAGACTGAACACCAGAGATGTCAGAATCAGGCGCGGCCACAGGGCCCGCAGGGGCCCGAAGGGCCCATGTTTCGAACTTGGAACCATTGGAACCATTGGAACCATGGCACTTGGCTCCCTTGTTTTGATTTCCGCAGAGTTTCACAGAGTCGCTGGTGTTTTTCCCTGGTGTTTTCCAGGAAGGCCATGACAGCCGAGTACAACAGATTGATCAGGCCGGACTTTGGGGTGTTTTGCTGGGAAGTACGGTGTATTCCGGTGTACAAAACGGTGTCTTGCAAATGGTTTGTTTGTCGTGCAATGCGCTCAGGTACATGATCAAGCATGTCGATGGATACCTGCCACCTGTTGATTGGAAGCCTTCCAAGCTCATGAAAAAGATCATTATTCCAATCGATCCTCGTGCGCAGATTACGTGCGTTTTTCATTACAGGTTTGAATGGTGTGTGTTGATGCGCAAACAAAACTCGGGCAGAGTCCCAGCATTTTCTTGAGATTTTTGCTGCTTCTCGCCCTTAACACTCCTCCTTGGAGCCCAACTCAGGAAAAGTTCCCTCAGGCTGGATGTACAAATCAATGAATCGTCGAGTGTTTTGGTGCTGCTATGTGCTGCTTGTGCTGCCATTGAATCCAGTTACATCCGGCATCTGCCATCATCCGCCATCCTGTTCAGGCACCTTTCATGGGTGTCATCATTGGTCCTCGTGGTGTGAACCACAAAAGGCTTCAGGACTCCTCTGCCATTGCCATCCACCCGAAGCAAACCCAGCATGCCTCGGGAATCCGAGGACACGACGGGCTGCAAGATTTTCATCCGTGGTCGCGACATCGGTAACTTGTCGAAACAAATTGCAACAAATTTAAACAACTCCACACAGAAACAGTAAATGCATCAAATGCGCTGTTTCAATGGTAGAAACGTTTCTGCAGCCGAAGATTTCAGGTGACAAATGGCAGACTGATGAGGAAGCAGCGATGCCACAACATGTCTGCCACTTGAACCTTCGAGCAATTTCGAGCATTTCAAGCAGCGTTGCCATTTGACGGCATTGGTATGACAGACTTACGTGGCGAGGTGCACATCGAGGGCGAAACGGAGGTCACAGTGCATGTTTTGCTGACAACTAAGCTGTGTTTAGGGATGAAACAGCAAACTTGTCACATGTTTGTGGCAGACTTCTTGTCAGTGGAATCTGTGGATATTAATGACATGGAAGAAGTCTCTATGTTTTTGCCTCAAGCCGTGTGTCATTGTGTGCCAAGCTGCATGGTTTTAAGAAACGTAATTAATTATCCAAATTGCATGGAGTAGCTGAACATCAAAATGAACAACATGGTACCTTTCCTGATCGGTTTGATCGGTTGAAACAGATGAAACAGTTTGGTACGGACCAGCAGGAACTACAGCTTTCATAGATTAATTATGATAAATTATGATTGATTGAAGTGGCAACTTCTGAATATGGAATACATATGGAATACATTAAAGTCAAGGATTTTTCTGCCTCCACCGTGATGGCGATTCCTCGATGCCGTTTGGCAGTGGTTGGCGCTGGCCCATTGGTGGGACGTACTCATTGTTATTTGGCTAAAAATTGCTCAACATTATGCAACCCATAAATCCCATAAATCCCAATAAATCCCATTAATATGATCATTATATGATCATTCTTGAAACGCAGACTGCGTTTCTTGGCGAATCGCTCTTTTGATATTTTTGATTGAAAATTAATTGAAATGAAGAACACCGAGGTATGCTGATCAACAACATGAAAGACGATCTGGAGCGGGCAGCCGCATGTTCCAAACTTGCTTCATTTGTTCCTGTGAAACGCCGAGTTCACAAGGATGTCAACTACAATGAATTGTAGACCTTCATGTTTGTCAGGAGCTTGCCTGTATTTGCCAACGACGCATAGATGACACAGAAGTGGCAAAATCGCTGGGTGTTCCCCTGTACACGGATGCAAAGGTGCGCCCATGGTGCATCCACCATACCATATTCTGCCACATGGCATTACATGGCCAGGAAATGATGCTGAAGGAGCAGTTGGATGGTGTGGTGATTGCTGTGCCAACTCACATGCACTTGGCCATTGCAGAGGTTCCTTGGCAATCCTCATTTGTTGAATATGTTGAATATCCCCATCTCTACATGTTTTATTTTTTTCCTGGGAGTTCACTACCAAGATTAATAATGTTGAAATCACGGATTTGCATATGCTACATCCATGCGTCCCTTGAACCCAGGAAAGAAATTTTGGTTCAACATTATTTTCCTTTGGTGTACAAATGTTTGGCAACAGGAACATAGCTTTGTCACGTTGTTCAGGGGGGTGAGTTCGCTCGAACTAATATATGTATGTCAAACACCAGAAAAAAATGACCCATGATTGTTTGAGGGGGTATGTTTTTTCAATGTTTTTTCACATGAATTCACAAGGTTGGGAACAAGGATTGTTTTGTACTGTTACAATGCTGGATTTACATAGGTCAGACATCAGAGAAGGAATCTTTTCCAGTACTTTTTGGACACAGATCGCTGGATTTGGGTTTGTCTGTAATGAGGTAACCCCACCCAAGTCTATTCTGGACAGCAATATCACCGGCCGCACTGCTCATTTTTTCCTGGCGCTCCAATTCAGAAATTGCAAAAGTTCTTACAAGTAAAAATATGCCACCATGGAATGCTTGTAAAGCTGAAGATACATTTGCCCTTGCAAAAGGGTGCAAACACATATGTTCAGCTTCACCAACAACAAAAGTGACTTTTAAGAGGTCGAGGCGCAGGTGTCAAAAATAAAACCCAAGGGCCTGGACCTTTTTTGGCGGAATATTTGCGGATGATCTTCAAAGGTTGGCCCCACAGGAAAAAAGTCGCATCACCAGGCCAATCCTTAGTTTTTCATTAGGCCGCCACATAGACCTTGATCAATAGATAGGACATGATGAGACAAATTCCAGAATTTTGTGGCAACGCGCACCCAAATTGCAAAACACGTTTTTTTTTTTGCTGAAGACACATTTGTCCCTGCAAAACGGTGGCAAATGCAGCTTTAGCAACGAAAAAAGTGAGTCCCTTTTGGAAACCTTAGGCACCAGGACGTGAGTACCTGGAATGGTCAGAAAGGTCAGGACCCACAAAAATGAAGCCAGTTATTTTCCCAGGACAGGACTCTCCGGGGTACACCAGATGGGGATGTTGAATGCTAATAATTATACATATATTATACAATTACCATTTAATACATTTTAATACCATCGAAGTCCATCGCATGCTCTTTTACTAGTAGGTCATGTTTGCATTGCGATGTGTCACGACACTTCCGACTGTGTCCGGGAAAATCTGAGTGAACAATTAGTCTCGATGCCTTCCATGACACTTCCGCACAGAAGAACTCGGAAGGACTCGGAAGGACTTGGAAGGACCCATGCTTGGTGGTTCATCCCACGGCTCGTAAGTGGATTATAACCCCAGTTTTTTCAGTGGATTAACCCTTCTTATCCCATGTAAACCACTGGAGTTATAACCTTTCGCTTCAGGCCTGTGTGGAAGGGGCCAAACTCCGCCAGGCTGCTGGTTGCCAAGGCCGCTGCTGAGCCGCGGATACAAAGGGCAGAGATAAGCACAAGATATTTCAACGTATTGCTATGGGCATTTCCTAAACTATCTAAAATGGAGGACCCCAAAATGGTGCAAACATTGTCATCTTTCATATTCTTTCATGGGGAAATCGATGGTCTTGGGACGCCCAAGTTTCAAGAAACAGCAATGTAACGTATGTCCAATGATGTCTGATGATGTCCGAATGTATATTTCCAATGCTGAGATGATTTGACATTTCTTTGATTCTGATGATGCTTTGCGCGCTCTGTGGTTGTGCTCTGTAGGTACCCTCAAAGCCCTCCTGATTGAGAAACCAATCTGCCAAGATCTGGCAAGCGCATGAATCTCAGAGCCGATGAACAAAGATAGTAAAACTAAAGCTCTGTCAGACCCAGAAAAGACCTTGCGTGGCATAGCTATATAGTACATTATAAATGTAGTACTGGAATACATACCCGTATAGATCTCGGTATAGATCTGTATAGTTATAGAGTCTTGTACCAACTCGTAGAGTCTGGATCCTGTCGACGAGGCTCTAAAACTGCTGGACATCATGGAGAGCGCTGGCATCTCTGTGCTGATTGGGCACCAGAGACGTCACTCCAAGCTCGTGCAGAAAGCCAGGGAACTGGTCACGGTCCGAGACTGAGATCACCATAGAATCACCCAACATGTCTTTAAAAATATGTCTTCATACACGTCTTAATACGTGTGAATACATGTCAGGCTTGTGATGTTTGTGCATCTTGCGAATCCAATCTTTCCTTTTGATGAGATATGAAGGATTACGAAGGTGTAGATCTAACATAGATCGATAGAATATGACGATATGACGTTGTCATCACAGAACTTTTCCGTCAAAGTTGATCCTCCCTACATCTCCCAGCGTTGTCTATGCCAAAGGCTTCGGCCCCTTGCGCGCCGTCAATATGGCCCCTTGGCTGATGAGTTTCCGTCGGCGTCGGCGAGCTCCTGTGTTTCTGATCCCTCCAGATGACCAAAGAAACAAAGTGACAGAACACTGAAAACAGATTAAAACAAAGTGAAATAGTGTCAGAAATAGTGTCAGACAGTCAAGAATTCAAGATCTTCAAGAAGTCATCAGAAAATTCAGGAGATCAGACCAGACAAGGGCCATCAAGATCATCAAGGGCCAGGGAGATGTGTTTTTTATCGGTCCCCACCATACCCCATTCGCTTTTCGCCGTGGTGAAGGAGTTTTCTTTGCTGAAACCAGAGAGCTACTTTGGCTTCTCGGACATTTCACTGCAGTGGCGTCGAAAGAAAGGCATCGGCGGCCCAATTCTGATCAACTCCATTCATGACCTCGATTTAATGCGCAGCTTGGGCTGCATTTTGGCTTCGAACAGTGTGCCACCCTTCCATTCCTCTCCTCGCCGTTCGAGAGTCACAATTCACCAGCACCGACAATGCCATGACTTATAATATTTAATTACTTTGTATTTGATTGATTTTGATTGTATCTGATTGTATCTGATTGTCGTGATATCTTGGGCTCTGGAGTTTTTGTTAACGGCGAGTGATCCAAGCTGCCCAGGCTACGTGACCGGCCATGAAATCATGAGCGTTTTCGCTTCAACCAGTAGCGCAGCTCGGGGTGGAGAGGTGGAAGATTCTGGCGCCGTGACTGTGACCTTCGATCACGGTGCTGTAGGACCGGATGTGTCAGTGGCAGAAGGGAAATGAAGGGACTATGCATGTGGATATACTATGGGCCATAGTATGGCTATAATATGGGGATTGACTCCAGATTTGGATTTCTTTTCGTGTGGTCATACTAATTTAGTATCTAAAAGCGACCATTTTTGTGACCCAACTTTAACAGAATGTATGTGGTTTTTGTGTGGAGCTGTGATGTGGAGCTGTGCAATTCGGAGTGAGGAACTCTGCTCTTCACTGATGCTGCACCTTCGCCATGGAGTTATGAATTCACCACAGGTGAGAATAAGAAATATCCACATGTCGCTGGGCACGATATGGCACGCTGCAAATTTCTCCACGTTTTTTGAACATTTGAAAAGATTTGATACCCTCTGGTAAACTAACATAACTATGGAAAATCACCATTTTCACTGGGAAAATCCACTATAAATGGTGATTTTCAATAGCTATGTTAAATTACCAGAGGGTAATAATATTTGATAACAAAAATGGACCTTGCAGTGGGTTTCATGTCGTTCTCTTGCTGAAGGTTCCTGGCCATCTTCGGGATTGTTACCATTTCTTAGGCGCTCAGCGCATCTTGGCAACAAATCAGGGTTTGCTGAAACGTCAAGCATCATTCCTAGATCATCCTATGTGGAAGCGTCTGGAATACTTCACTACAGTGAGACCCAAACTGCCTCAAATACTGGTCGAGTGTGTGGGCAAGTTTTCCATACAGAGATTGGGAGGAATTCTGTGAGTAGACACCGATGATAAAACATCACTAGCTGCTTTGAAACTCTTTGAAGCACAATTACGGATCGTTTTCAACGGCCCAAGCCGCCCAAGCTGACGATTTTACGATGCGTCGCGACGCAGGCTCTGTCGGTTTTCCTAGCCTTCATTCGTTTTCCTACGGCCTCCAGACAGAGCCTGGATGGGATTCTCCACTACAACTTGATACCTTCACAGCGCCTCAGCTCTCCAAAGAACTTTATGAATTACAGCGATAATCACAGTGTGGTTTTGGTTCGGTTCCGTTTCGGTTTCTAGTATTTGCTATAGGCCCGGTTCGGTTCATGTTCGGTTTCGGTTTGGTTCCGTTCGGTGTTTGGAACATTCTGCATTGATACAGTATTTGCTTTTTTCCCGGCGTCGGAAAAGCAAATACAGATTGCTTCCCGCAAGAGGTTTATTGCTTCCCGCAAGAGGTTTCATGAGCAGCGGCTTTCAAAGAGCGGAGAGAGCTGAACTCGGAAAACCAAAGCTTCGTGAAATTGTCAGCGCATGCAATTATGAAGAAACCCGTGGTTGCATATCAACGGTTAGGTAGGTTTGGGATAAGCAGCTGACTCTCATGATGCATGTTCTAACTCGATCGTTTCCCTTGCGCTCTATATATATTATAATATCTCTCTCGAGTTTATTATATATATATGGAGTCTCCTTTTATTTTATACCAAGTGCAGTGTCCTGATGTGATCACTAAGGACTCGATGCGGTCGTTTGCCATTTTGGCACAAAGAACGAGTGATCACAGTCAGGCCACAGCTCTTTTTGATCAAAGAGGATCGCTGTTTTTAGGGCCTGGGACTGGATCACTTAAGTATGTCTTTTCCTCCTTGTAGCCCGGCTCCATTGGAACGTCAGAGAGCCATGGCAGCTGCTCGAGCCAGTGTTGGAGGTGATCACCTTGCACCTGAGGACAGTGCCTCACAGGTGTCCTGGAGTGTGGTCGTGGATGAACAGCGCAATGTGGAGCCTGTTCAGGAAGTGCCAATGCAGTTCCCTGAGCCTAAGGCACCACCGCCCGGGTTCAGACACCAAGGTGAGCCGGCTCCTGGCTATGCAGCCCAAGGACAGGATCAACCCAAGAGTCGTGTGTCAAGCTCAAGCGGAAGTGCACCCTTCCCACCTGCTGATGCGGCTCTCTTTTTCACTGACCCTGCTCAAGCCCCTGCTCAAAGTGCTGCTGCTCCAGCTACTCAGGCAGCACGTGATTTGCTTGGAAGCGCTCAGAAGCAGGCAGCTCGCCTGGCAAAGCAGAAAGCTCAGGCAAAGAGGCGTGGTCATCGTGCAGTTAGGTGGGGACAGATGCCTGGCCTTGATGCTCAGAATTTCCAGCTCCCAACGTTCATCAGGCAGTTGGGTGCTGGCCAAGATGAACGATCAGTGCTTGTGATTGATAGCCGCGATCGGCGCATTCAGTCCCCCTACCAGGGATGGCTGCTGGACGAGATCTTGCTGAACGCCCAGTCTGGAGTGAACGTCCTGGTCGATCGACAACTTGTCAGATCGCCAAACAAGGGCTACCACCTCAACTTGTTCTATGTGAGGACGATGGACGGGTTCAAGTTCATCTTGGTAGGATCAATGACGTCTTACGGGACGGTGCCAGCAGCTCGCTGGGATGCAGACACGGGGAAGATCATGGCCCACCCGGCCTTTCAACCTTTTCGTTGGCCGATGATGACTGACGAATCTGCAACCTGGGTCGATGTGAAAGTCAAGGTTGAAGGAGGTCTTCTTCTACACCTTGAGCTGCGCGGCTACCGATCGAACACTGACATGACGGTTCAGATGAACTACGTCAATGATGCTCTCATGGCGAACCTTAGGGACTGCCTTTTTGTGCCGTCCTGCATCGTCACGGTGTTCCACGGATGGAGGGTGGTGGCAACCTCGTTCGAGGTGGGAGGGCGTCTGTACGCCTGCAGTGATAGTGGGACGGTCGTGGCCCTGGACTTTCCTTTGTGCCACTTTGAAGTCCGGCTCACTGCGCTCTCTTCCACGGACTCGATCGGGATGGATGCAGACCGCTTAGAGTTCCGATTCAGGTCATCCGGTGATCAGCTGGACGTTGCATGTTCTCAGGTGGTGGTTCCATCAACTTGGCTGGTTGTGTCGCGTGTGTCTGGGCCCACCTTGATCAAGAATGCTCGTTGGTGTCGTGAGCATCATGCAAGGGTGGAAGGCCCTGATCAGACCATGCAATTGTCACAGCTAGCCGAGATCCATGCACACTGGACTGCATCGATCGAAGCAGAGTCCGTTGATGACACGGGTCCGAGGGTGAGTGCGGTCGCGGTGGATTCTCACCCGGCCAACTATCACCTCACCTGTGAGTCTCCCTTGTTCAGGGCAGCGAAGTCGTTGGTGCCAACCGATGCACTGGCTCTGCAGGCGCACAATGTGGCTCTGGAACAGGAGACGATCGTGCTCCCGCCAGTGACGGGTGGGCCATCAGTGGTGCCAAGATCATCAGTTGCGGCCCCTCTGCAAGCATTGGCTGGACCGTCGGCTCCTGCACTGGTTGTGGCGCCCAATGTTCAAGCCGAAGTCTCCATGACTGAGCCGGGTCAAGCCCCAGCCTCGGGAGCCATGGGAGGCTCGGTACATGTGCAAAGGCGATCGCTTGAAGCTCGCCAACAAGAGAGGATCTCAGTGGCAGCCGTGACGCCACAAACTTTTCTTGATCAGGTGTATCAGGCGGTCCCGGGACGCCCAGTCAGTTTTGGACCGGCTCCGACCGTTGAAGAAGTGACGGAGACCTGACCTTGATCAAGAAGTTTGAAATTCACCGAGTTTGCAAGGTGGCGGAATGTATCAGGCCGCAGCACGATCGCTGGCCGAATGCTCTGAAAAATCATTAGCTGCTGCGAGAGCTGTGCAAACACCCTCAGTTTAGGTCTCTTGTTTTCCCGTTGTTCACCCTGGTTTTTCCCCGTTTTGGTTTGGTTTAACTTGGGTCAATGGGTTTCCTAGGGACCTAATTTCTGAGGTGTTTGCTCTGTGAGACCCCACAATTGTGAACGGGTGGGATTTGATCACATCCAGCTCGTTCATGGGGACGGCTCCCATATTTTCCACTTGGCCCAGGCGAGGGCCCCAGTTTGCTCGGCTGTGGGATCTCAGACCGGACGTGATGTTAGAGCGACTGTTCCGATATGGGGTATGATCTCCATAGCTCTGGTCAGTCATCTTTCTCTGTCTGGTCGATCGACCACATAAAGCTGTCAAGCTTTTGCATTTATGATTTTGGTCACGATTTATGCATGATACAAGTTGATGTATTTCGTTCATTTGATTTTAATTGCTCTTTGACGCCACGCCTGTGACACCACCTCATGCAGTAGTTCACACATGTTTGCATGTTCATGCTTTTGAGGCGTTAAGGTTCGAGGTGCAATGATTGCTCTCTTAACCGACTTGACACTCTCATGTGTGCACTGTTCATGTTGTGTGGGGGTTCACAGGGAAGTCATGGCTCAAAGTTCTGATCGCTGGACATCTAAGATTTTGTGTCTTCCAATTTTCTCTGATGCCTTCGCTCAGGCGCTGTTGGCTTCACCTTATGCCAACTTGGCGCTGGTGTCAGCGATGGAGGTGCGATCGGGCCCGGAGTTCACCGTGAAGGTGCACGACTGGTCAGCATCCCTAGAGGAGACCGTTCGTGATGTTTTTCTCAGCAACAGTTTTATGCTGGAACAGTTTTGGAGTCTAGCTACTTCGATCGAGAAGGCATTTTTCGAATCCTCTGCAAATCAGCTGGGTTTCGGGCAGTGCGATCCGACTACTTTGGCGTTGAGTGCCGAGACCGCTAGTGCTCGTAGGGCTAATGCCATCAAAGTTCTGTTGCACAAGCCGGCTCAACCGCCCAGGAAACTGCTCAAGAAGTCTGATTCGGATCCGACGTCCACACCGCTGTTGGACCAGGAGAATGCCGCTCGGTGGAAGTGGGCTTCTAAACTGGAGGCCATAGGGAAACGGGCGGGTCAACACTCCAAGCTCTTGCTGGATACCACCAACAGCGAAGGGCTCTCGCCGGGTGAGACCGCTCGGCTACGCCAATTAGTGTTGGCATCGGGGGCTCCACGGACTATGTCGGCCCACATCTCCGCATGGGAGCGGTTCGAGGAGTGGGCCAATAGTGTTGGGATCCCCGTTTTTCCTTTGTCTTCTGATTTGATTCTGAAGTATGCTCTAGCTCTTGACGAGAAAGAATGTGGTCCCACAGTTTTGCCTTCTTTTAGGATGTCAATTAAGTGGGTAACATCTAAACTGGCGATCGACTGCCCTGATTTGTCCCATCCCGCTCTCTTGGCGGTTCAGTCGGACGTCATTCAGAAAAGGGCCACCACATTGAAAGAAGCCCAGCCCATCCCGATCGTGGCGGTCGGAAGTCTGGAGCAGTTCGTCACAGACGTGCAGCAGCCAGAGGCAGCTAGGCTCTTTGCATGGTGGTGGCTCTGCATGGTCTTCGCATCGCTGAGGTTCGACGATGCCATGCATGTCAGGCCAACTGAGTTGATCATGAAAGACGAAGGGCTCTTTGGCGTCGCTTGGCAGACGAAAGTCGAGCGCAAACGCCGTGGCACGAAGTTCGTAGTGCCGAGAGTTGGCTTTCGTGATTCAGCCTGGCTTGACGTTGGCTGGGACCTTTTGCAGCTCGAAGATTTGGATCGTGACTTCTGGATGAGAGACTTGAACACCCAGACGGAGTTCAGGTCTGCACCAGCTCAATATCAACGTTCCATTCAGTGGCTGCGTTTCATTGGCAAGCTCGCCATCAAGACCTACTTTAGTGGGCCTGAGGGTAAGCTCAATGAGGCCGTGGACGGGTTGCTCAAGGTCACAGCCCACTCAGCTCGGGTCACCATGTTGGACGCTGCAGTACATGCTCGTCGATCGACGGAGGAGATCGGACTGCAAGCGAACTGGAAAAATCCGGGTCCTCTAGTGTTGAAATACACCAGGAACCGGACCAGCGTACCAGCTCAGATGGTTCAACAGCTGGTCAAAGACATGGTTGACAATGAGCACCCGTTCGAGGCTGAAGAGGATGTCGTGCTCGACTCCGTAGATGAGACGGCTCTCAATGAGGTGCAGTTCTACGTCAAGACGGAAGGCGCTCGTGCCTCCCGTGACTATCGATATCACTGCTCGAAAGAGGAGGACGATGAGATGGTCGCATGTGGCAAGCTCGCCGTCCGTGACTGCACTGCCGTTGGGGCCGCCCTGCCAGATCCTTCCGTGCTCTGCAAGCAGTGTGCCAAAGCTCGACCAGATGTGGCTTCACGATGCTTCTCTGCTCAGAGCGGAAGTGTTCGGGCATGAGTCTCAGCTGCAATTTTGCTTTTGGAAGGTGATTTATTTGTTTTGTCAATGATTTTCAATTTGCATTTTCCGATGATAATCTCAGTTTGGCTCTAAGCTATTACACAATTAATCATGGTGGATCGCACCGTGTACACCCCGGACAAGTTGCCGGAGCTCCCATTGCGGCAGATCTTTGGTCGGCAACGAGTTCCGGAAGACTTGTGCCGGCTCGTGGCTGATGTGGGTCTCCGCAGCGTGGAAACGTTCGCCATGCTGGGGGACACGATCACAACGGTCAAGCAGACCTTGAAAACGATCATACCAGATTCTGCTCGTTTCGGCGATGATGCGCCGGCGCAGGAGCTTGCTCTTACAGCTCTGGCGGCCGTCTGGAAGCAGTGCTCCACCATGCAAGATCACTTCGCAGCTCGGCGAGCCAAAATGGAAGAAGACCCCAGCAAGGTCCCAGAGATTCCAGGCGAAGATCATGCTGAGTTTCGTGACACGTTCGTGGCTCGTCACCCTGACGTGCTCTTGCCCATGCATCGAGAGCCTCATCGGAAGTTTGTCGAACGTGTTCAACGAGACTACTTGGTGCACGGCTTTGTTCATTTCTACGAAGTCGGCGAGATCCGCACCAGGAATGAGCAGATCGCTCAGAAATCTGGGCTCTCCAAAAATGCAGAGGATCTCTTGCGTGTGGTGATGGTAGATCAGCCTAGTGCGGCTAGTTCAGAATCTCAGGTGATGGACAAACTGCATGCGTTCTTCATTACCTTAGAATACTTGAACATCTGTGAGTTCTCCGTGGCAGCCGGGCCCCTGAAATACTTGTCTGATCTGGAGGAGTGGCGCCATGAGAACCGTGGCCTGGCCTTGCTCTTGGCGGCTGATGCGTTGATCCGCAAGAAAGTTCATCGAGTGAGCTCTGATCAGCGCAAGACATTTGGCACGTTCTCTGCCGCCTTGCTTGAGGTCTTGACCAACCACAAACAGCTGTGGAATGACGCTCGATCAAGCGCAGAGTTGGACAAGTTCAAGCAGGTGCTGCAGACTACGGCGCCATCTACACCGTCAAAGAAGCGCTCCAGATCTCGCTCGCAGTCAGCCCCAAAGGCTTCACCCAAAGCTCGAAAGAACAGGGCTCGTCGTGAACGCCAGAAGGCCTTGCTCAAGAAAGCTAAGGTTGGTCACGCCTCAACGCCACCTCCCAAGTCGGATCAGGCCAAGAAACCCGCTCGAGATGAACGGGTCCCGGCCCACGAATGGCAGAAGATTACTTCGTTCAAGTATCAAGGAGCCAAGCGATGCCCTTTCTTCAACTGCTCACTGGGTTGCCGCTTTGGTGATCACTGCCGCCAGAAGCACAGCTGTGTGGAATGTGGTAAAGATCACCCGTGGCACGGCAACCACTGAGCTCGGCCCAACTTTGAGGGGGCCTCACTGGAAGCGCCCCCCGGTCAATGGAGCTGTCCAGCCACAGTGTGTTATGATGGCTTGTCGGCATCTGCGCCGTCCGGTCGGAAAACGGCTGATTCTGAGCCGTTCACTGTGCCTGGTTGGTCCCAGTTGACCGAAGATTTCACCATTTTGCGCTCGCATGGCCCATTTTTCCTGGAAATTTTTGCTGGCCAAGCAGGCATCACAGAGGCTGTTCAGCTGATGGGTGTGCCTGCGCTGCCGCCAGTGGATGTGGTTGTCTCTGATCTGGTCAGCGAAGCAGCCGATGTGTTGGATCTGGCAGTGTGGGAGACTATCATGGCAATCATTGCTGCCAGGCTGGTCTTCTTGCTCCATTGTGGCACCCCGTGCAACACCTTCACTGCAGCTCGCAAAGATGACGGAGGACCTCCTCCACTGCGCTCTCGCGATGCTCCTCTTGGTCTTCCAGGACTCAGTTGGCAAAACCAAGCTCTTGTTTTTATGGGTAATCTGTTTTTGATCCGAACGTGCGAAGCTTGTACTCTTGTTTTTAATCTTGGAGGGAATTTCACGATCGAAAACCCCCTGTTGAGCCTCATGTGGGCTACGACAATGATGGACCAGCTCGTCCACGACACACGAGCTCTGGCTGTTGATTTTGATCAATGTGCCTTTGGGGCTCCGTCCAAGAAGCCCACACGTTTGTTGTGCTCAGCTGAACATTTCGAGGTGCTCCAGGTACTTTGTCCAGGAGGGCACGTGCACGAGTCTTTGAGAGGCAAAGTGTTCGACCCCCTTCAGGGCAAACTGGTGTTCAAGACCAAGGCTGCGCAGGTCTATCCTTGGGCTTTGTGTGCGGCGTTCGCCAGCGTTGCTCACGATCTATGGCAAGACCCTCTTCATGCTCTACAACCTTCGCTGCAGCTGACCACGCCCCCTGCGGATCGCAAACGCGAAGTGGGCTCCTGCAAACCGTGGCTCGGACACAAGCAGGAGGAGTCGGCTCTCAAAGCGCTCTGGGCGGGTTATCAGCTGAAGCGGGGTGCGGCCAAGCCTTTGTTGCATGTGGAGATGGAACCTGGCCAAGCGATCGAGGCGGCCTTGAACGTGATCCACCCTTTCACCATCGAGGCTCCTCTGGCAGCGATGGAAGAAGCAGCCGTCCTCCAACTTCGGCGCCCGTCTGAGGTGATCATGGCTGAGCGGGCGCGGTTGCTACAATTTTGGCATGCTCAGGCAGTGGCTTTATTGCCCCACTCAGTGGCGGCGATCCGGGCGCTGCCCGATCCCCATCTGCGGCGTCTGCTCCTTGGCACTGACGACCTTTCCGTGCCGCGCCTTGGTCAAGTTTGCCACGTCGCATTGTACGAGGCTATGCTCATGGCGTGCGGCTCGGTGGATCAGTCATTGCCCTCTTTTCTCTTGCACGGTTTTCCGATCGTTGGTGAGATCGCTCGCTCTGGTCGATGGCCTCCCTACAATAAGCCCCAGAAAGACATCCCGGTGCAAGACGCATTGGATAGGGCCTGGGTTCTTCGGAAGAAGATCATCCAACGTGTTCAATCAGTACAGATCTCTGACAACCTTCAGAAGATTTGGGATGCATCGATCGAAGATGTTGAGGAGAAATCGTGCTTGGGCCCCTTTGTGTCTGAAGAGGAGGTCACGAAAGCTCTTGGGTGCGACGATTGGATCCCAACTCAGAGATTCGAAGTTGTTCAGAAGAATAAAGTTCGTGGTTGTGACAGCGCCACGACAAACATGATCAATCAGATCACCCGGATCTCGGAGAAGCTACAACTGCCTTCTACAGACACGAATGTCGCAGCTCTGCGCAAGTTGAGAACGATCAAGCCTGGCGTGAAGCTGGCAGGGTGGGTGCTCGACGAGCGCAAAGCCTATCGGCAAGTAGCGGTGCGACCTGATCACCGGAAGTTCTCTGTTATTTGCTTGAAGAATCCGAAGACTGGTGCTCCCAATTTCTTCATCATGATAGGTCACTCATTTGGCTTGGTCTCAGCTGTATACAACTACAATCGCCGATCGGCGGCCATTAACGAGTTCTTGGTCTCGCTGTTCGGCTTAGTGGCTTTCAGCTTCTATGACGACAAATATGGTTTTGAACCTCTGGCGATCGCGGGAAGTGCTCGTGCAGTAGCTGAACATGTTCATTTCTGGTTAGGTGCGAAGTTTGATCAGAAGAAATTGCAGCTATCTACAGAGCCCACGATCCTAGGGGTGACTTACAACCTTGATCAGATGCAGTTGGAGATCAAAGCTGAGCGGAGAGAAGAGATCACCCAGGAGATTGAAGCGATCGTGAAGGCAGGCATTCTAGACCCTGGCTCGGCGGGGAAGTTGAAAGGTAAGCTCATGTTTGGCGCTTCTCAGCTCTGGGGAAAAGTTGGACGAGCTTTTCTGAGGGTCATTTCTGAGCGCCAATACCTTCGTTTCCCGATCGGTAGTGAGTTCAAACTAGATCAACCTCTGCTCGAGTCTTTGCTCCACTGGAAGAAATTGGTCAATGAGGGACCGCCGAGGCCGATCGAATCAGCTTCAGCTAAACTAGTGGATGCAGTGATTTTCACAGATGGTTTCACGCCGGATCCTAGGAAGAAGGAACGTTTGCCTGATCGTGTAGGAGCTGTTCTTTTTGATAGGCGTTTGAAACGGCCTATGCAATTCACGTCAGCTGTCTCCAAAGCCGTTAAGAGGCGGTGGCTTGAGCGCTCGACTCAGATTGTTCCTGTTGAGATGGTCGCAGCTGTTCTAGCCCTGGAGACTTTTGCTGATAGGATCCGTGGTTCAGATATCTTATTGCTCATAGATTCCGAGGCTGTTGAAGGTGCCTTGATCAAAGGCTACTCGAGCCGAGAGGATCTCTGTCAATTAATATCTGTATTTTGGGATCTTGCATTTCAGCTCCGAGTGAGAGTTTTTATCGATCGGATCTCAACTGATGCCAACCCAGCCGATTGGCCATCAAGAAATAAACTTTCCATAGGCGAGGCCGCAGGCTGGATCACAGTGAACCCCTGCTGGCCGAAGGCTCTGTTTGAGACTTAGGAGAGGGCCTGGGTCAGTGACTAAGCTCAACTTCATTTGCTCTCACCACATGCTTTGACCTGCCTGTGAAAGGCTCTGTGTTTAAGCGTTGTTTGGTTTGAGTCTATTTTTGAGCCTGGTCATTTGGCTTATGCATCTTACTGATCTGATGATCTGATCAGTGTCTCTGACAGTGACCTGCTCGCCCCATGCCCTGAGCAGCGTCCGCAAAAAAGGATCTTTTTGCACATGCAGCTGTTCAGGCGCGTCGGTTTCTTGGATTGGGTTCTGATCAGTTAGAAAGTAAGAGGGATTCTCTCTTACGTTCATGAACAAGTGAGTCGGTTGCATATCAACGGTTAGGTAGGTTTGGGATAAGCAGCTGACTCTCATGATGCATGTTCTAACTCGATCGTTTCCCTTGCGCTCTATATATATTATAATATCTCTCTCGAGTTTATTATATATATATATATGGAGTCTCCTTTTATTTTATACCAAGTGCAGTGTCCTGATGTGATCACTAAGGACTCGATGCGGTCGTTTGCCATTTTGGCACAAAGAACGAGTGATCACAGTCAGGCCACAGCTCTTTTTGATCACCCAACCCAGCCCGCCCTCGTGAATGAGGGTGGGCTGGACTTCCAGCCCACACATTTTTCGGTGGGGTCAGTGACTAAGCTCAACTTCATTTGCTCTCACCACATGCTTTGACCTGCCTGTGAAAGGCTCTGTGTTTAAGCGTTGTTTGGTTTGAGTCTATTTTTGAGCCTGGTCATTTGGCTTATGCATCTTACTGATCTGATGATCTGATCAGTGTCTCTGACAGTGACCTGCTCGCCCCATGCCCTGAGCAGCGTCCGCAAAAAAGGATCTTTTTGCACATGCAGCTGTTCAGGCGCGTCGGTTTCTTGGATTGGGTTCTGATCAGTTAGAAAGTAAGAGGGACTCTCTCTTACGTTCATGAACAAGTGAGTCATTTGCTTTTTTCATTGAACCCCAAAGGCAATTACAACCTTTCCGATCAGTTTATTGGGGGAAGTAAGACGGTTCCGGTTCCTCCGGTTCGGTTTTGCACACTGTTCCAGCGGTTCACGGTTCCTTCGGCTCATAGGCTATTTGATTTTCTACGGTTCGGTTCCACGGTTCCGGTTCGGTTCCAGAACCTTACTGTAATCACATAATCAACGAATAATACAATATTGATCTTGAATCTATATCTTAGATGTTCTTAAATGATATGTTACATATATTTATAAATAATATATGTCAAACATGTCTTAAATATGTGTGATCTATAGCTTAAGATCGTATGTGAAATCAAGTCGTCGGCTGAGGTAGAGACGGAGGCCAGCTTTGCATTTCAAGCACTGTGAATATTTCTTTGCTGCATGCTGTCACGTGCTGTCTATTGCAGGATCCCTTGCATTTGCAAATGCGACACTTTGCCCAAGTTTGTCGAGGACACATGGCAGCATGGACTAATGGTATACATAATCACGTTATACATTTATCGTCATTTATCATATTATACTTATTATACCATGATAAAATACAATAATGTACCATATCTAAGATATACCGCATTTTTGTTTGTCGTTCTACGTGTTCCCATCGTTTTTTTCATCGGATGTGGATCCGGACTGGATCCGTTTTGGGTCGCGGAACTGGCAGGACTGGAAGATCCAGCATCTTGGTTGATCCCGTTTCCATTTTTTTCTGTGGTTATTTAACATAGCCATGGGAAATGGCCCATAGAAATAGATGGTTTACCGAACTTAAAAATGGGTGGATCTTTCCATGGCTATGTTAAATAACCAGATGGTAGATCGCTTAGATGATCAGCCAGCATGATGGAAAATCCCATGTCAAATCCTGTTCTGAAGCTAAACAACATATGGTAGTGAGACGTTGTTCTAAAATGTTTAAAATGATGTTCAGCCAAGGTCTGCAGCGGTCGTGATGCAGTCGAGAGTCTGGCAGTCGTCTTGGCAATTCAAAAGTCGGCAGAATGTGGAAGACCAGTGGCTCCGAGTGACATGTTCTTGGAAGTCACCCAGGCGACTGAAGAGATGAGACTCACAAGCTGAAGATAGCAGAAGCGGAAGATAGGAGAAGGTTGCAATTTGAAGGACTAGAAACCTAGACATACGCTTTGGATACACTCGAAGATTGAAGAAGCAAAATCACGGCATTGCCTCTATTCACTTGAGGGCTCAGCACAACCTTGGTTTGTGCATTTGTCCCAAATAATGTTGAGGAGGAAGGGATTGACAAATACACTAGTCGTGCATTTGGCAGATCATGTACCCTACCCCGTTGAAGTTGACTGAAGAGGGATTTCAGAGCATTCTTCTCACTTGTCTCTTTTGCCAAAATTTAGAGTACAATTGAGTCGAGTACCAGCAAGTTTCCTGCGCAGTTTCCGGCGCAGTTTCCTTTCCATTCATTTGCCATTCCATGCTAAAGATCTGGGGCATCTTGAGGCTTCACACGAAGCTGCCGACTTGGACAGCTCTCAGTTGCCTATGCAAAAGGTCAGAGAATCAGTCGGACAAATTTGCTTCGGAAAGCGTGGCAGTGATGTGACGTATGTGACGTGTATTGCTGCATCTATTTCGAGGCGTCGTACACTATGTATTGAGCACATGTTGATACGCTTCTATCTTGACATATGGATCATATGGGGCACATCTTGATGGCGAAAATCCGCTGGAGTTCCAAGCATCCATGCCATCTTCATTTCAAACCTCCTGGGCAACCACCTTCACACCGCCGGGACCAACATGTGCGACGGGAAGTGATTCGACTGACAGCCAATGATTCGTGGTGACTGTGGTCACCGTGTGTCACTGCAGTCCAATTTGATTTGACCTCGAGCCCCGTGGGTTCAGTCTAAATTGATTTGCGAGCCCCGTGGGTTCAGTTTTAGGTGCCAAGATTTAAGACCTTGTCCTGCAACAGGCTGCGGGTTTGAAGCCTTCCGTCTAGTTTTGCCTGGACACCGTCACTTGCTGGGTTTTCACTGTGGGATGGGGTCATCCACATTCTGGTCTTCCAAGGAGTCTCAGCACTTGCATTTGCCATCCCTGGCAAACTCACAGTGCATTGCTGAACTGATCCAAAATCATTATATAACACTGTGTAGAATTATAGGATGCATGGCACAGACCCATAGCTTTGTGCGAGAAAGAGACTGCAGAGTCACGATCCCGGAGTCCATAGAAAAAGACGGGATTGTGACTTGTGCCAGCAAATGAAGACTGTGAGGGAAACAGCATGAACAAAGAGTCAACAAGGTATGTAACTTCGAGTTTAGCTCGTGTACCATTGAAAGTCTGCTGATTTCGTGCATTCGAAGCATGTTGCATCATGTTGCATTGCGCTAAAACATTCGTTTGTCCTGCGCTAAAACTCGTCAAACGATTCGTTGCGCCAGGAGCAAATCCTCCACTGTGAGCGTCTTGTGGAGCCTCTGCTCAATCCAGAAAGCCCTGAATTCGAATATGCACCGGCCTGAGCGGAGCAGCGGTTCACGAGATTACAGAACGGACAGAACTCATAGAACTCATAGAACTCATACAGATATAATCAGATATTTTATCAGATATGAGATTACATGAGATATCATGAGATTACATAACATAATGTAACAATCAGACTACTTATGATTAATTTATATTAATTTATTAATGATTATGCATAATTATGCATAAGTATGCATGACATGTGCATGCATTTTACTACTTCCACCTGCTTCTTCAGATCCATTATTCCAACTTTGGAGCTTCTGAATTCGATGCATTCCGTAGCTCAAAGAGATTCAAAGAGAATAAAGAGACCAGTAGCAATCTTCCTGAGGCGCGCACGCACGGAATGCAGCAGCTTGCGATGGTGAATGGTAAGCTGCCTCAAATGAGCAGCAAGTCCATTGAGCACTCCACAGTTACGGTCAGAGATGTGCACAAAATTCTGGAATATGCCCCGAAAAAAAGGATAACCGATCAGAGGAACTACTGAGGGGACTGGTTTTTCAATGTGTGCTTCGTATTCTCCAACCATTGTTGTTTGATGATTTTGATGTCGTTTGCACTGATCGAAGTTTGCAAATGACAGGTTTCTCGTTGAACAAGGCCGAGCAGAGGTGCGGTATTTGTGGTGCTTTGGGTCACTTGGGTCCCTCAGCTGCAAGTCAAGTCTCTGACTCTTGCCGCATCTTGCCGCATGTTTTTCGGCAAATCCCGCAGCTTTTTTGGTTTGCTCGTTCTATGGGGTGCCGTCCATGAGACTTCTTCTGACCTTTGCTGTAAACAGCGTTTCTTTTTTCCAATGACTCTCTAGCACTGTTTTGTTAGCTGATGGAAACTGAGCTTCTGTATGTCAGCATGGTGGGAAGGAGAACATGCACCATATGTGCCTGGGTCCTGGGTCTGACTCAGGCTTTGAATGCCCTGAAACAAACAACCAGAACTACAAGATGGCAAATGTCAAGTCCTGAGATTGACATAGATTGACCATATCAATCCAGTTCAATCCATATCAGCATCATATCAGCATCAGCTGAATGTTTTGCTTCCCCTGAGGTGACCTGTACCATTTGTGGTGACAAGGGCCACGTGGCGTATCCACCTCGGTGGAAACGATGTCCAAAAACTGTTCTGTTTTTTAGCGTGTTCCAATAGCTGTCTGATATTATTGATATGCTAATTATGCTATGAAACCTCCATGACTGGAACATATTGGAAACAGCATCCAATCCTTCACGGCTGCGCGTGGCCGCAAGTGGCTGTGCTTTAGGTCAGACTGTAAGAAGGCCGCGGAAATCAACAAGAGAGAAAATGTCGATTGGAAAGCCAGGAGCACAGAGAACATCAGAGAACATCGTGGGAAGCTTCACATGGGGTCCACTACGGGTCCACGGTCCACTAGCCGTTGTGAATTCGATTTATCGTCCAATTCTGAGGCCATGGCTGAGAAGAAAGCCCAGATGGACAAGGACTCCGTTGAGACTTTTGCTTACGGTCGTATTACGTGTGCGAACTGTTCTGTTGAGTTGGATGAGTTGGTGCATATTCTCAGTTTGCATGTTGAGTTCAGTGCTAGGATTTCAACGACATGATGAACGACATGGGTGGCTTGGGCCAAACTCAGGCTGGCACCTTAAAATCCTTCACGGGCACCTGAAACTTGTGTCAGAGGTTGATTGCAGTAATCCGATCATGTCGAATCCTGGATTTGCAAAGACTCTGAGTGATTGCTTTAAGCATTGCTTTAAGCATTGCTTTAAGCATTGCTTTGCGCTTTGCATGTGCTGTGAAGTTGTACAAATCTTGCAGATCTTGCAGCTTCAAGTGCTCTTTGAACGTAGAGACCATCCCGGCAGAGGAGGTCCACTTTCTCGGTGAATGACTTGAAGCCATGGGCGTCTCCAGGGGCATACGGTTGCCTAATTTGCGCCGGCCGCCAGATGTCAGCGCTCGGCACATGGCCAGCGTGTTGGATGCAAAGGCGCCGCGACACTGGATGCATTTCTCTTTGCAATCAAAATGAATCAAACATGAACTAAACATGATCAGCAAATATCAGCAAATATCAGCAAATATCAGCAAATATCAGCAATTACATACAATAAATTGCACTTAAGAAGCGCTTCATTGTATCGTACATCTATTCTTTCTTGTGAGTAACTGACAGCTTCAAAAAAAAGCACCGGGCGAGAGACGTCCTAAAACGCCTTTCATCCCATGCTGCAGATCTTGGGATCTCATTTGTGAAGCGGACGAAGACGACCATGTCATTTGTGTTTTAGGAATGGGATGTGGACATGACATGACATGACATGGGTTTGTCTGAAAATAGGGTTAATATTCCCAATGAAATAGCCATTTAATAGGGATTGTCTGATCAGCAAAACCATTGGGTTTAGGGGTACACTATTTTCAGACAAAGCCACATAGATGATGATAATTAGACTGGTGGGTAATTGGATTTGATATGATACACTAATGATTGATAATGTATGATCAAGTATAATCATATTTGAACACGTACGTAATATATTATACATAATATGAATCAATCATATCAGATTTGATGTTTCTGAGGCGAGGAATGCTTTGTCCGCATGCCGGGGGCTGCGTGTCCTGGCAAGTTCTTTGCTGTTTCTCCTGTCCATCGCCGTCCTCCAGAGATGCTTCATGGGGCTAAGTGTGAAGGCAGTGGTGCAAATGCTAAGCGCCAATCGGGATGGGAATGTCGTGGCATTTCTAATTGGAACTTTAAGCACAGTACTCTTGCAATCAGCTTCCCAAAGCCTTTACATTGCGGGAGAAATGGTGTCTTCAGATCAGCTGAATGTGCAAAGTGGTATCCTTTTTGCCATTGGAACCAGCATCGGTGTGAGCGCGTTACCGGTGATGGTGGCGATGATGGCTGGCTGTCGCTTACATTTGACGCGAGCTGTTTGGGGCATCGCATCGTTTCAGGTCCTGAAACTTTTGTCGCTTGGGGCATGTGCTCTTCTGCTGGTGCCGGCTGAGATCCTGAGCCATGGACATATGCTGGGCTTCACGGCAAGCATGGTAAGACACATGGCTCCATTTCGCTTTGACTACGTCAATCCAGCTACTTGGCTAGTACAACCTGTACTGAATCTCTTGGTGAGAATCAATCAATGGCGCTTGAAAGCATATGTTGCTGGGCCGCCAATGGAGTATTCCGTGGAAACGAGCAACGGATGTGGACGAGCAACATCCGGATGCAAATACTCTTGTTTGTCTCACCACCTCTATGGGATATGGCGTTCCGTGGAGCAATCCGTTGAGTCGCTGGAATGTAGTGATGCAACCGTTGCAACCTGCGAAGACGCCCAGTGTATTCGTGATGCGGGGCTGTTCTGGAGCAGTGAAGTGGAGGATCCAGGAGTCATTGAGGTGGGTGGTGTGGTCACTGGCATCATTTCTGGCGCCCTGTTTTTGTATATCTCATGTCAACTGTTGCTTAGAGACCTGACAGAGTCCAGCTCAGCAGGCTCAGCAGATGGCAGGGGAGGGAGATGTTTTGCAGTTTTGGAAAAGGCTGCAGCTGTCCCTGGTCCTTTGGCAATCTTTGGTGTCATCGTGTTCACACTTCTATTGATGCACGACAGCGTGTCTGTCGCTTGTGTTTTGACACCACTTTGTGGATTTGGATTGTTGCCTGCCTCGAAAATGATGTGTTGGGTCATGGGAGCGCAACTTGGTGAATCACTGGCTGTCATTGCATACGGAGCCACCCAGCTACCCTTTTCGAGAGGCATCGTTCAGCTCGCGTGGGTACAGCTCTTTTGCAGCATCCTGGCCATCCTACTCACAGCTTTGCCATTCGTGCGAAGATTGGCATCCCACTGTGGCCTAATGTGTGCAACTGCTTGCCACGAATTCTGGATTCTGGCAATCGTTTGTGTAGGTGGCATCCCAGCCGTTCTATCTGGCATCTTTGCTTTAACTGTCCTATGGGATTCATCGCCATCCTTCACACTGTGCATTTTACTGGTGGTGCTGCCTTTGCTGATCTCCGCCACGATTTGGATCTGCCTGCGCTCAGATTGGCTGCTGCCTATAGAAGTCCGAGAAGAAGTTCAACAGGAATGTCTCTCGGTTGCCAGCCGAACACCTCGTCCAGGTGCAAGTCCCAATCTCCTCCGTCCTCCATCCCAGACAGCCTCTCCATATGGCGATGTGAGATCTCCTCCAAGTGCGCGAACACACCCAGTGAAGTCGCCCTCACCGGCCAACAGTCCGTTGAGCCCGGTGCCCAACTTGGAAGTCATCGAAGAGGGCCACAGTGGCCACGATGGCCACGATGGCCACGATGCCAGACGCACCAGTCCTACCAGTCCTGAGACGTACGAGAGGACCATTGGGCCAAAGATCACGGCGCCACTACCTGTGATGCCCGTTGTTCCTCGTTCATCTCGACCCAGTGGAGGGAGTGACAGTACCAACGGCTCGATGGATGCAATGAATGCAAGGTGCCTTAACTCAAGAAAATAGGTTTTTGAGCACCGTTTTTGGCTCGATTTGCCTTTTGTAGCAATTCAAAACCATGCAAGGGCTATCACTGGTTAGTTTGCCAAACCCCAGGTTTGTATATAGTGCTATTATGTGCTATTTAATGGAATGCTAATGCACTCAGATTGCTGTGGTATCACATGGCTGCAGGGGCCTTGGCAGCTCAATCGACTTTGCTACATTTGCGGGCGACGTCACATCCAAGCCAGGCCATGTGACTGTGTACCGTAGGGATCCGGTTGGGGATCCGGTTGGGGATCCGGTTGGGACGCCGTAGGACGCCGTAGGACGCCGTAGGGGCCAGTTTTTCCAGGAAAAACGGAGCCACAGAGAAGGATTCAGCAGATTCCAGGACTTTCAAGACAGATTTCAGCAGATTCCCAATTCCCAGGTAACACCGCAAGATTGTGTAATAAGAAAGTGTAGTGACTCAGAGAACAGCATAGTGAAGTGAGTAGAGTCGCTGCGTCCGCTGCAGGCTGTCGACAAGATCTGACCCCGATTCGGACAGAAAGTGAGGAAAGCCGGGAAGCCACCTGGCCTGGTGTCACTCAGCCGCTATGGCGATCTGATTCGCTGTAACTTTGCATGGGGATGAACTTTGATTTTTTAGAGATTAAAATGCATTAATACTATATATATACACATGTATATATAATATATATATATATACATAATATTATATGTTTATATAGATCTTAAATATATTAATAGGCTCTAAGGCTGGACAGATGACAATGAGTGGATACTGGATCACGGAATAACTCTTCCTGCGATAACTGTTATCGAACTCCTTGCCCTTCATTATGCATGCACGGTGCAGTTTTGTTGCCTGAATAGAACGGATTATTGTTGGACTGATGCAAATACTGAGCCTTTGATTGTTGAAATTGATGCTTGAAGTGTTGAAAGGTTGATAACCAACAGCAACCATCCTGGAACGACCTGCCGTCACAACGCTCAGTATCTAAGCAGCATAGGTAGCTGCAGTATACCTTCTTCATCCTTCATCCTTCCTTCTTCCCCGGCGAATTTGCAGGGTGCTGACAGCGGTCCACCAACTCAGCAGCAAGTCGATGAGTCCCAAGGCGGGGAATATCTATTTCTATCTATTTCTATCTATGTCTCTCAATTTCTATTAATTTTCTATGAATTTCTATTAATTTTCTATGAATTTCTATGAATTTCTATGAATTTCTATCTATTTCTATCTATTTCTATCTATTTCTATCTATGTCTATCAATTTCTATTAATTTTCTATGAATTTCTATGAATTTCTATGAATTTATGAATTTCTATCTATTTCTATCTATTTCTATCTATTTCTATCTATGTCTATCAATTTCTATTAATTTTCTATGAATTTCTATGAATTTCTATGAATTTCTATGAATTTCTATGAATTTCTATCTATTTCTATCTATTTCTATCTATTTCTATCTATGTCTATCAATTTCTATTAATTTTCTATGAATTTCTATGAATTTCTATGAATTTCTATCTATTTCTATCTATTTCTATCTATTTCTATCTATGTCTATCAATTTCTATTAATTTTCTATGAATTTCTATGAATTTCTATGAATTTCTATGAATTTCTATGAATTTCTATCTATTTCTATCTATTTCTATCTATTTCTATCTATGTCTATCAATTTCTATTAATTTTCTATGAATTTCTATGAATTTCTATGAATTTCTATGATCTATTTCTATCTATTTCTATCTATGTCTATCTATGTCTATCTATTTCTATCTATTTCTATCTATTTCTATCTATGTCTATCAATTTCTATTAATTTTCTATGAATTTCTATGAATTTCTATGAATTTCTATGAATTTCTATCTATTTCTATCTATTTCTATCTATCTATCTATGAATTTCTATGAATTTCTATGAATTTCTATATTTCTATGAATTTCTATCTATTTCTATGAATTTCTATATTTCTATCTATTTCTATCTATTTCTATCTATGAATTTCTATGAATTTCTATGAATTTCTATGTCTAATCTATCTATATTTCTATCTATTTCTATCTATGTCTATCAATTTCTATTAATTTCTATATGAATTTCTATGATTTCTATCTATGTCTATCTATGTCTATCTATTTCTATCTATTTCTATCTATGTCTATCAATTTCTAATTTCTATGAATTTTCTGAATCTATTTCTCTGAATTTCTATGAATTTCTATCTATTTCTATCTATTTCTATCTATTTCTATCTATGTCTATCAATTTCTATTAATTTTCTATGAATTTCTATGAATTTCTATGAATTTCTATGAATTCTATCTATTTCTATCTATCTATCTATGTCTATCTATGTCTATCTATTTCTATCTATTTCTATCTATTTCTATCTATGTCTATCAATTTCTATTAATTTTCTATGAATTTCTATGAATTTCTATGAATGTCTATGAATTTCTATCTATTTCTATCTATTTCTATCTATTTCTATCTATGTCTATCTATGTCTATCTATTTCTATCTATTTCTATCTATGTCTATCAATTTCTATTAATTTTCTATATGACTTTCTATGAATTTCTATGAATTTCTATCTATTTCTATCTATTTCTATCTATGTCTATCTATGTCTATCTATTTCTATCTATTTCTATCTATTTCTATCTATGTCTATCAATTTCTATTAATTTTCTATGAATTTCTATGAATTTCTATGAATTTCTATCTATTTCTATCTATTTCTATCTATGTCTATCAATTTCTATTAATTTTCTATGAATTTCTATGAATTTCTATGAATTTCTATCTATTTCTATCAATTTCTATCAATTTCTACGATCTTTTCAGCATGTTCTACTAATTCTATTGCGACACATGTGCTTAACATACTGAACTGCCGAGCGATGCAGGCTTTTGGCCCGGACTCACCTGGCGATCTGAACGAGCTGCGATTTCTGCCTCCCCAGAGCCGAATGAGAGGAACAACACGTATGGCACTTCTTGGGGCTCCAGTTTGCAAGTCTTGACCTCTCGACTTCGAGTGAGTTCTACACCCATTTCAGCATGCGGCTCAGAAGAAAGCTGCTAAAGCTGCTAAGATATCTTAAGATGCATAAAGATGCTAAGATATGCTAAAATTTGCTGAGACAATCAAAGCCAATGCTTTACAGGCGGGCAAGGGAGCTACAGAGTGCCTCTCATGCCCCATCGAATGTGCTTCCATGTGCTTCTGTTGACTTTGATCATTCGGAATCCAATGGGTCGAATGGGATCACGTGGATCATGTCCTGCGTTAGGTCAAGATGTACTATCCGGTATCAATTTCATAGATTTGAAAGTATCAGTATTAATTCGCTCCAATTCTGTCACTTTGCACTGTCTCAGACATCAAACAGCTGGAGAATGCAAAATCCGTCTGTAAAAAGCAGGTATATCACAGCTAAACTGGCTATACATGGCTTAATTAATGACACATTGATCCGTCGGGAAACTAGCTACACCATCTACACCGACACTTTCAGGCTTCATTCTTCAGCTGGTGCCTATGCATTGTTGCAAGGCAGTTCCGAACTTTGATAGCCAATGCCCCCACAAAGCCATCTCCCAGGTGTTGATGTGATGAATTTTACATGGCTTTGTGCTGAAAAATTAAGCCTTGCAGGCATAAAAATGCCAAATTTTGATGAAACAAGTTGAACATCACTTGCCGCTTGCCCCAAAAAACTGCCCTTTCAGCTGAGCTCAGCTGAGAGGGGGCAAAGCGGTCTAAGGCTTTGCTAATGCAACATATGCAACCCAGCTACCAACGCTGGCACACTGTTAGTTTGAGTTGGTGGGCTTTCATTTCAAACCAGTCATTTCGTTTCTATACCAAAAGTCCCTTTGGCATCTTCCACTAATCTTTTGTCAGCCCTCCACTCCTGATGCATTTTGGGCACAGTACGTAGTACTGTGAGGCTGCAAATGCATCTGCTTTGGAGAAAAACACAACTCACTGAGTCTGCTGCTGTGCAGAAGCTGAAACAGTTCTGAGTGCCCAGGGTTTAACTTGAGTGCCTTTTTTTCAAGCTAGCCATGCATCTAGATGGGTGGGCAGATGTGAACAGAACGGCTTGCCCTTCCGCGCCTTCCGTTATGTCAAGTTTTTGTGTCTCTTGGTGCTCGACGCTGTGCGTTTATTTCAGCCCACGCCTGGTTGAGGCTGGCCAACCATCAGGTGGTCAGGTGCGACAAAGCGCTGCTTAAAGCGCTGCTTAAAGCGCTGCTTAAAGCGCTGTGCTTTGCAGAGCTATCAGCAGCTATCATAATTTGTGTCATAATTGTGTCAATTCAACTGAGTCACATGCAACTTATGCACCTCATCTGGCCATATCCGGCATCTCTTCACTCTGCCAGACTTTGGTGACGATGGATTCTGCACCAGGAGCTCAGTGGCAGAGAAAAAACACCGTGTGAAACAGTGACACCTTTCTTTTTGAAAGTCCTTTTAACATTTTTAACGTTCTTTCTCTACAAACTAATTGGATTAATTGGATTAATTGGTCAATACTGAGTCAATACCAATTGATCCAATTGTATGCAATGCGCATTTGACCCCTTCTCTTTGCATTCCACGGTGCATTGTGAAGATGTCAATTTTGTAGGACCTGGAGCGGGACAAAGCAATGTGCAAAGCTCAGAAAAGGTCACATCAAATGACTCAAAGATTCTAGTCATTTCTAATCATTTCTTAATAGTCAAACTAACAGTCTAAGAAGTTACCTTATATTATAGATTATTCATATGATTATTTATAGATTATAGATACTTATAGTTACTATCTTGCATATTTTGCATCATTTGTCCAAGGTGGACAAGACCATCATTGTGCCTGGCCATTTGGTCGGCAAGATCATAGGTGGGCCGTATTTTGTGCCGCGATGTCGCGATGTGCCCTCCGCTGATGTGCTGAGCTGATCTGGTGATGCTGCAGGTCCTGCAGGAGCCACCATCAAAAAGATGGCTGCAGACACTGGTGCACAGATCAACATGGATTCTGTGGTGCAGCCAGGCAGAATGGCAGTTGATTGCAGAATTTATTGCAATAACATGGTTTAACATCTCTTAAAAACACGGCTAAACTCTGGAATATTCTGGGATTCACTCTTGATTGAGTTCTTCTCCAGAAGCTCCATGACACATCTCAAAATCGTCTTGCAATCTTCAAACGGCTCAAACGGATTTTGGAAGTCGCCAGTTGGACATTTCGGAGATTAGGCAAAATTTCGCACATATCGGACATGGAGGGTTTGTCGATTGTGTCGATTATGTTGATTGTGTCGAGGAGGCGGAAAAGCAGTGGTCATCACAGCAGCTGACCCTGCTGCACGAGAGCGTGCCAAGGTGGATGTGGATTCTGATGCAGAGATACACCGTTTGGGATATGATAGTACTTTTGATGCACATATGGTATAAAATAGTGTAATTAAACATATTGTAAACATATATAATTATATATATAACGTGTTTATCATAAATTGTCATACAGTGAAATATATACATGTTATTATTCGGCAGCAAGGATAACGTATTGTCACATTGCGTAAATCTATATCTTTGTTTTGCGATCAACCATGGATTGGGAAAACACCATGGATCGAAGCATATCGAAGCAATTGGATGCCAGGCCCATGTGCAGAGTTGGATCAAAGACCAGGCCAGGGCCTAGCCTCAGCATCCTCAGCATCCTCAGCTCAACGCCCTCCAGATGTGTGAAAGATATTGGGTTGATATCATTGATATCCAGGATTTGTTCATGATCAGAGACCCAAACCCAACTGAGCTATTAAAAATAACCCATAGTAGGGAAACCTATCAACCAACTAGTATAATGAGATGGGATAGGGGTATTTCTAATGGCGCAACTGAAATCACTGAAATCAGATTTTGTGACGGTTTTTCAGGCTCCGGCCATGGGAACTGGCTACCAGCCTCCAGGTGGCCTGTGGTGGTCTCAGTGCACACCATGAAAAACGTTGATTTGAGTGAAGCAGAATGTCTTAATATGTTTTAACAACTAATAATACTAGTGTTCAATCAACGTTGAATGCTGGTTGTTGTAATATGTTGTAATCATTGTATTTTTTTTGCAATCTTTTGTCGTTCCAATCAACATGGATGAATCATTTTGGTATGAACAAGAAGAGCACAAACATGTCAAAGAGAGAAGATGGGCAAATGTCGCCAGCCATCAATGCCATCGATGCCAGACCAAAAAAGTGCAATGCTTGTTTCGGTTTCATGGCGACATAAAACTTAGGGGTGGCATGCAGCCAATGGGTGGACTTGGCGGCAAAGGTGGCATGCCAGGTGCGGTTCCTCGGGATCCTTTGGAATCTCTTGTGAGTTTGATCGGTTTGATGTTTCTTCTTGGCTCAGCTGAAGCTGCAAGATCTGCAAGACACTCTTGGCGTTGTGCCATCTTGTGCCATGTTCTATGACGTGAGCCAATACTGTCCATCTTCATGTTCATCCTTTGTTCTTCTACAGCAATGAAAGAATTGAATTGCCCGGACATGGGAAGGAATGCAAGCTACAGGTTACATACGATACCATGATATTTCATGATATTTCATGTCCAGCAAATGAGCCTAAATCCAACGCAGTGCTGCCGGAAAAGCCTCTTCTAGACATTCCAGGATGCTTTTTTGAGGGTTTCATAGGGTTTCATTTCCTCTCACCGGAGAATTTTGCGCCTGGACCAAGGTGGCAAAGGAATGGGTGGAATGGGGATGGGAGGCATGGGAGGTATGGGCATGGGGCCACCTGGAGGTCTTGGTGGCATGGGCGGTATGGGAGGTATGGGTCAGAGCCTCAGGAAAAAAGTCTCGCCAAGTCTCGCGAATCGTCTCGCGAATAGTCTCACTAAGATTCAAATAAATCTTAAATCAATTAGATGACTCAGACATACTCAGACTAGATATTAGTTGGACCCGCACTGAATGTCTCAAGTTCCACACTCAACGAGTTTTCGCTCCCAATGCGACTCACATGTTTTTAACGCGAGGTCCAGGAATGGGTCCAGGCCTTGGCAAAGGCGGCATGGGACCTATGCCAGGCGCTTTCGCGGGCGAGTTTCACATAGTTTCACCATGTTTTTCCTGTGAAAAAACCGGTGGTTTCTGCCAGATGTTTTTCAATGACTATAATGACTGCCAGATGTTGCCAGGTCCAATGGGCAAAGGTATGGGCCCTCCCATGGGAATGGGGCCAGAGCCTTGCGATGTGCGTCTGAGGGGAGATCTGAGAAACTCAGCTGTTGGTGCACGCAATTCCGTGTCTCGGCCAAGGATGGGCGGCAAAGGCATGGGCGGCTGTGGTGTGGAGCTAAGAACTTCGTGACTAAGTAGCTTAACTTGCTTCATGTCGCCCAGGAGTTATAAGTGGTGAGTGGCTCAGGTATGGGCGCGCAAAACATGCCCAAGAGCACAGGAGGCTTGATGCCTCAGAATACAGGAGAGCTGTGTGACAATTGTGACCGCAACCGTGCCGATTCTCTGGTAGCATCTGGTAGCACATGCACACAGTACTACAAAGAGCTGTATTCCTGGTCCCTGGAAGCTCTGATTATATTTTCTGTATTGTTTCGTGGTCTATAAACATCGTACAAATGTTTGTGCCTATTTTTAGTGACGCACTGGTTTCAACCGGTGCAACGAATTGTCGGACGATAGTGGGATATGTGGGATGGGATGGGATGTTTTTTGGGCCAACCTGGCAGGAATGATCCGCCCCGGACAGATGGGTATGCCGCCACCACAATACTAACACGAGCGCCGTCCTGAGCAACGCACCCGAAAAGGTCTTTGTGCTATGTGCACGTGCGTGGTGCGGAAGGAGTCCCCAAAAAACGAAATGCAAAGAAGTTCATCGAAACTGAAAGTGTTCAAGTAGTCTGTTCTTTGAACTGAAGCCGTTATAGATACTCTATGATACTCTAACAGCCTTTTCTGCATGTCGAAGGCCTCATTTAGTGTTTTAGAATGTTTTAGATGGAGTGAACTGAACGCACCATCAATAGCGATTGATGTCAATGGATCACATGGATCGCCCATCACCAAATGCCAAGCGTATTGCCACCAAATCGTGGCAGTCCAAAGCCATGAGATTTTGCTCGCAGAGAGTGCCCAAATGATCGCGCTTGATGAGTGGATCACCTCCCGGAGTGTTGTGACAGCTATGGCAGTATCTTGCAGAGGTACCAGGATGTACCAGGTATGTCATGGAATGTCATGGAGAAAAATATGGAGAATACCTCAAAGGATGAAGAAACACAACATGATGATCAACTGTCATGTGATGATAATCTGATGATACATGATGTTGAGGGCAGCCGTGAAAGTGTGGGCAGATGTGGGCAGGTCTCAGTTGGTCCTTGTTTTTCAGGTCACAACTGGCGATTCACTGAGGAACCACATTTCGAGGAACCACATTTGTTTTTCGTTCTACTCGAGGGCTCAGACTTGGACGCCCAAGAAGGAACACATGTGCAAAAGATGTACTTTTCTCAGACAGTAACGAAGATAAACTCTAGATAAACTCTAGATAAACTCAAGACTCTTGCAGCATGCTTGATTCGAGATCTGAAAAGATCTACATGCCGCACATGCCTCTTCTTTGAGCCTCCAGGCATTTGCAACAAATTGGCATTTTTCTTTTTCAAACTATGCACAATTCCGTGCCAATGCCTAGCTCTGATTCTCTCAATGTTTCGTACATTGAGAGGGTCTCCTGACTGCACAAAGTGCTGATTTAGGCAACTTTGAAATACTTTGAATTGCAGGAAGTCATGCATCATTTGAATTTATGTTGAGCTGTTCTGCACCATTTGCTTTCTTAGGCCCCACAGCGCCGGAACCAACAAGTCATGGCGTTCAACCGGGGAAAGGAGTCAGCATATGCAGAAGCTTTGGAGTTCTGTCGTCAAGGCTTGGGTTACATGGGAGACGAGATTCTACTGAACGTGAAATCTGAAATGGAACAAACCGTGAAACACATCAAATCAGAAGTCGCCGAGATCGTGGAGAATCACAACGAATCCTTGGCCGCCAAGCTGGATTCGCTTTCAGAGAAGCTTCAAGAATCCTTGGCATCCAAGGAATCCAACCGATCCTTATCCCCAGTCCGTTCACGTGAACAAGGCGAAGCCAATCGACGACTCGTCTTGCGGAGGGAAGAGCAGATACTGCAGATTAATGATCAACTCACCAAGATGGCAGAGCAATTGAACAAAGTTCATCAAAAAAGCGACATGGATCTCTGCATGCAAAGTCTTGCAGGAAAAATCGATTTACAAAAAATGTTAGATCTTCAAAGTATGCATTTGCTGCAGAAAATCCGTGAGCTTCAAACCATTGGAGCTCCTGATATCTCTTTAGCTATTCAAGAACTGGAAGCCTTGAAAGCTCCGACCTTTGATTTCTCTCAGATCACAACAGAGATTCGAAAGTCCATGGTGCTCTTTGAGGAGGATTTCCGCATGCTGATGAATGAGATTGTGAAAGTGCAAAGACATTTGGAGATTGATTATTTACCAATGCAGACAGTAGGTGCTGTCGATCGCGTGTCTCTACAACAGGTACCGTTACCAGCACAAGTCGCATTTTTGCCTCTGCCAGAGCTCGTGCCAGAGGAAACTGGTGAAGGGGAAACTGAACCAAAGGAACCGGAGCCAATCAGCTGTGATGAAGTGAAAGAAACCGAGCAACCTGTGCAAACTCAATCTTCAGAATCAGAAGTTCACATTGCTTCCCGAGTCAAAAAGATGAAACGAGTTCGAGAGATTTCAGCGCAGACTGAGAATTACTGCCGTGATGAACATGTTCAAACAGATGCCGACTTTTCACAAAACAAGCATCATCATCATCACCACAAAAAGAAACTCGCGCAAGCAAAAACCAAAGTGGCACAGCCGGTTTCTCAGAAAAAGCTCGGGCTGCAAGACAAAGATGCATTCAAGGAAAGAGCTCGGAAGGCTTTGCTGCGTAAGCAATACAACGTCTTCGACTTTTACCATACAGAAGGTATTTGCCAACTTATTGCTCGCCACTACATCTTTGACAATCTGACTGTATCAATTGTTGCACTGAACGCAATCTGGATTGCTATTGACATTGACTACAACAAGAGTGCGATTTTGACAGAAGCCGAGTCTTGGTGAGAACACAAAATTCCGCCATTTCGAAGTTTTAAAATGCACATGTCAGAACATGCGGAATATGGATGAATATGGCATTTGTATGCATTTGTCTGATCTTGTCTCTATACTATCACGCCAATAGATACAATATGATACATGTACAGTAAATGTTTGTAAATTCCAGAGATATCTGTTGCTATTTGTTGCAATCTGTTGTTCCCTTCCAAAAGACTTGGCCGCCCGGCTGTGGCTCTTAGGACACCGTTTTCCAAGTGGTTGAGCACACATTCTGCAGCTACTTCTGGAAATCATGATCAGATTTGGTGCGTTTGCCTCAAAACGGAGAGCGCTCATGGACCCTTGGTTCTTATTCGATGCAGCCCTGGTGATGAATATGGTGGTTGAGACGTGGTTGGTTCCCATCATCATTATTGCAGCTGGAACAGATGCTGCAGATGTTCTGAACATTTCCTTTCTGCGAATGATGCGCAGCTTGGCAGAGTAATGCGGAGTGTAGAGCAACACCTTCGATGCTTTCGATGATCCAGTGCAGCTGTGGTAGTTGTGACAGTTGAGGCATGGTGAAACTGCTTCGATTGTCGCGAATCTCAAGGCAGAATCGATCATAGATGCAGTTTGAAGCTACAAGGATCACAAAAGATTCAAAAGATGTCAAAAGATCATACTATATAGAATGAATATGGATGAATTGGATGTCACTCGCTGCAGTTCTGCGTCTCGCACCAGTCCTGCACCTGTGAGAAGGTTTATCCGCTCAGTGCCAGAGTTGGTCATAATCCTGAAGGCACTTCAGGGATTTGCTGGGAAAAAATAAGATTGCAGTAACCAATGGCAGCAGCGCGTAGAGCTACCAAACATTGTATACGTTATCACTGTTATTGTGTGTTCTATCTGATTCTCTTTGCAGAAGATTGGCTGTAAAAAGTCAACAAAGCGATTTGGCAGGCAATGGGCTTTGCAGCGCGGTCAGTACTGGTGTTCTTCTTCGTTTGGCTTGCCTTGCACTTGGACTTTCCATGACTTTCCAACATCCATCATGAGAAAGTGCTTCAGAACAAGAGCGATGTCATGTGAGTCATGTGATGTCTCATTTTCATGGCAAGCATGCACTTTCAGCAACTTCCTGTGAGCTCGACTGTCATCCTTGAATCCAGACCGTGCAGTAGCCAGGCTTGTGTTTGTGCCGTGCCTCGACTTGAAATTGAATTAAGTTGAGCAAAGTTGAACCAAGGTCATCATTTACATATTTGCAGTTGTACTCCGACAAGCCACAGATTCTTCAACAGTGTCTTGCTGAGATGATAAATCGTTACTTACGCAGGGCATCACAGGGCCGGGCCAAGGAGTAAAATCAGTCTCTGCCTTATGATCCTTATGTTGTAAAGCCACACAGGAGATCATTTTATTCATTTTCGACAACTTAAAATGAGAGTCAGACTCAGACACAGTCACTGAGAGCTTGAGGACCAGCTTTGTAGCCTGTAGTACCTTTTTTTTATATCCAGCCTCCGAGGTGGGCATGAGTCTCTTCCCCTCGGTGCCGGAAGCCATGAACACTTTGTTGCTGGATGGCCTACTGGCGGATTATTCGCCCATGATCAAATCCTTGGGAAATCAGAGCCCAATCCTTTGGATCATCGGCCTTGCGTATGTCCTACTCGTTGCAATCACCGTGCTCTACATGTTGGTTGGACACTTGGACTTAAAGGACAACATGATTTTACCCATATTTTTTTTAAAAAAATACCCCACCTGGTTATGACTAACAGTTTGCCATGGAAAATCACTATTTTTAAGTTCGGTAAACCATCTATTTCTATGGGCCATTTCCCATGGCTATGTTAAATAACCAGAGGGTATATATTATATTATTATATAGGCTGTTTTTGTTGGTACAATTTCTGGTGTGTGTCTAGATTCTAGATATTTTTAGGATTATTTTAGGATTTGTTTGGTCTTTGTCAGATATTCGAGCCAGCCACAGCTTTGCTGCAGTTTCAAGAGATCAAATGGGCGTGTTATTCAGGATGCTTGGTGGAGGCGGTGGGAGCTATTGCCAGTTCCCAGAAAGAAGGTTTGGCGATCAGCTACGTCGCTGGCACAGTCCGGGCCAAAATGGATGCTTGTCGCAGCAAGTGTCGCAGCAAGTGTCGCAGCAAGTGTTGCAAGTCGAGAGATGCCGAAAGTCTATGGCACTCGACTCCGGGCCACTCCAAACTCCACCTTTGGGGATAAAACATGATAAAACGGGAAACATATTTGGCAACTGTTGCTGCTAGGAGCAGAAAGGTCACTGTGAAAGTCTTATGACTTTGACCCGCGCTGTCTTGGCATATGCCAGTTTGCATACTTTGCTTTGCCTTTAGTTTCATGTTTCGCCTGATGAACAGTTTCCTTCGTTGAACACTTCTGAGTTGCTCCTGCCAGCTTTGTCGTCTAAGTCTCTTGCCCTTGCAGCTAGCGAGAATGTTATGTCTAGGATTCAGAAACACATGATGCCCCTTTCTCCGTTCATTTTTTGGGGAAGGTGTTGTATTATGTTCTTTTTCCTTTCCCTTTTTCTTTTCTCTGGACAGCTGAATTTGTGCTGCGCACGGCAGTGATTTCATTTCGAATCCGCGCTCACAAACCAGGAATCCCTTGGGCACAGTCCGGAAGGTACAATCTCGCTTGAGAGCTTTCAACAATACTTGACAGATTCAGAGGCGGAAATCTTTGTGTTTCCACCATGGCATGCAAAGGACCTGAGTTTGTTCACAGACGGTTCTTCACGTGCTGTGGGAATGTCTTGCCGCGAATGGCAAGGGCGGGGCATAGCTTGTGAATGTGCTTTAGTGAATTTTATTGTTTTTGATTGATTATTTGCTTTTCCTGTCAGATAGCGGGCATTTTGTCAAGCGTGAAAGTAGACGTGGTGATTCTCGGGGAGATGTTGGAGATGGTCTACGAAGATTTGGAGCGTCAGGGCGAATCAATGACCTTTGAGAGGCTGAGCTGCACCAAGATGCACCAAGATTTGCCGATGGCGATGATGGCGATACGCTGCATCGCATCATTTCGTAGGATATCATTTCGTTGTCCTCATCCCAGTGATTCCTCCGTGGATTTTGTTGCAAACACACGGACCGAGCAAGTATCGCCACATATTTTTCTAAAACTGACCATACTGAAGCTGTAAAATGCTCGCAACAGTTGCACTCAGGAGGATGATCGAATTTATGTTGCAGCTTCGCAGCAGTTGAGTCATATTGAGTCATATTGAGTCCCAGTGATTTCTCTTTGATCTCTGAGTGAGTTTTATCAGCTGGGCAAGATAGAAGCTGAGCTCTCTTTTAAGGGCAGTTTGGAAAGGCAGTTTGCACTGGGTGTAAAAAAACGTGTTTTCTCCGATGCACTGAGGAATGGGCGTGGCTCCAACACCGCAACCGTGAGAGATATCAAAGAACTCCTTCGAATGGTTCAGTCGAGACTTGGTTCAGCATTTTTGGATCAGAAGGAAGACTGAACCAACAGTTGAGATGCTTCGAACCAAACATCCAAACAAATGTCACTGTCTTCTTTTTCTCTTTGGTGTATATATGATGATGATATATGATGATATGATATGAATATGATATGAATATGATACACACACACGTATTATATATATATGATATGTAATTATATACGTATTATATATATATGACACATGTATAATTTCATAAGATTTTCATAACATCCACCGTCTGACCAGGACAATTCAACGCTCAGGTGCTGAAACATCGAAGAGGCTCACTGAGGCCCTGGGGATATTTTTCAACACTGGAAACCGCTGTTTATCGGTGTTGATTTGGCCATCATGGTCATGATACCCTCTGGTAGGTAGATAGTTATAGAAATGTTGATAATAACCATATCAAAATGTTGATAAACTAACATAACTAGAGAAAATCACCATTTTGAATAGGTAGATCTTAACTATTTCTATGGGATATCAATACAATAGCTATGTTAGTCATTACCAGAGAGTATGTCTGATATGTCAAAATTTAAACATGATGGTTATCAACACCTAACAAAAGGTTATGACCATGATATGTCATGATTACTGTCAAATTATGGTTTAAATTATCGATGTTTGATGATTTTTCTCAGATTTGTTTCCAACATTTGGAATTTCGGTGAACGTCACGGTAAAAAAAACAATTACCATCTGGTTATTTAACATGGCCATGGAAAATCACCATTTTTTAATGGGTAAACCATCTATTTCTATGGGCCATTTTCCATGGCTATGTCAAATAACCAGAGGGTACTGTAAGCCCCCCAAAAAATGCCGTGACCGCGATTTGATCTCTGGGTGCTTGACCATGCTTGACCCATTGATCCGAACTCGGTATTTTGACAAAGTTTGATCGAGCTGAATGGTGCTTGGTGCTGGTGCAGGTCAGTTTTTAGAGGGCCACGGGCCTATCTGTGCAACATAAGAACTGCTAAGAACTGCTACTCACACAGAACTGGGTCGACCAAAAACAGATGGAAAAAAATGGCAAATCTCTTGAATCATGTTTCCAGAATCTCCCGTGCATTCCCAAGTGATTAAGTTCTCCCTGAGTTGCTGACTTGAATCTTGCACAACCGGAAACCCTGTAGGAGCTTAACATCGTCACTTCGACACTTCAAACTTGGCGTGAGGAAGCCGACGCAGACTCTGATGACAGCTCCTTGCAACAGAAAGAGATATTAACAGGAAAGTAAAGAACACTTCACAACTTGAAACATCAAGGATGACATCTTTTTGCCTGAAGAAGATTTGAAGAGGAGCAAGGATGATCAAGGATGAAGGTTACATTGCAAATCGTAGGACCTGGGAACGTCGTGCGCTGCTGCAGCAATGAAAGATGTTTGCAGCTGGGGGCCCTGAAACTAAGGCAGCCTTGAACCTTCACCAACAGTGAGGGCCCTCAAACAGCCCCAAGGGGCATTCTCTCTCAAGCCAAAAGTTTCAGCATCGACGTCACCAGTGGCTATCCAGGGTTGGTGATAGCGAAGCTGCCGTGTGGAAGCCATATCCTGAGAGATCCTCGCATCTCTGGCCAAGGATGGTCAAAACAAGTATCAAAACCATGACTAAGGCTATGGCTAAGAAGGCTTTGAAGCCTAAGAAGGCTAAGAAGGCCACAGCCTTGTATCGAATCGCAATGTGTCAAAGGTTTGTGCAGCGCTCTGCAAAATGTATCGTGCAGAAAGTCTGCAGGGTATTGTATTGCAGTTGCAAAAACATTCAAAACCGTTTCCCTTTTGGGACCATGCCATGTCAAAGACATGTTCATGGTCAGAGTCTCTTGGCTGTCGCTATGACCTTTTGGCCGACAAGAAGTCAAGAGGCCTGGCTAAAGCTTCAGCCTGAATTGTCAGACTATGTGACTATGTACAATAATTATTCTCCACAGAATTCGCACCAGCACAGAAAAAGTCTTTGCGATGAATGGAAAGTCAGTTACGCGCTAGCAAGGTGTTTTTCTTGGACCATGGAAAGGTATGGACCATTTATTGTTATTTAACCTTGAGACAAACTTTACACTTTACACATTCAAAGCTCACATGACCTGTCGCAGCTTCTGAGAGCAGAAACTGTGTCGAAACTTTTTTTTTATATCGCCTCTTAAGGAACACAGAAAAAATGTGTCGCCTGACCACTACGACCTCTTAAGGAACAGACCTCACCGTCCCATTGGCAGATTCGGTTTTGTACAAACAGAAAGCCCTGTTTTTTTCACAAAACATTGACCTAAATTGATGTTGAGATGGCCAACCGCAATGCAGAATTCAAGCAGATCGGCAGGAAGCTTAGCAAAGACAGCTAAAGGTTCTCATTTCATCTCTCAACTTTCCATACAATCCATACATACATATACATACATTACATACTCCATATATGTCCTACATCATTCGTTTTCCACGAACACGAGTTGCGGCAAGTCCCAGGTGGCCAAAGAACGTTGGTGTCTCAGAGAGAGCCTGGGACTCAGCCGAGGTCCTCCCTGAAATCCACTGGTGAATCGACTGACATCTCTATGAATCATGCAGATTCATCGATATCATAATATCATAATATATCATATATCATATATCATATATCATATCATCATATACAGTATCATATCATATCATCATATATCATATCATATATCATATCATATATCATATCATATATCATCTAAATATCTTGGGATCAAAGGCCGCCTGGAGGGGTGCTGCCATCGTTAGAAGGCTGGAGTTTTTTTTGGGGGCTTTTTCGACCCCATACTTCTCTGACTTCAGACTTTCAGTTGAGAAAACATCACTTTTGAACGCTCAAGAAGTGCAGGTGGAGGTAGCTCGGGCAGCAATGCCGTGCCTGGCTACACACCGCTCTTTGTCGGCATGGTCAATTCATGTCAGGATGTTCTCAGGGTTCTGTGACGTTCTTGCTATCAGAATGTAATTCAAAATCGATCAATCATTCATAGACATCCACGATGAAAATACATGCCTGATTGCATCTGATTGCATTTGATTGCATTTGAGGCGTGGGCTAAACACGCCCAGAGGGCTGTGCAGCACTTAGACCACACGCGGGCTGTTCATAGAAACATTAGAAACATTCGACTGCTTGAAGATTCGGATTTCTAATCATTGATTTATGATGCGGAAGCAAAGGAAAAGCCACGCACTGAAAGCAAAGTATTCCGAGTAGAACTAGCTGAATCAGCAGCTGATGTGTGCTTTGTTTTCCCAGTTTTGGGCTTTCAGGCAGAAGCAGCGTGGCATTCTCTCCGAAGTGGTTCGTTTGCATGAAGCCGATGAGATCAAGGTGCGCAATGCGAAGACATTGCGAAGACTTGAAAGATTCCATTCGCTTCGTGACTTGTATGACTCTTCGTGCAAATTGCATGTCCACCAAACTCAGGCATGCAACCTTGGCGTGCCTCTCAGCATTTGTGAGTCCAGTTGCAAGCACATTTGAGTGAGTTTGGTCAATTTCTGTTCCACTGTTCCAGGTCTTCCTGTGTCCTTTGCAGAACTGAACTGTGAAAGGTCCCAAATCTGCTCGGGAAGGCAGAAGCGACATTGAGCCGGTGAAACGTCCAGCGGGGGTCCGAATCAAGACTGCCACAGGCGATGCTGCCAGCTTCTCTGAACACAAGGAACTTGTGCTGAAAAAAAGCAATATATCTAAGATATTATATATATAGAATGAAGATGAACAAATAAACTAAATCTAAGTGAAAGAAATCCCAAATTGGAGCTGCAATCTTATGTCTCTCAGGCCAGGGCAAGCTGCTTTCAGCTCTCACGTTCCTTGGCATGCATGTTGTGTACATGTTTTGCTGCGGTTTTTCTTGTTTTTAAAGTTTTTTTTCTCAATTCTCATTACTTCTTAACATTGGTAAGCCATTGGTAAGAGAACTGCACAGAAGCTGTTCGGCGATGGGGTCTCACTAGTCTCAAGTCCAGGTAAGATGCGAGATGTGGCTGAAAGCGTGAGGGGCCCATGCTTCGTTTTGTCATGCTCCGGTCGTTGTATTTACACCATGTCGTGTCAAACCATGAAATCAATTGAAGTCACCCTCATCAATTGAGACCAAGTTCATCCAAGTTCACTTTCTTTTGAAGCCCTGTGTGGATTGAAGCAGTCGAAACATGTCGAAATGGTAGGCGCTGCCAACGGCAAAGCAACCGTCGACAGCAGTGGTCCCTCCAAAGGCTGACGGTCGCCGTTAAGGTGTCAAAGGTGTCAAATGTATTCAACAGTGTCGCTCAACACAAACCCCCTGTAAAGGGCTGAAGTGCTTTCTTGCAAGCACCGTTCAGGTGATAAAGGTGCACAATCACCGGCCTGGCGATATTCCAAGGAAAGTGACTGTAGTTGCTTCCTGAGACAAAACATTTTTGACATCACGAGAAATCAATATTTGATCTGAGACCCAGCTGTTTCGTCATTCATTTGGTCGATTTTGGTCGTCATATTGTGTCGCTATCCAAATGTCTCGCTCTGGGCTGAGGAGAGGCAGCAAAAGAGGTTTGAGGGCATGGACATTGAGGCTTGAGCTCAGGGAAATCACTTCCAACATCAAAATTTAGCCAGATTCCAACAGATCCAACACACCTCCAACCTCCAACCTCTACCGACTCTACCTCCAACTCGGGAATCGCCGTTTGCAACGTCTTCCAGCGACTTCCAAGAGCAGTGGAGCATGTACGGATTGATAGTGCAGACAGATGCGAAATTTTGAGACATGGCAAAGATTCGGATAGAGCGCTTAAACATGCTTAGTTTCAACTCCTATCAACTCTGATTGGAAAATGACGTAGTTTGGCTGTTGTTTCCATACTTTTTTTGCTCGTTGCATTTTTTTTATGGGTGAAAGACTTTGGGGAGATTTGGGGAGACGATAGTAGTGGTAGTGGATGGTAGACCTGGTAGATGGTTGAAGCAAACTTGGTCGATTACTGTCGATAGTCACCGATAGTCGTTTTTTGGTTACCGAATCCACGTCAGATTTGAGGAGTTGCTGCTCGTACGTGGAATCTCTTTCCAGAGTAGTCGATGGGAGGAAGGCCACTGGTGTTGCGCCCAGAGACTTCATCAATTCGTGGGATGAACTTCAACTTCAAGAAGTGTGAGGACCTGTGAGGACCTGTGAGGACCTGTGAGGACCTGGGACCTGTGAGGATAGCAAAGTCTACTGACTCTACTGCTTTGTTGATGCGATACGATTCAGATCGATTCAGCATTCTGCAAGATCTGCAAGATCTGCAAGATCTGCAAGTGTTGGACCATTTTGGACCATGTGTCCTTACCTTTCTCAGCAAAAATGGCTTTCAGCCTTTTCTAGCTATGCTGCTGAGGTTGACATTGGACGATTTCGACAATACCGAATACGACATCCGAACTCCACAGCAGTGGATAGAAATGGGCCACCAGGTGCTTTGAAGAAATTTGCTATACGGAACCGCTTAGAAAAAACATAGAAAAAACTATGAGATACTATGAGCTGCACTTTGAATGCCCTCCATGTTCGCAGTTGGTCAATGTTGGTCACTTGGTCACCTTTTCTGCCTTGTGGATCTTGTGGGCTTGCCTTGTCCAAGTGTCCAGCGCTAGGATGGTGGCGATGAGTGCCTGCCAGTATCTGCTACTGGTCTTCGGCTCAATGAAGATCGCTCCGGCACCTGGCAGGCGGCGCATGCTGACGGGTGATGACGCGTGATGCGATGCCATGCATGCGATGCACACTGCACACATCTGCGCACAATGCCATGTGCGATGAGTTGTCATCTGACATGTCTAGACTCGATCTGATATCGTTTTGTTTGATCATAGTAGTTCTGGTTGATTCTATATTTGATTCTGTTTGATTGTATTTGATACTTTGATGTTTGACTGGATCTGAGCAGGCCTGTGTGGCCATTGGGACCGACAGAGGAAGGACGTGAAAAGCTCGAATGTTGACCTCCGAGCGTGCCGCATTTCGCCATGCTCGGTTCGGTTTCTCACGCTCCCAGGCTGGTGCAGTGGCTCGCCCCAAGTGGTGATGTTGAACTTCTAGACCCAACGCAACCTCCTGAGACTCAGAAAGCAAAATCTACGAATCTACGAATCTCGTTTTTACATGTTTTTACGTTTAGCCGATAGCCATGAAATGATAATTGGGGATATTGGGGTTTGCCCTTTGACACATGTTGGCACCAGTACCAGCAAAGAATCAGGACCTATACATGCCTATACTATATTGATCTATATTGACATATATTGAGTCATAGGCCACGTGTTTGTAGAGTATCAGACGCTTTTGAGATTGACAAGTCTGTCAGCAGTCAGGTGTCAAACACTCCTTTGTGGCAGTGACTGCGCAATGTCAACACATGCTGGCAATGTCAGCGCAAGCTGAGGCCCCTCACGAGGCTACAAATCTTGTACAACGGAGAGGCTTCGAGTTGTGACATGTTGTGACCATTCAGCAATGGACCTCATAGGATAAATCGCCCAAGGATCCAGAAAATCATGCGGACCGCATCCAGTTTGCTTTTGAATCTCTGCGACGACCTAAGACAACTTCAAAAAGTACAGAAGATGCCACTGGAATTATAGCCTTTGTCAAGTTTGAAGACTTTGTGGCATTTGATTTCTGATTTATCATGATTTATCAGTTGATACAAGCCACTTGGAGACTGAGGAGGCAAGCACAATCGCGGGCGCAGTTGAATTTTGTCATTGACAACATGCCATCGGATGACATTCAGCCTAAGCCACAGCACGAGTTGCTTTTGCATCGCAGGGCATTGCAGGGCATTGCAGGGCATTGCAGGGTGTGCGGATTCGAGCTGTTTCAAAAAGCGAACACTTATATCAGGATATCAAATATATGTGATATAGTTGCATAATAGTTGCATAATATTGCACATATATATATATATATATAGTATAGAATGGGCTAGCGCCCTGGTGCCGCCGACCCCCCCTATTTGGGGGGTCCTGTAGAGAGAGAGAGAGATAGATAGATAGATAGATAGATAGATTGATAGATTGATAGATTGATAGATTGATAGATTGATAGATTGATAGGTAGATGGGTCGATAGCTAGATACACAGTTAGATAGACAGGCGAGATAGATAGATAGATAGATGGATGGATGGATGGATGGATGGATAGATAGATAGATAGATAGATAGATAGCTGTCGGCCAGGTAATCCCTGAGACACGGCAGCTGTGGCTGAAGAAGCCAAAAATATGACGACCACCGGAGAAAGTGGTTGAGGAAAAAAACATGTGTTTGATCCGATGGCTGCTGTCGTATGAGTGTTGAGGAGACATTGTAAAAATGTTGCACACTGCAGATTAGAGTGCATAAATTTGCGTAGACAGTATACCGAAAGGTCAGCTAACACACGAATGCAAGTGCTACCGGCACAGATAGCAGACCCAGGCTTTGTCTCAAGGTTTGGTCCTGGTGAGTTCAATCTTGGCCCAAGTGCATCACAGCTAGATGCCGGGCCCGCTGCTGAAGTTTGGCCATCCATGCTGGCCTTGTTTGCATGAGGCTGCCCATGCCAGCTTAACCTGCATGAGGTTCTTCGTGCAGACTTTAAATGCACGAGGTGCTGAAGAAGCACTTAGCGGGCTTGTCCCGTGCCCACCAGGGCGCCCCTCCGGGGGATACGCTTGTGTCGTGAAGATAAATTCCCCGGAGGGGGCCCGTGCTGGGCACGTGACAGGCCGGCTAAGGGAGCTTCTGCGCTGTCTGTGCTTACAGGTTGCATGGAGGGCCTCATGCAAGTTCAGCCGGCATCGACAACTGCAAGGCAACAAGGCCAGCATGGATGGCCAAACTTCAGCAGCGAGCGCGGCATGTTGCTGTGGAGCTCGTGAGCCAAGATTGAACTCACCAGGACCAAACCTTGGCGGGGCTGTTGTGGTGGTTGTTGTTGTTGTTGCTGCTGCTGGTGTTGGTGCTGTTGTTGTTGTTGTTGTTGCTGTTGTTGTTGTTGTTGTTGCTGCTGCTGCTGGTGTTGGTGCTGTTGTTGTTGTTGTTGCTGTTGCTGTTGCTGTTGCTGTTGCTGTTGTTGTTGTTGTTGTTGCTGCTGCTGCTGCTGGTGTTGGTGCTGTTGGTGTTGTTGTTGTTGTTGTTGCTGCTGCTGCTGCTGCTGCTGGTGTTGGTGCTGTTGTTGTTGTTGCTGTTGTTGTTGTTGTTGCTGTTGTTGTTGTTGTGGTTGTTGTTGTTGTTGTTGCTGTTGCTGTTGTTGTTGTTGCTGCTGCTGCTGCTGGTGTTGGTGCTGTTGTTGTTGTTGTTGTTGGTGGTGGTGGTGGTGGTGTTGGTGCTTTTGTTGGTGCTGTTGTTGGTGCTGTTGTTGGTGCTGTTGTTGGTGTTGTGGTTGTTGTTGTTGTTGTGGTTGTTGTTGTGGTTGTTGTTGATGTTGCTGCTGCTGTTGTTGTTGCTGCTGTTGTTGTCGTTGTTGTTGTCATTGTGGTTGTGGTTGTGGTTGTGGTTGTGGTTGTGGTTGTGGTTGTGGTTGTGGTTGGTGTTGGTGTTGGTGTTGTTGTTGTTGTTGTGGTTGTTGTTGTTGTTGTTGATGTTGATGTTGATGTTGTTGTTGCACAAAGGTTTGCGGAAAGGTTGGGCTCAGCAGCAGAACACATGAGGGCAAAGGCATTGCTTTCAAGATCGGTAGGTTGTAACAAGCATCGCCAGGGACTGAGGCGTTTTGAAGGTGGCGGAGCAGTGCCGAGTGAGCGAGCAGTTGTAAAAGCAGTATGCTTGTCACTTGTGGGAGACTCTTCCCATTTGGAGCATTTGTGGGCGCAAGAGTGGGTGCAAGGTTGGGAGGGTTGGAAAGAATTGGAAGAAGACGGGTCGGACGACATGGCCATCGAATTGGCGCACCGCTTTCTCAGGATTGCAGGCATGAACATACCCAGAAAGAGAAAATCAAACCGTGAACGGATAAAGGACCTAGAAATGCAAAAAGGGTTGCGGTTGCAGGTTGCGGCTGCCCATGGTGTAAACAATTGCTTGATCGACGCGCTCTTGTTGGGCCTTGTGGCAAAAGGCTTAGCTCCGCAGGGAATGACGTTGGCAAAACGGGAAGAGGTGTGTGCAGCATGCAGGGCAGCCCTGCACGAGCAACATGGGGTACCCTTTGGTGTGTATTTAGATGGACATCGGGACATCCCGCGAATCCTTCAGTTCTTCCTGGGGGAGCTTTGGAAAGTGGATGCTTCTGTCCGCGTATGCTTATACGATGCTTTGGATCATGCGGAGTTGGGGCTGGGGCCTCATGAGTTAGAGTATGTGGACGTAGAATGCGGACGCGGGGCCGCTGCCGGAAGAGCCGTACTGCATGTTTACAACCAGACGGTTGCCACAGGTCAGGGTTACCACTTCGATGCATTGTTAGATGCGTCTGCCACCGTCAGCTGTCCGACAGACAAAGGAGGGTCGCAAGAAGATGAGGTGGCCCAGCTAAGGGTGGCAGGGAAGGAAGCGACGACAGTGCATGGGGAGAACGCAGTTGGGACGCCTAAGACAACAGCGGGCGCTTTGCGTACCCTTGCTGTGCCTGGCGCAGAAGACGTGCAAGTGTGGTTGCAAGCTTTTTTCTGGGCGCGGGGGTGCAGATCAGTGTCCACAGCCAAGATGCTTCTGAAGTCCTTGCCTGTTGGAACGATCGGCAGGCTTTGTGTACAAAATTACATACGTTGCAACAGAGCGGGCTTGCTTATGCTGATTCCGGCTGGCATGCCGCAATGCGTTTAGTGGACCAATGGCTTGGATACTGCAATAGCTGCAGGCAAGGGTCACCGCAGAAATTGGGGACGGGAACAGCGGAAAAGTCGGAGTCCAAGGGTTGTAACGAGAGCGATGCCAGCGAACTTGTGGGGAAACACGTCGCTGTGTTAGAGGGGGCAGGCCAAACAACGCCAAACGCGAAGAAAAGAGCGAGGAGCCCAATAAAGGACAGGCATTCGTGGGTGCCGGTGAAGCGCTTGCGTAAAAAGACGGCGGCTACTGTCGCCTCCACCATGTCGGACGACGCATGGCGATTGGATGCCCCAGGCAGCGAAAACGTGGAAGGAGAAAATATGTTTATCTTGAGGTGTGCTGCTGTTGGGTGCAAAGACCCGCGACAGGTAGCGGAACGGCAGATCACAGCGTTGAGCAAGAAACTGAACGAGAAGCCAACGCTGCCGTTGCAGTACCAAAATTTATGTAGCGCCCGAGAAGCATACGACCTGCCGTTGTGGGAACTGCAGCTTCCGCGGATGTAGCTATGCCTCGGAGAGTGAAGAGGGGTTGGTGGACCACATCCCCAGCAGCCACGCAGAAATATTTACAGAAGTCTGCGGGAAAGCCATAAAACAGCAAGTCATGCTTGGAATGTATGCGGCAGCAATCACGTGGCAATGCCAATCGGCAGCTCCCGTGGCAAACGTATCTCTTGACCGGCGGGCTTTGCGAGCCTATCAGACAAGCTTAGAAGGTAACAATATTTCATGTTTGTTGTGCTTTGTGTGTGCTCGCAAATATCCGTATGTCAGAAGCAGCCGCAATCAAGAAGTGGGCTGGGTGCAGCCGGTTGACCGCAAAAATGAAACTATCTTTGGCCAATCGCTAGGAGCGGTGGAGAAACTTTTGGGGATGAAAGTTTTTAGAAAAAAATATGTTGACAAAGAAACAG